TCCCAGATTACTCTTTTTTCAACACTGGTGTTCATATTTATCTCAAAATAATCTCTCAAGGTTTTTTGGGCCTTCTTAATCACTTCTTCATCTCTAAATAAGGTGTCATTCATCTTCCATCTGAAGGAACCAGTTGGTGTTAGTTTCATTTCCATCTTAACCGCATTACGGTCGGAGCAGGTTTTTGGGCAGATTTCCACTTTTCTTATCTTTGGTGCCATTCCTCTAGTTACCCATATTTGGTCAATTCTTGTCCATGTCAGTTTGGCTCCAGAGAAGAAGGTTCCCTCTCTGGCCAAGGGATTCTTTGTTCTCCAGATATCAACTAAGTCCAAGTTGTCTGTCATCTCAAAAAAAGTTTTCGGTAGTCTGCCATCCTTAGTGACTGCCTGTCTTTGCGCCTTGTCCATGTGTGTAGATACCACTCCATTCATATCTCCCATCAAAATCACATTATAATCCAAATAGTCCATCAAGGTCTCATGCAACTTTTTAAAAAATTCAGATTTCCCCTCATTTGGTGCATAAACTCCTACTATCAAGAATTTTTCTCCTTGTGTTTGAATTTCAATTGCCACAAATCTTCCTTGGTCATCTTTGAGGATAAATTTCGGTAATAGTCTCTCCTTTGCATAAATCACTACCCCTCTTTTTTTAACCTTGTCCGATGAAATAAACTCCTGACCCAGTCTTTGATTAATCAGTATTTTCCTGTGTAGCCTTGTTACATGTGTTTCTTGTAAACAAATCAAGTCCAATTGTTCCTTTTTTAATAAATGAAACACAGATCTCCTTTTCTGAGGGGAGTTCAAACCATTACAATTCCAGCTTAATAGTTGCAGAGCCATGATGTAGTTACTTTGCTTCTCCTCCAACTGCACCCAGTGCCTGTTCCTGATCTGTCGGTGGAGATACCTGCCAAAGTCTTCAAAGTGGGCGGAATTAAACTTATACAACAACTTCACAAGCTCATCGAAAAAATCTGGGAGAGAGAGGAGATCCCAGTAGACTTTAGGGATTCCAAAATTATCATGAACATGAAAAAGGTGACAGAACGGATTACAGAATCTATCATGGCATCTCTTTACTAGCTGAGGCCAGCAAAATTCTTGGAAGGATCTTAGCAAACCGTCTCTTAACAATATCTGAGGTGACCCTTCCTGAATCCCAAAATGGTTTTTGACCTTCTAGGGGAACAATGGACATGATTTTCACCTCTTGACAGCTTCAAGAAAAATGCAGAGAGCAAAACCAACCCCTGTATACAGCATTTATTGAGCCTAGGGATTGCTGATCAGAAGGTTAGCAGTTCAAATTCCTGCAACGGGGTGAGCTCCCGTTGTTCGGTCCCTGCTCCTGCCAACCTAGCAGTTCGAAAGCACGACGTGCAAGTAGATAAATAGGCACTACTCCAGCGGGAAGGTAAACGGCGTTTCTGTGCGCTGCTCTGGTTCGCCAGAAGCGGCTTAGTCATGCTGGTCACATGACCCGGAAGCTGTACGCCGGCTCCCTCGGCCAATAAAGCGAGATGAGCGCCACAATCCCAGAGTCGTTTGCGACTGGACCTAATGGTCAGGGGTCCCTTTACCCTTTACCTTTAAGGCCTTCAACACTGTACATCTCAATGCCCTGTGGACTGTCCTTCTGAAAACTGGCTGCCCAGATAAATTTGTGAACATGATAATATGACAGCAGCAATTGCAGATAGCAATGGCTCTCAAAGTGAACCATTCACAAGTGGGATCAGGTGTTAAACAGGGTTGTGTTATCGCCCTAACTCTATTTATTATTTTCATTGTCATGATCCTACAGTTTGTCAAAGGGAAACTCCCCACCGGGGTAGAAATCATATACTGAATCAAACAAATGAAAAGCTCTTTAATCTGAGTAGGTTACCATAAGAGTAAGGTTACCATAACTTAAGTCATAGAGCTTCAGTATGCTGATGACAACATAGTGTGTACAACTACCCAAACCATCCTAAATATCTTCAAAGAAGCTTTCAAAGAAAACTTGGGCTATTGCTCAATATCCAAAAAACCAAAGTGCTGCACCAACAAGCACAAAACAACCTATTGGCAGCACCTCAAATCCAACTTAATGGTGTAACATTGGAAAATGTTGATCACTTTCCCTACCTGCACAGTTATCTTTCCACAAGGGCCAACACTGATGCCGAAATCCAGCATTGCCTGAGCTCTGTAGCTTTCTCCTGATTGAAACACAGAGTGTTTGAGGACCAGGACATTCACAGGGGAACCAAAATGCTTGTTTACAAAGCTAGTGTACTGCCAGCCTTACTGTATGCTTGGGAAACATGGACCACTTATAAACGCCATCATCAACTCCTCGAAAGATTCCATCAATGGTGTCACTGAAAACTTTTACACATGACTTGGGAAGACAGGTGAACAAATGCCAGTGTACTAGAAGAAGCAAAGATCACCAGTGTTGAAGCAATGATTCTTCAATATCAACTTGGTTGGTCTGGTCATATTGTTCAGATGCCTGATTATCGTCTTCCAAAGGAACTACTCTATTCAGAACTTAAAAATGGAAAGCGTAATGCTGGTAGTCAAAAAAGAGGTTCAAAGACTCTCTCAAGGCAAATCTAAAAAAAATGTAGTATAAACACTGACAACTGGGAAACACTGGTCTGCAAGCACTCCAGTTGGAGAACAGCCTTTACCAAAGGTGTCTTGGGTTTTGAAGGAACTTAAACTCAGGATGAAAGAGAGAAACGTGCTAGGAGGAAGGCACGTTTGGCAAACCCTCACCGGGACCAACTCCCGTCGGGAAACCAATATCCCCACTGTGGAAGGATGTCTGGATCCAGAATTGGCCTCCACAGTCTCTTACAGACTCATTGTTAAAACCGTGTTCATGGAAGACAACCTTACTCAGCTACAAGGGATCACCAAAGAAAAAGATAGCCCATGGACCACAAAATAATTTCCCCCTTTTGAAATGCCCCAGAGCTATCTCTGGTCAAAAGTGTTGCTTTTGTACAATGTGCTTTAACACACAACCACATTTATGAAAAAGAACTTGAGATTTTAGGAATAACAAGCTCTGCATCCAATCAGTCCGTGGCAGCTATTAATAGCTACTAGGCAGGATGGCCATCTTCTGTTTCCACTGCTGGAGGTCGTTTGTCTTGGAATTCTGGTTGCTGGGAATCCCAGGTGGGGAGATGGTCCTGCTGGTGAGCTTCCCATCGGCATCTGGTTGGACATTGTGTGGGATGTGGGACTAGATGGGCCACTGGCTTGATCAAGCAGCTCTATTCTTCTGCTACTGTAAGTCTCATTCATTTCCACAAGGCTTCTGCACAATTCGTCTTCTCTGGATTGGGATCCTTGGGGAGGGGAGATGTCATATAGGGATGGGGAACTTTTGGCCCTCCAGAGGTTGCTGAACTAAAACTTCCATGAGTGCCAGCAAACATGGCCAATGGCCAGGAATGGTGGGAGTTACAATAGAGCATCATTTGAAGGGCATCATTTGAACAGGTCTCCCACCTATCATCCCTGGAGGGGGTGCTGTTTGTGCTGTCTGATGTGTCACCATGCTTTCCGTGGTGCTGAGGGAACCAGGACCCCTGGTTCTCTCTTTAGCCTTGGGAGAGGCATGGAATGGAGGCCATGTGCTTCCCATGTGCTTTGCATCCTATGCACTCCCACCTCTGGTTTGGGGAGTGGTGGACACACCATGTTAGGCACAATCCATATCTATCCTGTTGCTTCTTAGGAAATTTTGCCTTTTTATGCATTTCCCTATCAAACTGGCTTTGATCTGGATTGAGTAAAAGAACAACATAGCTGCCTCTTGAACCAGAAATGTGCACACAGCATGTAGACAGATGTATTTGGGCTGGTGTGTGTGAGAGAGAGAACTCAAGGGTTTTGTTCCCAGCCCTGAAAGGAGATGTGCGTGCTCTTCCGCTCTAGCTGCTCCTTGCCTCTGGAGTGTGAAGGCCGTTGAGGCATGAAGGGAACATTGACAGGAGAAAGGGTCATGGCAGCAGGAGGTGCCTCTGTGTGTCGCCGCCCCTATTCCTCCCTTCCAAGGGGGCAATGGTTCCAGTTAGGACCAGGTTTAGGGGTCCCAGGCAGCCCCCCATGCTGTGAAGAGGGTGGCAAGAGGGGTTCTGGTTGCATGGATCTGGCATGGAGTGTGTGTATGCCAGTCATTGGGTGATAGGCACTTTGCAGTTCTTTGGAAGGGAACCAGGAAGTTAAAGAACGCATGTTAAAACATTTTGCTAAATTCTGCACACACAAAACTCAATTTGTTGACTTAAAACAAAACCTACTGACCTGTTTATGTTCGTACTCCAATATTTAGGGGCTGCACAGAATTCGAACAGCTGCAAGAACAAAAAGTTTCCTTAATTCTTATTTAATGTTACGCTGATTCCCTTGGTATTTTTACTACCCTCAGAAGCTTAGGGAAGCTTGGCCTGGGAGGGGGCTAGTTCTCTGTGGCAGCCCCTAAATTGCAGAAGTGACTTCCCACAGAGGTGCAGCTAAAACAGGTGCAGTCCCGGTTTTATGAAAGCCATCCCAGTTTCTGATTTGATTCCAGAATGTTCCTATTTTCCTTAGGATGTCCCTATTTTCATCAGAGAAATGTTAGTGGGTAGGGAGTGAGGTGATTCCTGAGCCAAGGAGATAAGTAACTACACAACCTTTAGAAGACAGCCCAGGATAGGGAAGTTTTTTAAGGTTTAATATTTTCTTATGTTTTTATATATGTTGGAAGCCACCCAGAGTGGCTGTGGCAAATTATCATTATATTATTATGGAATATGGCACCCCTATTTTCATCAGAGAACGTTGGCGGGTATGTGAGACTTTTTGGTGAAGGGTGGATAAGAAATCTAAGGAAGGAAGATTTGGGGAAGATCCACAAACACTTTGCATGATGTTTTCAGATGGATCTGGGAACATCTCATGCCTGATACCCTAGAAGGCTGCTGCAAGTCAGAGCAGGAAATACTGGCCTGGCCTGGCGGCCCCCTCCTCCCTGGGCCCCAAATTATACTGGGAATCATTTCAGCCCACTTTGCTTTTCCTCAGGATGCCGTTTGGCTGCATCGGACTTCGGGATGACAAGAACTACAACAGCCTGTCTGACATCACGGACAAGTATGAGATTGGGCAGCTGCTACGGGCGTAAGTAGGGTAGCAGAATGAAGAGCCCCCGGCTGAAGAGCCGCAGCTCCCTGTGGCCTCCGGGGAAGCACTCCAAGGGAGCAAAGGAGCCGGGCCACTGGCAGGCTGGGCTGTTGGGGGCGGGTCTTTGTGTCTTTGCCACCCATTATTTGGAATCATAGCTGTCAAGTTACAGATTTGAAAATAAGGGACCAGCAGCCTTGAAAATAAGGGACCAGCAGCCAAAATAAGGGACCTGCAGCCTCACTCGTTCCAGGCACTCCAGTCTTCCTGGCCTCCTGCAGTCTGGTCAAACTCATGCTGGTAGCTTCGAGAACACTGTCCAACCAACTTTGTAACCAGAGGTTCAACTGAATAGAATCTGAATCACATGCACCACAAGGCCTATGCAGCCTCAATTTAAGATGGCTCCCCGGCCTGGCTTTGCACTGCTAAGTTTGCAGCAGCACGTGCAACAAAATGGCGTCCAGCTTTCAAAAAACCCCTCAGCTTGCATTAACTAGCCACACACAAGGCATGCAAGCTCCACCCCCCAGTCGTTCTTAGACTTCTTATTGGGTGAGCAACACAGCCAAGCAACACAGTTGGATCCTCCCTCCTCCCTGGCCGGCAGGGATGGAGGGAGGGAGGGAGAGGAGCTGCTTCCTTTGAAATTTAAGGGACATTTAAGGGACATCCATCAATAAGGGACAGCAGCGGGACATCGCGCTGGAATAAGGGACTGTCCCTTCAAATAAGGGACACTTGACAGCTATGTTTGGAATGTCCTGTCACAGCAGTTGGCCAGACGCCCTTTGGCATTTCTGGCACAGCTGCAGCATCCGTTCTTCTCTTTCACACGGCCATCCTGCACCCAGCAGCCTCAGAGCAGCCACAGCATCTTCTCACCCTTGCCTGGCGCACGTGGAAGTTGGCACTTGGCAGCAGGACAGAGCTCTTGGCCTCGCGTCTCTCACGCCACTGCTTTGCGGCTGCCCACCCCGTTAGCCCTTAACCCCTTCCTTCCCTTTGCTCTGCCTTCAGTGGCCCTGACGCACATAATAGCTATGTACTTTTAAAGCACATTTCCCCCCAAAGAATGCTGGGAACTGTAGCTTATTCTTCACAAAGCTATAATTCCCAGCACCCTTAACAAACGGCAGTTCCCAAGATTCCCTGGGGTGTAGGGTGTGCTCTAAATGCATGGCACATATGCAGCCAGTGAGCAAGGGACAGTTAGCAGCTGCAGCAATTGTTGCTTTCGTTTTAGCCCATACCCTGCCTGCCATTTTGCCACAAGTGAGCAGGAAGAAGAGGAGCACGGCTTCTCCAAAATGGCCTCCTAGGCTGCGAAGGATCCATGAACTGGCTGCTGGGAGAGACAAGCTGAAGGCCAGAGGGTAGTCCCTTCAGGACAGCACAGGCGGCAAATGTCCAGCCAGCCTATTTGGCATCTTCAATGCACCACAACCATTCAAACTTGCCCGGGTGCCTCTGGACTTGGTTTGGTCATTGCATTTACTTCATGCGAAATCACATTCACCCGGTGCTATACCAGCTGCACTGGCTCCCGGTGGGGTACAGGATCAGGTTTAAGGTGCTGGTTTTAACCTTTAAAGCCCTATACGGCCTAGGACCCTCGTACCTACGGGACCGCCTCTCCTGGTATGTCCCACGGAGGACCTTCTGGTCTTCAAACAAAAACATCTTGGAGGTCCTGGGCCACAGAGAGGTTAGGCTGGCCTCAACTAGAGCCAGGGCTTTTTCAGCTGTGGCTCCAATCTGGTGGAACGCTCTGTCACAAGAGACTAGGGCCCTGCGGGACTTGACATCTTTCCGCAGGGCCTGCAAGACAGAGTTGTTCCACCAGGCCTTTGGTCGGGGTTCAGTCTGACTCCCTCTCCCCTTTCATAAGAACTTGCATGAAAGTGGCCTCCCAATTTTTCTCACAGGCCCAAATAAGTTCAGCACAAACAGTTGGGCCTGGTGAGCATTTAAGGTCCCCAACCCTAATCTGCAGGTTGCCATCTGATTGGATTTTATTCTGATCCTGATTTGAGGATGTATTTTAATTGATTGTCTGATTTTATGTTAATGTGTTATTCATTTGATGTTAGCCGCTCTGAGCCCAGCTTCGGCTGGGGAGGGCGGGATATAAATAAAATTTATTATTATTATTATTATTATTATTATTATTATTACTATTATGCCTTCCCTCTGAGGAGAGAAGGCAGCCCATGTCCTCACTTCCTCCTCACAACAACCTTGTGAGGTAGGATGGGTTGAGATAGTGATAGCCCAAGGTCACCAAGTGAGTTTCATGGCTGATGAGGAATTGAACCCTGGTCTCCCAGGTCCCAGTCCACCACGTGAGAATAGGAATGGGGTATCTTCCAAAAGTTCCATCAACTCCACCCAGCATGGCCAAAGGTCAGGAATGATGGGACTTGTAGTCCAGCAATATCAGGTGGGTCACAGGTTCCCTATTCCTCCCCTAAAAGCTATGCTACGCTCCAAAAAGTGGCCTCAAACCCAAAGCATGGAGAACTGATATATTATTGTTTATCAGCCATGGCAGCTGAAAGGGCCCTCTAAAGTCTGAGGCAACAGGGCACAGGCTATCACCTTTCTGCCCCGCTTGCTTGCTTCCCCAAGACATGATCTGGCCAGCTACTCAGGAAAGCAAGATGCTGAACGAGGCAGCCTGGGCGGCTCATCTAGCAGCAGCAGAGCAGTTTTCACAGCGAAAGCGTGTTTCTTTTTTGCCCTCCCCTGTCCCACAGGAAGGAGTTCTGTGAGATTTGTGTGGCCCGCGAACGCCAGACAGACCGACTGTATATCTGCAAGAAGTTTCTCAAGAAAGACGGGCGCAAGGTGCGAAGGGCAGCCAAGAATGAAATCCTCATCCTGAAGATGTACGTGTCTGAGATGGGGGTTTAGGAGTGGGGGGCGGGATGCTGGGAGTCATCCACACTTGCCCTCGCTCTGCCACTTTCTCCCGAGGAAACCTGATTGTGGGTTTTCCCAGGGAAAGTGGCAGGGTAAGCAGAATGGGTGGGGTAGAAATGTTATTCTTACCTCCCCAAAGTCCCTTTGCCAAAGGTCCCTCCATCCTGCAGGCAGCCCAGGTTGGCGTGTCTGTGCCAGTGGACTCCCGGGTGCTCCCTGGCCCTCATCTGTGTATAAAGCTTGTGTGTTTTCTCTGCTTTTCTGGGGAGAAAGAAGCTGTGCTTCTGTAAATCATAACACTCCCCGTAGCTTCTTTTCAGCAAACTGCCAAGTTGACAGGCTGTGGAGCGAGTTCATGGCCACTGAGCCAGAGTTAAGCTCGCAGCTAAATGTTCAGTTATAGCAACGGAAGTAAAGCGTTGGCGCTGGACAGCTCCAGGATTGTGAGGAAATGAGACAGGGAGACTGGGGGACATGAAAGGAGAATAAAAATATTCACGAAAGCAAATGCATCAGGACAAAAAGGTTGCCATCTGTTGTGGGGGTGGGGGGTGGGGTTCCACGGGAAGGCTCCTCTGGTCTTTAACATCTCTCTTATGATATATGGTTTGAAGGCTGGTCGGTTTAAGAAATATTTTGTAATTAGGAAATTATATACAGTATGTGGGTATATATACGCACTGCTGCATTATGAGGCAGAAATTCCACAGATAAAGCTTTCCCTTCACCGGCTCTGCATGCTGAGAAAATCACCACTTGTTGAAAACTGCACCAGGTGGGGTGATGGTGGAAATATATCTATCCTACCTAGTAAGGGCCAAGCAAGGAAACTAAAATCCAGAGCAGAGAAGGCAGGACATCTTGGTGGAATAACCACAAGGTGTGCCAAATGTGAAATGCCTGGTTCTTATACTGCACGAAAGGTGAGGACCCTCTGGCGTATGGGCCAGTTTTGGCTCACCAAATATCCTTCTCGCTCGGCTGTTCCTGGTAAACAAGGAGGAGAGGAACATATGTTGCTCCAGGATCTGGAAGGTGTTTGTATTAAAGCCCTTCTAAAATGGAGGGGGGGGGGGCGCTCCATTTTAAGAGCAAGTTCAGTGCAAACTCCTTTGTGATCCTGGAGCAAGTCTTCTGAAGAGCACAGCTTAGAAAAGGCCTGTGACTTTATGTCATTGTGATGCCAAGTGGTTGACAGGTGGGTGTCAAATCTGTCCCACAAGCGGCAGGACAGGTAGGGCTACAGCCCACTGCGCAGGGGAGGAGGGGTCCGCCTCCTGTGTTACAGCCTAGAAGTGTCCCCACAGCCGCCTCCCTTCCCTGTGGTAAGTGGGTGAATATGAACTTCCCCTGTGTGGCCTGGGGCATTTGTATTATTTGTGTTATTAAATTTATAACAAAGAATTTGTATACTGCCTAATCATAAAAACCTCTAAGCAGCTTATGGAAGATATAAAATGACATTAAAATCATCAGTAACAACTGGGAGTTAAAAATAAGACTTAACAAATTGTAAGTAAAGCCACCAATTACACACAAACACACACCCCCCAAAATAAAATTACATATTAAAATACATGCCGACTTTACACATCTTGGCAGCCTTGCTTAAACAAAAACGCTTTTAGCAGATACCAAGAACAATAAAGTGAAGGTGACTGTCTAATGTCAATTGGCGGGCAGTTCCAGAGGGTAGATGCTGCAGCGCTGAAAGATTGCTGAGAACTGCAAAACAAACATTAAGTGGCATTTATAATCCCAGTAGTTTCTGGCACTGTGATTGTTTCATTAATATTTTATACCCCCCCCCCAATGTATCACAAAATTCAAAGTTAATAATAATAATAATAATAATAATAATAATAATAGTTTTTTATTATTTATACCCCAGCCCCCAACAGATTAAAAACAGAATAAAACGGGGTTTGTGTGGGGTTCCCAAGTTCTTCAGGCTGCGGATGAAACTACATGTGACACAGAGTTCTGTGAGGATGTGTGATTTCCCATACCAACACAGAGTGCAGTTGAAGTGTGAGGAGAGAGGGCCCTTGCACTTTCTAGTCATGCCACACCCAGCCTTGAAAATCATGCCTAATCTGCTTTTAACTGCACTAGGGGGCAGGCTCCATGTTGGGGGGACAGAACCTCAGTTAGTTAAGTTTTTCTATTGTTTTGCTTGATGGGGGGGGGCAGCTGCCTCCCTGCCCCCCCGGCTATGCCCATGCTGTTAAACCTAGCTTTTATAGTTAATTTTGCTGCTAACAGCAACAGATTTCATGCCTGCTAAAGACAACCTTAACTTGAGGTGCTAACTGCCAAATCATTTGGAAAATACCCCTGTTTCTGCTTTGTAGTTGCACAGCCCAACCCATGTGAGCACTCACATAACTCTCACCCTCATTTTGTGCTAGCATTTGCTAGGGGGAAAGGAGGAATATTAATATTTCTCTTTAAGCGAGTCTCCGTTTCTGCGAGGCAGGTAGATGTAAAAGAAAGAAAGAAAGAAAGAAAGAAAGAAAGAAAGAAAGAAAGAAAGAAAGACTAAGGCAGAGAGAGCCAAAAGGGAAAGGTGGCAGCCCCTCACCTGTTTCCATCCCAAACTGCAAGCAGCCAACCCTCCCCGCATCTCTGTTTGCCACCATCAAAGCTGTGCGCTTGATTCCCTGCTCAACCTGACATCATCAGAGCTGGTTTTAGCCTCTTTAGACGTCTAAAGGCCAGGCATGCATTATTGACTAGGGCCTTGGGGGCTGGCTGGGATTTCTGCTGATTTGGTCTTTGCACAAATGGTCCCTCAGGTGCAAACAACAAAGCCAAACTGGCAGGGGACAGGCAGCAAGAATGGTGGAAGGAGTCAGATCAGGAGAGAGAGGAGATGGAGGACTGGGCTGGTACTGAAGCAGTTCGGAGGGGTGGGGAGTGGATACTCATGGAGGGAGCAGACAGGAGCCCATGCATCTCTGCATTTTTCTTCCAGGGTGAGTCACCCCAACATCTTGCAACTGATTGACACCTTTGAGACGAGGAAGGAATTCTACATCATCCAGGAACTGTAAGTTTCACTGGGAGGTGTAGGCGTACTGTGACATGTCAGGCACAAATGTGCCCAAGAAGCAGCTGGTTGAGAGGGCAAGGAGCCCTTCCACCTGCCCTGAACGTCATCATCACCCTCATCCCACCTGAAGGGCTTGGGGCAGGTTAGAACAATTAAAGTACAATGCTGAAAGCAGTTAAAAACAACTTACTATCACAGAAATAATGCCAGTGCCATTTCAATTTGTGTAAAGCTGATTAAACCATGCTAGGTGTTTGTGTGCGCTTGACTGGGTACTGAGAACTGCTTGGTTGGGCTGTGTCTTTGAACTCTGATAATGCCTCTCACCTGCCAAGTGGAGGCTAGACAGGGGCATATTTAAAGCAATCTCACTTTGCAAAAGTAACATTTGCATTAGCTGCTCTGCCCACTTTTGCCTCTGAATGTTTGCACATCTCTGCTACTTTTATATCCCACCTTGACTCCAAGGAACTCAAGGTAGCAAACATGGTCCACCCCTTGTCCATTTTATCCTCACAACCACCCTGTGAAGTAGGTCAGACTGGCTGCTTCGCTTAAGGTCCCCCAAGTGAGCGTTGTGGCTGAGTGGGGATTTGAACTCTGATCTCCCGGGGTCCTAGTCTTTGGAAGAGCAACGTAGGAATCACTTGGGCTGTCACTTTTCTGCAATCCATTCTGTTGTCTGGCTACTCCGAATCCAGCAGTGCCCAGCGGGGAATGGGGTGTGCTGCCCTCTTTCCGTTGATTCCACAACTCACGCTGAATTCTGTGTGTCGCCTGCAGGGCCACTGGTGGGGATGTTTTTGACTGGATCCTGGACCAGGGCTACTACACGGAAAAGGATGCCAGCAATGTTGTCCGGCAGGTGCTGGAGGCATTGGCTTATTTACATAACCTGCACATTGTTCATCGCAATCTCAAGGTAAGGAAAGATTCCTGGATCCCAGGCCTGACATGCTCAGAGTGACCTCCCTCCCTCTGATGGGCCTTTCACTCTTCCAACAAGAGGAAAGGGCCCAGAGGGACCCGGATTACATTTGTACTGCACTGTACCGTTTTAGGGCTGGGGAGAGATGATGGCTAACTTTGTTCACCTGTGTCTCTGCTGCCTCCAGCTGGAGAATCTCATGTACTACAACCAGAACAATCGCTCCAAGGTGGTACTGCGGGATTTTTACCTCTCACGCTTCGAGAACGGGGCCATCACAGAACCATGCGGGACCCCTGAATATTTGGGTATGGATATGTCTTTCCCTTTCCCAGAGCTGGATTAAAAACTAAGAGGCATGATTTCTCCTCCCCTGTACAGCTCTAACTGGCCTTCATGGCACATTGACAGAAACGAGGAGCTTTGTAGGCTGCCCAACACTTCTTTCCTCACAGGCAAAAATTCAACAGATAGAGCCATCCTTCTGGCACAGAGACACAGTGACAAAGAAGACATTGCCTTTTGCATTTCTGCCTTCCATACGGCTGCTAACAGCACACCACCTTAGCGGGGGGGGGGGGCTGGGAAGGTGAAAAGAAGCACCTGGGCACCTGCCTCCTAACACCACTAGTTTTGTCTTTCTTTTTTTAAAATAATATTTATTAAGAGTTTAAAGATTACAGAAAAAGGAAAGAAAGAGAGAAAAAATAAACAATACAAATCAATACATTACTATACATAAAAAACAAAAAACACAATACATCAAAACAAAAGCAAAAACAATTAAAAACACATCCAATATTTCCATATCTTCGTCTTTCATTAACTTGTTTCATCGACCTCCTCACACCTCCCTTTTTTGTGTTCTAATTATTAATTATTTCAGCAAATCCATTTTTCACTATTTTCTGTCATATAATTGTCATAATTTATTTTAACCTTATCTTACCATTAATACCCTGAAACTTATTTGTACTTAACTCCTTATAACATTTCTACTAAAGCCATGTAATTTCATTCCAACATTTTTCTAACACTCATTAATTTTACAATGTTTCTATAAATAAATTTTAAACTTTTTCCAATCTTCTTCCACCGTCTCTTCTCCCTGGTCTCGGATTCTGCCAGTCCTTTCTATCAATTCCATATGGTCCATCAACCTGGTGATCTTCTGTCCGAGGCTCTTAACTCTTTTCCATGTCCCTTCTGCAGATCTTCTTCATATTTATACATGCACTTTACTTTATCTTCTGCTGATCTTATTCTTAATTTCCTTCCTTTGACACTGAGGAGTAGATCTTGGGGAAGCTCCAACCTAACAATGTCTTTATTCCTTCTCGTCAGGTCAGCCCATTCTCCATAGTCAAAACTAGAGTCCAAAAGATATTTCAGGACGTGTTTCAACTGGCTTTCTCTAAATTCAATCGTAGAAGGCAACAGCTTATATTCATCAAATTGTCTCTGTAAGACTGGGGCTCTCTCCACTTGTATTACTTGAGGTTCTACAACAACTTTCTCCCTCGTCTTCTCCACAACTTGCCATGTCGAAGTAGATTCCTGAATCGATTCCTGAGTAGTTTCTGTATAGATATTCACTTCTTGTCCCAAATCAGTCATTTTTTGTCCCAAATTGTCAATTTTAATAGTCATCACATCCATCTTCTCATGAAGCTGTTCCAATAAAACCCTTATCTTGCAAAATGCAATCACTAAGGCTTCTTCTGTCGACATTCTTGTCCAAGGGCAATCTCTGATTCTCATGGTCTTTTATCTCTGCAGCTAGAAAATTCCCCAGCTCCACTCCTGCAACAGTTTCAAAAGCTCCCTCTAGAGGAAACAATTTCTATTTGTATCCGTCCTTTTAAACGCAGATCCAGCAACAAAGTTAGTTTCAATCTTTCAGTTACTTTTGCTCCTTTTTGAGTGCAAAAGGAAACAATGGAAACAATATATTTCTCTTATTTAACTATCTGTCAACGTACGCTTTATTCACAGTCAATGAACTTTCCCAAAACGTCAATCTTAGTGGCAGCCCGTTCCCAGGTTCAAAACAGTGGTAATTTGTCTTTCTTCACTCTCTCTCCTGCAGGCTTAGGCAATCTAAAATTTCCCCCCTCTTCTCCTGCTTCCAAGGGGGGTTTGATAATTTTAATCCTTTACAAAAGGCTCTCCAAGACTTTAGCTTGCAGCGTCTTTGCTCAATCTATTTACAAAAGAGGAAGGCGGACTTCCTGTTTGAAACCTTCCCGTTTCGGCGCTGAATTAAGATGTTTAAAGATCCAATTTTCCGTTCTACTCACGGGTAGTTGTTTAAAGTCCAATTGTCCACAGGAAAAAGTCAGCGCTCTCCGGCAACGGCAATGCAGCTTCACTCCGTGAAAGAAGCAGTCGATTCGAAGCACCGCGCCGCTCACCCCACGTCGCTCCGGATCCCCGAAACCGGGTTTCCCCGTGAATAGGGGAGGCGCAAAAGGTGCCAGCCGAATCCCACGTCCACAGGCTTCTCCCGCCTGTGGTTTTTAGTGGGTCTCCGCCTTCGCTGTGGTGGCCAGACCCTGATTTCCACGGAGCGGATTCCTCCCGATCAGAGGAATTCCGCCATTGCCGGAGGCGCTAACCCGGAAGTTCCACCACTAGTTTTGTCTTAACCAGCTCTTAAATGTTTTCCCCCTCTGACCCATATGTTTCTCTCCCCACAGCTCCTGAAGTGGTTGCTCGGCAACGCTATGGACGTCCTGTTGACTGCTGGGCTGTTGGAGTTATCATGTTTATTCTGTGAGTTCCACCAGCATTTGTGTGTGTGTGTGTGTGTGTGTGTGTGTGTGGAAAAGGTGGGCAGAAAGGAACCTAGGAAAGGCCAAAGTGGCAGTCTCACAACAAGCTTGACAGACATGATTCGCCAGACATCTGACCCACAGGTACGGCCTCTGATTGGCAGACACAAAGCACAGGGCCTTCAGGGCAGGTCTTCAGATGTTCCTTGAAGACTCATTTCTTCCCGTCTGCCTTTCTTTGGCCACATTTTTTACTGCTGATTCCTGAGACTAGATGCTTCCATATTCTTATTTATTTTTTTAACCACTCAACTCTACCCCCACTGGATCTCCTTTAGTTATATGCTGCCTTGCGAGGCTATTCCCTGAGAGGTGGAATATATGATTATTTCAATGATGTGTTTGATTCAGAATTGCTTGGGTCCAAGTCTTCTGTTGCCTTGTAATGATTTGATTCACCCCTATTACCTGCCCCCCCCCCAAAAACAGGCTGTCTGGGAACCCCCCGTTCTACGATGATACAGATGATGAGAACAGCAATAGCCACAACCGCCGGATATTCCGCAAAATTCTGGCTGGGGACTACGACTTTGACTCCCCCTATTGGGATGACATCTCTCTTGCCGGTAAGAGAGGGAGGCCTGACCAGGACTCTGGGAACTGACTCGATTCTGACCAGACTCCTCTAGCCTAGTCTAGACATGCAAATGAATGAGACAGTAGAATCCCAAGACGGAAAGTGGGCGATTTCAGGCTTCAAGTGGGAAGGACATTGGTTGTTAATATAAAACTCTGCCTGTTTGTTTAAATGAATGAATGAAGAAAGCACACATGGGGAGAGCATCTTTTAGCACAATCTTCTGTGTGGGTTGATTTGGTTAAAAGGAAAACAGATATGCTATAATAAAAGGATAATACCCTGGATGCCAAGATCTGGGTTTGGAGCAAGTGCAGTCATACCTCGGAAGTTGAACAGACTCCGTTCGACTTCTGAAATGTTCAACTTCCAAAGTGCGGCTTCTGATTAACTGCAGGAAGCTCCTGCAGTCAATTGGAAGCTGCGGAAGCTCCATCGGACTTTTGGCTTCCGAAAGAACATTCAACAACTGGAACCCTCCCAGTTTTTGATTGTTCGGAAGTCGAAACGTTCGACTCCCAAGGCGTTCAGGAGCCGAGGCATGACTGTACTCTTTGGCAAGAGAGCCTCAGCGGATTTTCAATCACAAAACATGCAGGACTAATATAAGCCTGGCAGGACAGCTTACTCTATGGTTTTAACCCCTTCATGCATTAATTAGAGTTTAGCATGTTGGTTATATGAGGCTGGGTATCTCACACACTCCTCACTGTGGTGGTCTTCTTTCCACCCCCCAAAACTACATAAGGAATTCAAAATGTATGCTCCTCTTGTTACTTGAAATGGTAAAGTCCATTCTACCACGGAACATGTATTCCAACCTTGCTCTGGGTCACGGGGGGGACGGGGGACAGAGACGACGATTGTTCACTTTCTTTAATGTTTCCCACCAACCACCCTTTTCCTTTCTCCCATGCAGCCAAAAAGTTGGTGTCACAGCTTATGGAAGTTGACCAGGACCAACGAATCACTGCCCAGGAGGCACTGGGACATATCTGGTGAGAATTCACCATTCATGAGGCCCTCCCTGGGCCCTCAACATACATGTGCATGGGGGAAAATTGGTTGCTTATTACATATTGCAGCATTTATTAGATGACTATGAATGAAACTAAATTCTATCAATACTAGCAGGACGTGTGTGAATGTGTGTGGAAAACATGCCTATAATCTGCCCCATTTCTTCCCCATCCGTATTTTCCTCCTGCCTTTCATTAACAAACTGGAGTGACTGGCTTAGTACTATGTGTGAACCAGCACCCATAAGCTGTTTCTGCTGAACAAACTATGAACCACAGGGCCAGTTCTACCATTAGGAAGATTGGGGCAATGGCTTCAGGCAGCAGATTCTGGGGAGCAATGGGAACAGCCCTGCAGCTCTTCCCCCTGAGCCCCCTGGACATACCCTTCTTTTGTGAACTGAGTGTGCCAGGAGGCCTACCCTGCACCCTCATAACTACCCTTCTTCCTGCAGGTATGGCGGGGCATATTATCCCAATACTAGCATTGAAGTAAGACTAGCTGACCTCTGAACATGGAATAGGAGAAGGGTGCTACTTTGTCCATTTGAGGCAGCCAAATGACCTGGGCTTGCCCTGGCAAGCAGGAAGCCAAGAAAAATCATAGAGAGCAGTGTGGTGTAGTGGTTAAGAACGGTAGACTCATAATCTGGTGAACTGGATTCGCTTCCCTGCTCCTCCACATGCAGCTGCTGGGTGACCTTGGGCCAGTCACACTTCTCTGAAGTCTCTCAGCCCCACTCACCTCACAGAGTGTTTGTTGTGGGAGAGGAAGGGAAAGGAGAATGTTAGCCGCTTTGAGACTCCTTCGGGTAGCGATAAAGCGGGATATCAAATCCAAACTCTTCTCTTCTTCTTCTTCTTCTTCCACTCCTGGTGGTGTTTTTGAGAGAGAAACAAACTGCAAATGCTGGTTTGCACACGGTGGTGAACTAGCCACTCTCTGTGTGTTCCTGTTCTAGGAAGAGAAGACCAAAGTGGGACTAACAAATGTTACTAATAACAAATAATAATAATAATAATAATAATAATAATAAAATAATAATAGGGCCATAGTCAAACAACACTGTCTTAGTACTGCAGTCCAAGACACACATACCTTGGAGTAAGCCCCACTGAAATGAACAGGATTTACTTCTGAGTAGGCATGCCTGGGATTATTCTGCACGTGAGGCATTCCCATGTTTGGGAATGCTTCTTCTATTTATTTATTTTTAATAATTTTTATTGAATGATTTATATCACAAAAAACACAGCCATACCACCACAAAATACAACCGAGAAATAAAAATCACATACAACAATATTTTGTTTGTTATTTATTTATTTATTTTGGTTTTACTATTCAGTAGTTCTCTTTCAAATCTTGAAGGCTCCTTTTCAAAACCTATTTGCTTGTCCTGTCTGAACACTTCATTCACCTGGAAGTATTCTAGCCAATTAGAAAAGTGATCTTTTATTTTCTCATAACTTATCAATAATAGTTGACCTTCTTCCTCCCTGAATATTGTGTTATACGTTATCCAGTTCTCTTTGATGTTATTAATATTTTTTTAACAGTGATTGCTTCTAGTGGAGAATTCCATCTTGGGGTTTTCCGTTCCAAATATCCTTTGTATTTTTCCCATACCATATATATAGCATTTCGTATTGTATGGTTTGAGAAACTCCTATGCGCCTTTATCTTCCTGTAATTAAGATAGCCATGCCACCCAAAGCAGGTATCATGGCCTTCTAGATCTAAAATATCCCAATTTTTTAATGTACATCAATCTTTCAACCAGAAAAGACATGAGGCTTCGTAATATAGCTTCAAATCCGTTAACCCGTAGCTACCTCTTTCTATAGTATCTATTAATATCTTATGCTTAACTCTTGGTCTTTTACCCTTCCACAAAAATTTAGAAATTTCTTTTTGCCACTTGTTGATACTGCTGGTCTTTCCTATAATTGGAATCATTTGGAACAGAAAGAGTAGCTTTGGTAAAACTATCATTTTAATTACCGAAATACGGCCCAAGAATGATAAATTTAACCTAGTCCATGTTTCCAACTGTCTTTTGATATCTTTCCAACAATTGGTATAATTATGTTCATATAGAATCATAGAATCATAGAGTTGGAAGAGACCACAAGGGCCATCGAGTCCAACCCCCTGCCAAGCAGGAAACACCATCAGAGCACTCCTGACATATGGTTGTCAAGCCTCTGCTTAAAGACCTCCAAAGAAGGAGACTCCACCACACTCCTTGGCAGCAAATTCCACTGTCGAACAGCTCTTACTGTCAGGAAGTTCTTCCTAATGTTTAGGTGGAATCTTCTTTCTTGTAGTTTTTTTTTTTTTTTTAATGATATTTATTAAAATTTCAAAAGAAAAAGATCACATTAATAAGAAAATTAACAATAAAAAGGAAAAATACAAAATACAAAGTACAAAAAAAAAAACCAGTTAAAAACAATTCCATCTTTTCATCACTTCTTTTACATTTACTTGTTTCCCGGACCTCCTCATACCTCCCTCTTTTGTATTCCAATTCAGTTTGTTAGTCCAGCGATTCCTTTCCCTCCTTTTTAATCCTGATCATTAATCTTGATATATTATAACATTAAATTTTTACCTATTAAAAACCAATTTTTCCATTTTTTTTTATACCATTACCGCTAGAAACCGCTTAACTTCAATCCGTCATCATTCTAACATTCATTAATTTTACAATATTTCTGTAAGTAATCTTTAAATTTCTTCCAATCTTCTTCCACCGACTCTTCTCCCTGGTCTCGGATTCTGCCAGTCATTTCCGCCAATTCCATATAGTCCATCATTTTCATCTGCCATTCCTCCAGTGTGGGTAGATCTTGTGTCTTCCAATGCTTTGCAATAACTATTCTTGCTGCTGTTGTAGTATACATAAAAAAAGTTCTGTCCTTCTTTAACACTGATTGGTTGACTATGCCCAGGAGAAAGGCCTCTGGTTTCTTCAAGAAGGTATATTTAAATACCTTTTTCAGTTCATTATATATCATTTCCCAGAAAGCCTTAATCCTTGGGCACGTCCACCAAAGGTGAAAGAATGTACCTTCAGTTTCTTTACATTTCCTCTTCTTTCTTGTAGTTTGGATCCATTGCTCCGTGTCCGCTTCTCTGGAGCAGCAGAAAACAACCTTTCTCCCTCCTCTATGTGACATCCTTTTATATATTTGAACATGGCTATCATATCACCCCTTAACCTCCTCTTCTCCAGGCTAAACATGCCCAGCTCCCTTAGCCGTTCCTCATAAGGCATCGTTTCCAGGCCTTTGACCATTTTGGTTGCCCTCCTCTGGACACGTTCCAGTTTGTCAGTGTCCTTCTTGAACTGTGGTGCCCAGAACTGGACACAGTACTCCAGGTGAGGTCTGACCAGAGCAGAATACAGTGGCACTATTACTTCCCTTGATCTAGATGCTATACTCCTATTGATGCAGCCCAGAAATGCATTGGCTTTTTAGCTGCCGCGTCACACTGTTGGCTCATGTCAAGTTTGTGGTCAACCAAGACTCCTAGATCCTTTTCACATGTACTGCTCTCAAGCCAGGTGTCCCCCATCTTGTATTTGTGCCTCTCAGTTTTTTGCCCAAGTGCAATACTTTACATTTCTCCCTGTTAAAATTCATCTTGTTTGTTTTGGCCCAGTTCTCTAATCTGTCAAGGTCGTTTTGAAGTGTGATCCTGTCCTCTGGGGTGTTAGCCACCCCTCCCAGTTTGGTGTCATCTGCAAATTTGATCAGGATGCGCTTGAGTCCATCATCCAAGTCGTTGATAAAGATGTTGAATAAGACCGGGCCCAAGACAGAACCCTGTGGCACCCCACTAGTCACTCTTCTCCAGGATGAAGAGGAACCACTGATGAGCACCCTTTGGGTTCGGTCAGTCAGCCAGTTACAAATCCACTGAGTGGTAGCATAGTCAAGACCGCATTTTACCAGCTTCTTTACAAGAATATCATGGGGCACCTTGTCAAATGCCTTCCTGAAATCAAGGTAGACTACATCCACTGCGTTCCCTTCATCTACCAGGCTTGTAATTCTGTCAAAAACGAGATCAGGTTAGTCTGACATGACTTATTTTTCAGAAATCCATGCTGACTATTGGTGATCACAGCATTCCTTTCTAGGTGCTCACAGACTGTTTGCTTAATGATCTGCTCCAGAATCTTCCCTGGTATTGATGTCAGACTGACTGGGCGGTAATTATTTGGGTCCTCTCTTTCCCCTTTTTGAAAATAGGGACAACATTTGCCCTCCTCCAGTCTGCCGGGACTTCGCCTGTTCTCCAGGAATTCTCAAAGATGACTGCCAGTGGTTCTGAGATCACATCTGCCAGTTCTTTTAATACTCTTGGATGCAGTTCATCTGGCCCTGGAGACTTGAATACATCTAAACTAGCCAACTATTCTTGTACTATCTCCTTAGTTATTTCCTCTGTGTTTCCTCTGCTGAATCCTTTGCTCCAAATTCTTCAGGTCGGGCATTGTTTTCTTTATCGGAGAAGACTGAGGCAAAGAAGGCATTGAGGAGTTCAGCCCTTTCTGTGTCCCCTGTTTGCATTTCACCATCTTCTCCTCTGAGTGACCCCACTGTTTCTTTGTTCTTCCTTTTGCTACGAACATACCCATAAAAGCCGTTTTTGTTGCTTTTAACCTCTCTAGCAAGCCTGAGTTCATTCTGTGCTTTAGCTTTTCTGACTTTGTGTCTACACGTGCTGGCTATTTGTTTGAATTCCTCTTTGGTGGTTTCCCTTTTCCATTTTTTGTACACATCCTTTTTAAATCTTAACTCAGTTAAAAGTTCTTTAGATAGCCACCCTGGCTTCTTTAGGTACCTTCCATGTTTCCGTCTCATTGGTATTGCCTGAAGTTGTGCTTTTACTATCTCCCTCTTAACAAACTCCCAGCCATCATGAACTCCCTTTCCTTTTAGTATTACTGTCCATGGGATCTCACCCAGCACTTCCCTAAGTTTTATGAAGTCGGCTTTCTTAAAGTCAAGAAATTGAGTCCTAGTATGCTTGGCTGCTCCTTTCCGCTGTAAGAGCATGATCACTCGCGCCTAATGATCCTTCCACTTCTACCCCACTAACCAGGTCATCAACACTGGTTAGAACCAGATCTAAAATGGCTGTTCCTCTTGTTGCTTCTCCCACTTTCTGGACAATGAAGTTGTCTGCAAGGCCAGTGAGGAATCTGTTTGACCTTATGCTCTTGGCTGAGTTTGACATCCAACAAATATCCGGGTAATTGAAGTCCCCCATTACTACTATCTCCCTTCCTTTTGCATGCTTGGCCATCTGTTCCAGGAAGGCATCATCTATGTCCTCCGTTTGGCTTGGGGATCTATAGTAAACGCCCACAATGAGGTCACTGTTATTCTTCTCTCCCTTAATTTTGACCCAAATGCTCTCACTTTGGCTTTGAGGTTCTAAATCTTGGATCTCTTCACAGGTATACACATCCCTGACATATAACGCCACTCCTCCTCCTTTCTTGTCTGGTCTGTTTCTCTGAAATAGATTGTATCCCCCCATTATTACATTCCAATCGTGGGACTTATCCCACCAGGTTTCAGTGATGCCTATTATGTCATATTTAGTTTGCTGTACCAAGAGCTCAAGCTCATCTTCTTTATTTCCCATGCTTTGCGCATTAGTGTACAGACATTGAAGTCCATTAATCATTCCCCCGTGTCTCTTATTTAAGGATTTTTTCCTCCCACCACTAGGTCTGCGTGCTGTTTGCTCCATTTGGTCTATGACATTTGGATGATCATCTTCATCAATTGATAGATTCCTACCTTCAGGAGCACTGTCTCCCTCCCCCACATTAGTCAGTTTAAAGCCCTCCTGATGAGGTTTCTGAGATTTTTGGCAAAAACATTCTTCCTAACTGTTGTGAGGTGCAGCCCATCGCTTGCCAGAAGTCCATCTTCAAGAAACTGCAGTCCGTGATCTAAGAATCCAAACCGTTAATATAATATAAATATAAGTTAATATTCTTTGGTGTTATCCATAATCCTAAATACTTGATTTTGGGGTAGATTGTAATTTGTATTATTTTTTCTAATTCTGCTTTTTCATCTGGCGACAGATTTTTAACTAATAGTTTTGTCTTGTTTAGATTCAGTTTAAACCCCGCAACTTTACCGTAGCCATGTATTATTTCCAGCGCCTTTGTTAAAACTCTGTTTTGGTTGCTCTGTAGTTATAATTAAATTGTCAGCAAATGCCCTCATTCTGTAACTTCTATTTCCCCGCATAATCCCTTTTATTTCTTTTTCCTCCCTAATTCGTTTACATAAAACTTCCAATGTTAATATGAAGATTAAGGGGGATAGTGGGCAGCCTTGTCTGACCCCTTTACTGATTTCACACTCCTGTGATATATTTCCATTTATTATTTTAGCTTTTTGTTTTGAATATATTGCTTCAATCCCTTTTATATACTTTATACCAAAATCCATATGATATAATAGACCTTTCATAAATTTCCAGGAGACGTTTTTTGACAGAATTACAAGCCTGGTAGATGAAGGGAACGCAGTGGATGTAGCCTACCTTGATTTCAGCAAGGCATTTGACAAGGTGCCCCATGATATTCTTGTAAAGAAGCTGGTAAAATGCGGTCTTGACTATGCCACCACTCAGTGGATTTGTAACTGGCTGACTGACCGAACCCAAAGGGTGCTCATCAATGGTTCCTCTTCATCCTGGAGAAGAGTGACTAGTGGGGTGCCACAGGGTTCTGTCTTGGGCCCGGTCTTATTCAACATCTTTATCAACGACTTGGATGATGGACTCAAGGGCATCCTGATCAAATTTGCAGATGACACCAAATTGGGAGGGGTGGCTAACACCCCAGAGGACAGGATCACACTTCAAAACGACCTTGACACATTAGAGAACTGGGCCAAAACAAACAAGATGAATTTTAACAGGGAGAAATGTAAAGTATTGCACTTGGGCAAAAAAATGAGAGGCACAAATACAAGATGGGGGACACCTGGCTTGAGAGCAGGACCGGTGAAAAGGCTCTAGGAGTCTTGGCTGACCACAAACATGACATGAGCCAACAGTGTGACGCGGCAGCGAAGAAAGCCAATGCAATTCTGGGCTGCATCAATAGGAGTATAGCATCTAGATCAAGGGAAGTAATAGTGCCACTGTATTCTGCTCTGGTCAGACCTCACCTGGAGTACTGTGTCCAGTTCTGGGCACCACAGTTCAAGAAGGATACTGACAAACTGGAACGTGTCCAGAGGAGGGCAACCAAGATGGTCAAAGGCCTGGAAACGATGCCTTATGAGGAACGGCTAAGGGAGCTGGGCATGTTTAGCCTGGAGAAGAGGAGGTTAAGGGGTGATATGATAGCCATGTTCAAATATATAAAAGGATGTCACATAGAGGAGGGAGAAAGGTTGTTTTCTGCTGCTCCAGAGAAGCGGACACGGAGCAATGGATCCAAATTACAAGAAAGAAGATTCCACCTCAACATTAGGAAGAACTTCCTGACAGTAAGAGCTGTTTGACAGTGGAATTTGCTGCCAAGGAGTGTGGTAGAGTCTCCTTCTTTGGAGGTCTTTAAGCAGAGGCTTGACAACCATATGTCAGGAGTGCTCTGATGGTGTTTCCTGCTCGGCAGGGGGTTGGACTCGATGGCCCTTGTGGTCTCTTCCAACTCTATGATTCTATGATTCTATGATTCTAACCCTGTCAAAAGCTTTTTCAGCATCTACAGCCATTAAGACTGCCTTCTTTTCTATTCTTAAATCTAAATACTTTAATAAGTTTATGATGTTTCTAGTGTTGCTATGAATGTGTCTCCCGGGCAAAAAGCCAGCTTGGTCATTGTGTATAATCATCTGGAAGACTTTTTTGGATCTTTCAGCTAGAATATTTGCATATAATTTATAATCGTTATTTAGAAGTGCAATAGGCCTATAGTTGTTAATAATTACAGTGGTGCCCCGCAAGACGAATGCCTCGCAAGACGGAAAACCCGCTAGACGAAAGGGTTTTCCGTTTTTCAATGCGCTTCGCAGGACGAATTTCCCTATGGGCTTGCTTCGCAAGACGAAAATGTCTTGCGAGTCTTGAGATTTTTTTCACTCCCCCCCCCTTTTTCTAAGCTGCTAAGCCTTTAATAGCCGCTAAACTGCTAATAGCGCTAATCTGCTAAGCCGCTAATAGGGTTGCTTCGCAAGACAAAAAACCGCTAGACGAAGATACTCGCGGAACGGATTAATTTCGTCTTGTGAGGCACCACTGTAGATGGTCCGTTCCCTGTTTTGGAATTCATGCAATAAGGCTGTCTTTCCAAGAGTCCAGCATGATTCCATCTTTTAAGATGTTGTTCATGATATTTCTTAATGGGTCAGACAGGATGTCCTCAATTTTTTTGTAATATATTGCTTCTTCTAAGAGAGCAACCCACTGTGTTGTATCATTCAAGCTCAGCCTGACATGCCCATTGTACAGCCTGGACAAGTGTCCACTATTTCGAGACCTATCAGGGTGTACTTATGCTCCTTGTCACTGCAGTTATATTCTGATCTCAAAGAACATACCCAAGTACAGACCACTCTCTGGAGGTGACAGACTTGTGCAATGGGTATGAATCTGGTTTCCTGCCTAGGACTTTCAATCAGTCCATCTAGAGGGAATATTTCATCCCACATCCAGCCTCTCTCTGGGGCTCCATAAGGTATGTTCAGGTGCACAGATCCTTGGGAGAGGTTTTTTTCTGACCTGCTAACATTTGAATTTGGCAAGACCTTGGGAGGGAGAAGGCCTCCTCAATGGCTGCTCCTAGGTTCTACTAGGTGTAGTGGTGTAGTGGTTAAGAGCGGTAGTCTCGTAATCTGGGGAACCGGGTTTGCGTCCCTGCTCCTCCACATGCAGCTGCTGGGTGACCTTGGGCTAGTCACACTTCTCTGAAGTCTCTCAGCCCCACTCACCTCACAGAGTGTTTGTTGTGGGGGAGGAAGGGAAAGGAGAATGTTAGCTGCTTTGAGACTCCTTAAAGGGAGTGAAAGGCGGGATATCAAATCCAAACTCTTCTTCTTCTTCTTCTACTAGCAAATACATTTTCATTTAGATAGGCCTTTGGCCCATAAGCTGTATGTAGTCATTGGTGTTCACTGTTTTTTTACTACAGTATTCCATTTGGTAGAGAGGCAGGATACTAAATATGCCTCCCACAACCGTGCCAACTTGCAGGTGTCCCCAGAGCCTTTTCCTTATTTCTGGTTCTTGTCTAAGAACACTAGGAAAACCAGGTGGTAAAAACACTGAATTGTCCCTGTATTATTGAAAGCCTACACTCTCTCACCTGCATTTCTACCTTCTTTACCTCTCAGGATATCTGGAAACATTGCCTCTGAAAAGAACCTCAAGGAAGGGGTCTGTGCCCAGATTGAAAAGAACTTTGCCAAGGCCAAATGGAGGGTAAGTGAGTCACATGTCACATGGTGGCGCTGTGGGGAAGGAAGGGGAGTAGAGAGCAGTGGTCAGCCACTTTATCTTAGCCAAAAGGCTGAGAGGCTATTGAAATCCAGCAATTTTGATCAGAGTCCCTTGGCTCCAAATGCAGCTCCCTCACCAGAGGCAGAGTTGGAGGAAGAAGGGCATGGGATCGGTCAAAAATATGTATCTTATTAAAAAACAGCTCATGCCTTTCTCCTGAAATATTACAGCACTTGTGGAAATCAACAAGATTAGCGTCCCATGTGAAGAATGTGTCCTGACCACACTGCATGTGGTCCAGTCAGTCTTAGCTGGAATCCAACTGGGCAGCAACAATTTTGCTGTGACCCACTTGGTGCTGCCTCATGACCCACCGGTGGGTTCTGACCCACAGGCTGAAGACCTCTGATCTAGGCAGTAATAAGAATTATGATGTTGTAGGAAGCAGATACACTGCAGGGGAGTCTCGGGAACCAGGAAGTGTTCTGGGGCACAGACTAAGTTGACATGAAGTGCTGGCCAGGCCTATGGGACCAACCTTTCCATTGTGGCTCTGGCCTCAAGCTCAGGGTGAAAGGAGGAGGATGAGCTAGCTGAGTCTGAGGCTCTTCAGTCTTTCCCTATGCATCAGCAACCCAATTCGATGTGACGTGATGTGTCTTTCAAAGTCAATGGTTCCAGGAAATCTGTAGACAGCTTCCCTGGAACCATTGCAAGCAGGGCAGAGATGGCGCTGTGCTCTGTCCTGCTTACCAGTTTTGGCAGCCTAGGCTATGAATGTCTCTGCCTGTCGTACCCTTGTCACCAGGAGACTCAGGAAAAATTGGGGGGCTGGGGGCCATTATTTGACATTGCCCTTCTTTTTGCAGAAAGCCATTCGTGTTACTACATTCATGCAACGTCTCCGGGCTCCCGATGTTGGTGGCCGTCTGCCCGTGACTCCGCGTTCCTCCATGAGCGTTGCTCATGAGGTCACCATTGAGGCACCCAGGCTGGCCGAACGTTTGGAGACTCCATGCACACCGCAGGAGCAGCAGAGCAAGATAGAGGAAGTCACGGAGGCGGAGGAATAATGGCCCCTGCTTCCCCGATCCCATATTCTGATGCCTTCTCTGCTCTTGGAAGGGGTGGGTGGGGTCTGTGGGACAGTAGTTAGGGTAGTTATGGGGCAAGGAACTAGGGAGACCCTTAGCAGTGTTATTCCCTCCCCCCACCCCTGCCATTGGTCAGGAGCAAGAGCTATTTGGTTTGGACAGACAGGCAACCAAAAGGAGAGATGGACCCGACCCCACAGAGATGTGTATGGGAAGGGAGGACTGAGCATAAGAAATATGGTAGGACAGGGTGGTGGTCAGCTACCCCACCCCCAGCTCCCTGGAAAATGCACCTGTCTGAGCAGAAGGGGGGGAGACTTCTTCCTAGGCCTTTCCCAGTAGTGGGTGCCAGCTGTGCCCCTTGCCATATTGCATCCACCACCCCAACGCAAATGCGGAATGCCTTGCAGAGTGACTGTCTCTCCCAGGCTTCACGGATCCACATCCCACACATCTGCATCCTTGCCTTTGCGATGTCACAATGGCTTCAGAGGAGTTCCCTTCCTCCACAAAGAAGCTGGAAGTATGAGCCAAGAAGGGGAAACCTTGTCCTCCTATTTGTGGGGGCCTTGGGATATGCCAAGCATTTGCAAACATCAGCCAATAATGGAATGGGAAGCAGTTTCAGGCTAGTGAAGCAAGTGTTGGAGAAGAATCCATTCCATGGAGAAAGGATCCGTTTCCCAGCCTTTCCCTGTTCTATTTGCCCAGTCCTGCATTTCACTTTGAGCAGGGGCAGCAACAGCAGCCAGGTAGGAAACTTGTTACAGATGACTGCCCTCCTGGTTTGGATCCCCAACCTCAACCGGACTGTGCAAGGAGGGGCAAGAGAGGTGCATGTCTAAGCCAGCTGCATGTTTTATGAAGATGCTATTTTAATACAGAAACCTCCCAGCTGCCCCTCCCCTGGAGCTGTCTTTCCCCTCTCCTGGGGCAGCTCTGGGAAATAAAAAATAAACAGAGTCTCTGGTTATTGATGATCTCTTTTTGTTGATGGTGAGTGTTATTATTGAGGTAATTGGTACTGGAATCCTTAAACAAGGTGGGGGAGAAGGGCCTATTTTGAATTCTAAACACCCCCCCCATCTGTATATAGTAAATACAGTTCCCTGCTTTCTGTTGGCTTGATTATGTAATCTGTAGTCCTGCGATAATGCTGCCATCTTATTTCTTTAAACAGCAGAGGAGTCTTCTGGGGCTGAAGCAAGCCAAATGTGAGAAAAGCAAGCACAGAGGGAGGCTTCCTTATACTAAAACGGCCTGTTTGTCCGTCTTAGCTCAGTATTTCTAGTGACTGGGAATGGCTTTCCCAAGGCTTCAGGCAGAGAGTCTTAAGTACCTCCCTAGATCAAACCAAAGGAATAATCTAGAATGGCATTGTCCTTTCTGCTCATAGATTCTTAAAAAATTAAAAATGTGATGTTTTTGAGCTCAAGCCAGCCTAGGCACATGCTGTCCTGGAAGCAAGTGTGCAATTCCCCCATTTCAAATATATGGTAATGGGGTCTCAACTGGTGGTGACTGACAAGGAATGGAGTTGTAGTGGATGGGCTGGTGATGCTGCTGAGCAGCATGTGGCAGCTTGAAAAGCCAAATTCCATGTTAGGAGTCATTAAGAAAGGAACAGAAAATAAAACTGCCAATATCATAATGCAGTTATACATTATCTGTGCTGCAACCACACTTGGTATAACGTGTAGAGTTCTGGTCACCTGACCTCAAAAAGGATATTGTAGAGTTGGAAAAGGTCCAGAAGAAATTCTCAAGAGCAACTCTCCCACGCAGACAGGGTTCAGAAAAGGAAGAAGCAAGGGTTGGGCCACAACAGAGGTGGAGAATATGTGTGAAGATGCTTGGTGTGGAGAAAGCAGATAGTGAGAAGTTTTTCTCATAATACTAGAGCCAACCAATGAAGCTGAATGTTGGAAGATTCAGAACAGAAGAAAGTCCTTCTTCACACAGGGCACTGGTAAACTATGACATTTGCTCTCATGAGGAGGCATAGTGAGAGTCACCAATCTGGATGGCTTTAAAAGAGGATTAGACAAATTCATGGAGGACAACGGCTACTAGTCATGTCAACAATGTTCTGTCTCCGTTTTGGAGGCAGTATTGCCTCTAAAGATCAGCTGCTGGGAATCACCTATGGGGAGGCGGCTGAGACACTCGGGTCCTGCTTGGGGCTCCCCCCAGGCACCTACTCAGCTCCTGTGAGAATGGGATGCCGGAGGCCTCTTCTCTTGCTCTTTCTTCTCTTCTCACTCTTGAGCACTTTCTCCTTATGTTATACAGTAAACCTCAGTCATTGAAAATGGACAGCCAGAGACTCTTGACTCAAATTAAGCTGTCTCCCTGCCACTTCCTTTTCTTCCTATGTTCAGTCTCTTATCTGAAACACAAATTTCCCTAAAGAAAATGGTTGGGACCAACTGAAGCTGCCTCTTCTATCTACCATGAGGGCTGGTTTTCCAAATCCCAGATACATTGTGGTTGCCTATGGTTGCAGGGGAAAGGAAGAGCATTCTGTGTGTCAAACTGCTGACAACACACTCCAAAACTCCGGAGGACTACACTCAGCAGCTTCATATAGATATTAAACAACATGGGGGATAGAATTGAGCTTTGAAGGACCTCATATTGAAGGTCCCATACTGCTGAAAAACAGTCCCCAACCATCCCAACTCAGATAGCCTCTCCAGGGGAATACAGTGGTTGATGAAATGGAAAGCCACCAAGAAATCAAGGAGGATTAGTTTTCTCCTGACAGAGGTAATCATATAAAGTCACCAGGGCAGTTTGTGCCAAAACCAGGCCTAAACCCTGATTGAAATGGATCTAGAGCTCCTGGATCTGGTCAGTGACCACCCGCCCAAGAACACTGCCTAAGAAAGGGATATTGGCAACTGGCTGGTGATTACTTAAGTTCTTAGGATCTAGGGATGGTGTCTCAAGAAGCGCTCCTTTCACTGCCACCTTCAACTTGGCAGGAACCACCCCTCTCATAAAGAGGCATTGACCACCCCCTGGGCCCACATAGATCTGCTCCCTGATGGATTTCATTAGCCAAGAGGGGCAAAGATCCATCCAGGCCCCAATCCAAGCTCTGGTAGATGTTGTGGAAGTGGTGAGGGAGCGGGTGGCACTGTGGTTTGAACCGGGGAGCTCCCGTTGCTTTGTCCCTGCTCCTGTCAACCTAGCAATTCAAAAGCACACCAGTGCAAGTAGATAAATAGGTACCACTGTGGCAGGAAGGTAAGCGGCGTTTCTGTGAGCTCTGGTTTCCATCACGGTGTTCCGTTGCGTTCCCGGAAAAGCTGTTTGTGGACAAACACTGGCTCCCTCAGCGTGAGGTGAGATCCAGCGCTGCACCCCATCATTGAGGGGCAGTATTTCGATTTAAGTAGGAAAATGAGAAAACCCCTAAACATTTTTTTTAGAAAAAAAGCACTGCGTCTATCTCCATCCTGGATTGCGTCCTGTCCGGTACATTGCTCTCTGCGCGAGACCCTCCCTCCCCCCTCCCCCTCCGGCCACGTGCTTCTGCGCGACATCAGGAGCCACGTGCTCCCTCGTCCCTCCAGGCGACCGGCAACTACATTTCCCAGGAGGCACCGCAGCCCCGCCCCGCCGGCCGAGCCGAACCACCCGAGTGGGGCGTGCGGGGGGGGTTCCCCCTCTGAGCTTCCCCTCCGTGCCCGCCCGAGCGCCCTTTTCCCTCAAGGAACCCGAGAGGAGGCCAAGGCCCCGACCCCGCCGCGCCGCGGCCCGGGAAATGCGGCGCGACGCCCGGCAGCTCGGCTTGGGGGCGCGGAGGGACCCCGCCCCCCCTCGGCCCGCGTGGTCTCGGCCGGCGCGCTCCTCGGCGCGGGGGCGGCGGCGCGCGGCCTCAGAGGCGGCGGCGGCGGCGGCGGGAGCAGCAGCCGGAGCCGGAGCGGAGCGGGGACGCAGGCGGCGCACGGAGGGGGGGTGAGAGCCGGGCCGGGGGGAGGGAGGGAGGGAGAAGTCCGCGACCGCCCCCCCACAACCCCCTCCCCCGCGCGGGATCGGGCTGGGCGAATGGCTGCTCCCCAGCCGGACATCCTGCCGCCCCTCCCCTCCCGGAGCCCCCTCGGCACCTGGGAAGCCACCGCTCTGCCATCGTCGTGAGCGCGCCGCGCGCGACCTGCGGGGGGGGGGACAAGGGAGGGAGAGGCCCCGAGCCCTTTCGTGTCTCCGTGCCCGCCAGGCACTCGAAGCCAGCTTCCCCTGGCAGCCGAAGTGACGCCTGTCGTTGCAAGAAAAGGGTCAAGGATCATAGGATCACGAAAGGCGGAGTTGGAAAGGGCCCTGAGGCTCATGCAAGGCAGGAATCTCTCCCCCAATGTGGGACCCACAACCCTGAGATCAAGAGTCTCACGCTCTGCCAACTGAGCTTTTATGCACCTTTGGTCTTTTGCAGGCTCCTTCCTCTCCTCCCCTCCATTTTTTTAGTCTCCAGATTATTTCTCCTCAAGCAAGGACTGTTGTTAGTACAGCTATAAGCCTGTTCCAATTTCTAAACCTAGTTTCCTTCTTTTGGAAGGAAAACCAAAGGTATGAGACAGAGTCTCTCTGAAGTGTGCTGAAGTTCCTCTCCAGCCATTGTCAATGCTTGGTCTGCCCCCACCCCCTAGTTTTACTGAGCTGGTGAATGGGCTGTATTGCCAGACAAAAATCTGGCTTCAAGTCTGTGTCCGCTGGTCTTCTGTTTTCCAATATGTTTCAGACTCCTGTCTGAGGGTTGGCTACCTGTGAATCACATTTCTAGGGTTAGGAATCAGGTCTCTGTGTCAAATAGCAAGACATCAAGGCAGCCTTGTGTGCTGACATTTTTTATTTCAATCATTAATGGATGTTTCATTCTCAGCTTGGGGAGGAAGGGGAGAATTGGGCCAAGTAATATGGATGATCCAGACCTGCTGGCTTATATGGTTTGACCCTTTTCTATGCTTTCTGTTTCCTTGACTTGTAAGAAGGGAGCTGGTTAAGAACCTAATCTCAAGAGACTGTAACAACTTCTCTAGGGATGGGCTAAAGTGGCATAGTATCTGTAAGCAGCCTCCTGTTCTTGAACAGCTACCTAGATGCATTCGTATGCTAGTGCCTTTTGCTCCTGAAATAGTTTTTGTTTACTTTGTTTCCCTGCAAGTTTATAAATTGGACCTTGAATTTTCCCCTTCAAATATAGGGGACTGTTCATTGAATAAAGGTGTTAGTTTTTAAAAATTGTCTAGGTAATCAAAAGTCAAAGAATCAACTTAATTTTCATATTTATAAATATAATTATTTGTAAATATAGGTGCCATTTTGATAACATTAAGGGAAGGAATGCAAATGCAATGTATAATGCAATACCACTTTTAATGTTCTCTCTGTTATTATCATTTGTACAGTAGCATTAATTATAATTGAGAGTTATAGAATTTTTCAGCATCTAAAGTGCTTCGTATACATTATCTTGGTCATTCTTACAACAGCCCTGGCAAGGCAATAATATTCACATACTGCAGATAGTGGGAGGGAGGAATGCCAATGAGGTTGCATTTGAACTGAAGAATTCCCACGTAGAGCCAAAATATAAAAAGGGTGCCCATCAGCCTCAATCCTGACAACTAATAATAATAATAATAAAATGTCCAGTAGCACCTTAGAGACCAACTTAGAGACTTAGTTGCTCTCTAAGATGATACTGGACAATTTTTTAATTTATTTTGACTGTGTCAGACCAACATGGCTACCTACCTGAATCCTGACAACTAAAACTAGCATGAATTAAGACAGTTTACCAGATGTGGTCACAATAAGAGGGGAGTGGAATAGTTTTTTATATTGAGTCAAGAGATCCTAGAGAAGATCCTAGTTATAAAAAGTTTGTGCAGGAGTAAAACTGGATCAAGAAGGCAACGGACTCAGAGCAGGCTAGCTGAGATGTTTTATGGCAACTTTTGACTGAGCTGCTTCATGTACTGAAATACCCCAGGATGCCAGCTGTGCTCTGTGTACTTTGTGTTGTGTGTGTGGCCTTAAAATTTGTCAGCTTTAGGCCCCTGAGTTAAATCTGCTCCCTTGTGGGGTAGTGGTTCAGAGCGGTGGATTCGTAATCTGGGGAACCGGGTTCGTGTCTCCGCTCCTCCACATGCAGTTGCTGGGCCAGTCACACTTCTCTGAAGTCTCTCAGCCCCACTCACCTCACAGAGTGTTTGTTGTGGGGGAGGAAGGGAAAGGAGAATGGTAGCTGCTTTGAGACTCCTTCGGGGAGTGATAAAGCGGGATATCAAATCCAAACTCTTCTCAGCTGCCAGCCTTGGGGCAAAAAGGGGCACAAAAGAACCTGTTGAGAGGCCCTGGCCCATCTGCCTCCCTCATCCCTCAAAGTGGATCTGCAGCAACAAGTACTTTTTCCTTGACTTGCCCAACCTGCCCCCATCCCATTCCTGGAGAATTCCATGTCAGGTTTGGGATTCAAACAACTCCCTAAAATGCTCTCTTTGTCTAGCCATGTTGGGAAAATATTAACTGTTCCAGACACTAAATTCAAGGTGCAAAAGTCAGCAATATTTGTGTCCTACAAGTTTGTGATTCTGTGTAGCATTTGATTATTTTTTTTTTTAAGAATTACTATGCTGCATACCTATCAGAGTATCCAGTATAGATCTTGAAAACAACTTTAGATATGTTCTTTTCTCCTCAACCCTGCAAAAACCCTTGTGGAAAATGCCCTGAAATCATTTTAGTTCACAGGGAAAGAGTCCTCATCAAATTCCATTAACTCAGACTCTGATGAGACACTAACAATGCTTGACAAAGATTTTCTCACACGGTTCCCTTTGTTAAGGAGCAAAAAGCCCAACTCGGCCTCCCTTTAGCCACTTTTCTTCCTTCCCCTGCACAAACATGCATTAACCCAGGTCATTCCCCACACATAAATTTAGCTTTTTTCTTACTGGCAGCTGAGAATGGGTAAATACTTCTGGTCCAGCAACAGAGATTCTTGATCATCATAGACTGTCTCTAATGGTTGCTTACCCCAACTGCTGTTTGAGAGAGTTGGATAAATCCAGCTGAGAATGGAGTCTGATATTTTAGGGCAGCAGAGAGGAACCTGTGGCCCTCCAGACATTGCTGGACCTCAGTTCCCATGAGCCCCAGCCAGCCAACTAGGGCACTATCTGGTTTTCAACATTTTTAGCTGGTATATAACCAGCTAAAATCACGCTATCTCGATATATCATGATATATATCTGCGGTGGCGAAGGGCCTTGCAGGGTCTCCCTGTGGCGGAAGAGGTTCCTGTGTATCTCCCCACAGCATCAGAGGGCCTTGCTGGGCCTCCCCATGGTGGTGGAGGGCCTTAAAATGTAAGGAAGTAGTAGATTTAATAAAAATATTAAATAAACTTCCATATACAGTGGTGGGACGCGGATGGCGCTATGGGTAAAACCTCAGCGCCTAGGACTTGCTGATCGCATGGTCGGCGGTTCGAATCCCCGTGGCGGGGTGCGCTCCCGTCGTTCGGTCCCAGCGCCTGCCAACCTAGCAGTTCGAAAGCACCCCCAAGTGCAAGTAGATAAATAAGGACCGCTTACTAGCGGGAAGGTAAACGGCGTTTCCGTGTGCTGCGCTGGCTCGCCAGATGCAGCTTGTCACGCTGGCCACGTGACCCGGAAGTGTCTGCGGACAGCGCTGGCCCCCGGCCTCTTAAGTGAGATGGGCGCACAACCCTAGAGTCGGACACGACTGGCCCGTACGGGCAAGGGTACCTTTACCTTTATGCAGTGGTACCTCGGGTTAAGTACTTAATTCGTTCGGGAGGTCCGTTCTTAACCTGAAACTGTTCTTAACCTGAAGTACCACTTTAGCTAATGGGGCCTCCCGCTGCCGCTGCTGCACGATTTCTGTTCTCATCCTGAAGCAAAGTTCTTAAGCCGAGGTACTATTTCTGGGTTTGCGGAGTCTGTAACCTGAAGCGTATGTAACCTGAGGCGTATGTAACCCGAGGTACCACTGTAATATATTTAATATATTTTCAACTAATTTAAGAATAGTTTAAGTGATTTACTCTTCAAGTTGCATATGCTTCCCCAACTCAGAGGTCTAAGTGGAATCTGTGCATGCATAAGCCCCACTGAGTTAAACTAAACTTACTTCTACTTTCCTGGGAGTAAGCCCCATTGAATTCAGTAGGGCTTACTTGTGAGGAGGCACGCATTTGATTTCACTGCTTACCAAAAAACACTGCCCCATCATTTTCACACAGTACCCAACCTCCCATTTCAGCATAAGGCAGCCACCTAAATCTTCTCCCCTCCATTCCCCCCCAAAGGCCCCCAAAAAGCTCTCATCCCACCAGTATCTCCCTTTTTATCAAAGGGAGGGAGAGAGGGGAAGCAAGCAAAAAGAATAGTCTCTTTTAAATTTAAAAAACACCCTTTTAATATGGAAGAAAGCTATTTAGGGGGAACCAACAACATAAACACTACCAGGAAATAAAAATAGAAGCTCTTCCCCGCTAGATTTATCAAGGTGGGGGTGAGTGTGAGGAAGAAAGAAGTGCTTTGTTTGTTTATCTGTGGGGGTCCCTCCTGGATTGTTAGCAGGCTCTGCATAATTACTTGAGCTCTAAGTGGAAAGCCACCAGTGAAGCTGAAAGAGTTTGCTGCTTTGTGTGAGGGCTTGTCCACTTTTCTTACAGGGGGAGGGAGGGAGCAAATTATCTGCAAAGCTGAGCTACCCCCTGGGAAGCTGTTAAGTCTCCACCTTTTGTTCACTGGTGTATTGCCTTGTTGAAACCCTTATCAAGATGTCATTCGCTCAGCCCTCCAGCCAACAAGGCCAATGGTCAGGGGTGATGGGAGTTGTAGTCCACAGCCTCTGGAGGGCCACAGGTTCCCTAGCCCTGCTTTAGAAAGTACAGTGCTGAGAGCAACTGCAGAGATGAATGGGAGCAGCGCAAGAGCACCGCCGAGGCTTGACTAGCTGCTGGCAGAAGAGTGTGGGATTTAACAGACCTCTGGTTTGATCCAGCAGAGCTGTTTTTCTGTTCTTAAGCCGCTTCCCATTGGAAATATTTTCCTATGGCTGCATTTCAAGCAGCAGGTAATATGGATGAGGATAACGAGCATTGTTCACATGTACCCTACGGAGAGTGTGTCAAAGTCCATCCTTCTTGGTTTACCCTGCTCTTTCCCAACATGTCATGTCAGTTGGATTGCTTTGTCTTTGTAGCAAACAAGGCTCTAGTCCATTGCCTTGAGCGTCTGAAGGTACCTGCCTGTGGAGAGGCAGCTGGCACAGCTTTGCTCCGGTGCGGCTCATGCTGTAGGGAAGGAAAGAGCCACATTGCTGTGGTGTTGAGCAATCTCAAGGAAACCCTCCGGCTAGCTGAAGAATCATGGGGAAAGATGGCAGAAAGGAAGCCTGGGACTGTCTACTAAGACTGCCCCCCCCCCGAGGCAGATAATGTACTCCCATAGGTTAAATGTGCATGAAGGCTAAAGACATAAGAGGTTTCCTCCTCTGAGCAACTCATTATTGTTATTCATTACATTGGTCTTTGGTCATTAGGACCTCACAGCAGAAAAACTGTGGCAGCAGAGTAGCCAGAAAGGTGCCGGGTTTCTATAAGGCTGGAACCAGACGGTTCAACCTCTCAGACCCAGTGGGCTGCAAGAGGACTTTGACACAGAAGCCGCAGACCATACACTGAATTAAATTTCCATATCATAAATTAAAGTGTTTGCAATATAATTAATATTATTTAATATACACAATACAGTGGTGCCTCGCAAGACGAAATTAATCCGTTCCGCGAGTATCTTCGTCTAGCGGTTTTTTCGTCTTGCGAAGCAACCCTATTAGCGGATTAGCGCTATTAGCGGTTTAGCGGCTATTAAAGGCTTAGCAGATTAGCTGCTAAAAGGCTATTAAAGGCTTAGCGGCTTAGAAAAAGGGGGGGAAAGCGAAAAAAAAATCTCAAGACTCGCAAGTCTTGCGAAGCAAGCCCATAGGGAAATTCGTCCTGCGAAGCGCATTGAAAACGGAAAACCCTTTCGTCTAGCGGGTTTTCCGTCTTGCGAGGCATTCGTCTTGCGGGGCACCACTGTAGATTGAGTCTCTTGTGAAGCCAGTAAATAAATGCAGCCCATGAGAAGGAGGAGGAGGGGGCACGGGATGGGGGGCAACAGGGGCACCAGCTGCCTCATCCTCCTCACTTGCCTGCTGGTTGCCCACAGCTGCCACCATTTATCCCACTTGCTCCCCCCCCCATACACCACACACACAGCCTCTTCAGGCTGGTTATTAACTAAGGAGGGGCAGAGACCTGTAGAGTTGGAAGGGGACTCCCGAGAGTCATCTAGCCTGACCCCCTGCAATCCCTGGCAGGCAGCCAGCAGCAGAGCCTCCCTGCCCAGGGCAGCCCAACCACCCTCAGAGCCCCAGAGGCCCCTCCAAGGCCCCCTGCATGTCGCCACACACCGTTTCTCTGCTGGGCCCAGGCTGCATCACAGCCTCCCTCTGGCCCTGCGGCTTCACTGCCATGGCCGCTTCCCTAAGCTCACCCCTTGGGAGAGGGCCTAAGAAGCAAGCAAGCAAGCAAGCAAGCAGGGAGAAGAGAAAGCTTCCTTCTCCACATTGGGTAAGGGCTGCCTGAAAAAGCCTTGTGGGCCACAGGGTGGACCACCAGCTCCCAAAGCAGTGGGCAGGCATCATCTGTGTGACTTCAGGGTAGCCCTCTGGGTTTCCTGCTGTTCCTGTTCCCCAAGTGAGTCATGGCCAGGTGAGGAGGTGCTTTGGGAGTCTTCTGCACCTGGGAGCTGTTTACATTCCGAATCCAGAGCATCCTCATGGCCTATGAAACGTTCATACAGTTTGAAACATGGGGGGAAACTGGTTTTTTTCCACTTGCGATGTCTGTCTTTCCTTCATCCATCCATCCATCCACCCTTTCCATTATTTTTGTAAATTAAAATTATGTAAAAAGAAATATATGCTATATTTATTTTCTTATCTGATTCAAATATTTCTACTTGTGGGATCTAAAAGGCATTGTAATATAACAGTATTGGAGAGCTGGATTTCTTCACAGTCACAATGTCACCTTTTCTCTCTCTCATTCTTCTTCCCATTTTGCATTATCCACCCCTTCTCCCTCCCTCTTTCCCGGTGCCCAGGGGGCTGCAGATTGTTATAGCCAGAGATCCGGACATTGAACCGTAGTAGCTTGCAGTGCTCCATCCATTTTGGCTCCCCTCCATCACCCCAACTCCTCTAAACTGCTTGCTTGCAGAGGGTTTTTTCACCTTTCTTCCATTGTGCTGCCTTTCTCCTCTGCCCTCTTCGTCTCCCTTGAGGTTCCCCACTACTATGGAAGTAGGTTCCCTACCCCAGTTTATAACTCACCACATAAATATATATATTTGTGATATCTTCAAGTCTAGCTGCTTTGGTTTTCTTCAGACAATGATTGCAAGTAAACTTAGAGGTGAGGGGTACCTACACATAAGTTAGGTTTTGCCAATAGGAAAATTAGATTTTTGTGGGGCGGGGCATTAAGGATAGCAGAAAACAGAGCCATTAATGTTGTTCTAAGCCAAAGGACATTTTTGTTACCTAAATTATGAAATGACCTCTCCACACAGTCAGTATTATCCAGAAACAGAAGAAACCATTTTTAAAAATCTGCCTCTCCCCTTAGCTCCAAGCAGTCTGGCCAGTGGTCAGGGATAAGGATGAGTTGTCACCCAATAACACATGGGGGGGGGCACCACATTTGGTACCCCAGCATAGCTTATTGGGAAAGGGTTGTGGGGAGCCCGGAGCTTGTCTGCTCCCCAACCTGCGCATTGGAACAAATGACAGTTTTCCATACGGACTCTGGGAGCTGTAGTTCTTGCCAAAGCAGGACAAGGTCTGAGTGGGAGCTTATGAGAGTGCCCTTATGAGCATCACTTAAAGTTTAAATCAAGGTGATAACAGTTTCTGAAAGACCAATAGCAGCTGATTATGACCTTCCATTTTTATCTCCATGGTCTTCAGAGAGCTGAAGGTTTGCACAGATTGAAACTACCGTATTTTTCGCCCTATAGGACGCACTTTTCCCCCTCCAAAAATGAAGGGGATTTCAAAATTTTCCTTTATTTCCCCCCCCAAAAAACTAGGTGCGTCCTATGGGACAGAGCGTCCTATGGGACGAAAAATACGGTACCTTTCAAATCAGCTTGCTTCTCAATTTGGTATTGTGCATTTCCAAACATAGATAAATTTCTTTCACGTGCTGCAATGTTTGAGGAACCTGAGAATATATGAGAGTTGTACATGTCTTAACAGTATACCGGAATTGTAATTATCTAAAATGGTAGATGAACTTATGTAGTCATGGCAGAGTTATTAGAAAACATTTTGAAGGAGTAAAGGGCAACCAAAACTACATTTTAAAACCTTGCCTTAAAGGGCGTTTCACATATTTGTGAAGGAGAAAATATTTCATGAGAGGGTTTCCTTGCACATTTTTCTGGAATTCCCCATTTTTCCATTGGAAGAATTTTTGAGTCAGGATCTCTGACAATGCCCCAAGCCTCGCCTTAATCCCCAGTTTTCCTCTTCACCCCACAGATTGCAAAAGTGAAGGCAGCATTGGACCTGGAGGGAAGCCCAGAGGGGCTCTAGGGGCGCCCATTTGGGGCCAGAGGGCTCTGCTGCAGGTGTGAACAATCTTTGGCTTCCAGGTGTTGCTGAAGTACAATATACCCAGAAGATCTAGCCAGTGTGGCCAGTAATATATAAAAGGATGTCACATAGAGGAGGGAGAAAGGTTGTTTTCTGCTGCTCCAGAGAAGCGGACACGGAGCAATGGATCCAAACTACAAGAAAGAAGATTCCACCTAAACATTAGGAAGAACTTCCTGACAGTAAGAGCTGTTCGACAGTGGAATTTGCTGCCAAGGAGTGTGGTGGAGTCGCCTTCTTTGGACGTCTTTAAGCAGAGGCTTGACAACCATATGTCAGGAGTGCTCTGATGGTGTTTCCTGCTTGGCAGGGGGTTGGACTCGATGGCCCTTGTGGTCTCTTCCAACTCTATGATTCTATAATCAGGAAGTCTGGGGTTTGTAATCCAACTCCATCAGGAGGGCCAAAGGTTTCCCACACCAAGGGCTTCCTTGGGAGGAGGAAGAAAATCCAGCCGCAAACACTGATCCAGCAAGTGACCAGGAAGAGGAGGAGCTGCCTCAGGGCCTAATCCAGAACTCCCTGCTTCAGCTCCCACATGCTCTGGTCATGGAGACTTTGTGGGAGGTGAAGCAGCTTCTCCCCATTTTGCATTCTGGAGGTTCCCATCTCTGCTCAACACAGCTTTTCAGGGCTGTCATGGCTCACATCTTAGGAACTGTGACATGGCTTTTCATGGACATCTGACCTGGGAAGCTGGTGGGGTATATGTCGGGGGTCACCAGTGTTTTCCAACCACTGGACACATTTTGAATTTAAGGAAAGTGTTGTGGGGGTGTGGCATAACACAAAATGGCTGGCGTGGGGGCAGAGTTTAACACAAAATGGTTGCCACAACCAAAATACAGTGGTACCTTGGGTTACATATGCTTCAGGTTACAGACTCCTCTAACCCAGAAATAGTACCTCGGGTTAAGAACTTTGCTTCAGGATGAGAACAGAAATCGCGTGGCGGTGGCGCGGCAGCAGCAGGAGGCCCCATTAGCTAAAGTGGTGCTTCAGGTTAAGAACAGTTGCAGGTTAAGAACAGACCTCCAGAACGAATTAAGTACTTAACCCGAGGTACCACTGTACAGTGGTACCTCTGGTTGCGAACGGGATCCGTTCCGGAGGCCCGTTCGCAACCTGAAAAGAACGCAACCTGCGTCTGCACGGGTCGTGATTCGCCGCTTCTGCGCATGCACGTCATGGCATTTTGCACGTCTGCGTGAGCGGCGAAACCTGGAAATAATTCGTTCCGGTACTTCTGGGTCGCTGCGGGACACAATCTGAAAACACTCAACCTGAAGCAAATGTAACGTGAGGTATGACTATATGGGGGGAAAAGATTTAAAAAAGACATTGAAAGGGTGTGGACACCCCCAGTAGCTGTCCCATCCTTTGGTAGGCAGGGGGCACCTACATCAGATACCACTGTATTCCCTCACAGAGAGATGCTGTTTGCACCTCTCCTGTGTTCAAAAGGGCTGGATGGGTGGGAGCCCAGTCTGGGCATCCAGTCAGTTGAGGCATGTTTAAGTGAATGTGTTCAGCAGGGCTGTTTTTCTAGAAAAAGAGGTGCCAGAACTCACCAGGAGCTCCTCCGTCATTCTCTTAGGATGGCAGTGGCGCCCCCCTGAGAGCTGCAGCTGAACAAATGTGCTGTGTAGGCAAGGCCAAGCAAGGAACAACAGAGAAAACAGCCTCTTGAGGCTTGTGGAGTTTTGAGGGGATATTTACAGAGACCTTTCATGGGCTCTGGCCTGCAGATCCCAGTGTATGTGACACATATTTAGTGGACAGTGGAGGGCTACTCAGATTGAGAACCAAAGATATTTTTGTTGTTTAGTTGTTTAGTCGTGTCTGACTCTTCGTGAACCTAGGGACCAGAGCACGCCAGGCACTCTTGTCTTCCACTGCCTCATATTGGTAGCTTCGAGAACACCGTCCCACCATCTCGTCCTCTGCTGTCCCCTTCTCCTTGTGCCCTCCATCTTTCCCAACACCAGGGTCTTTTCCAGGGAGTCTTCTCTTCTCATGAGGTGGCCAAAGTATTGGAGCCTCAGCTTCAGGATCTGTCCTTCCAGTGAGCACTCAGGGCTGATTTCCTTAAGAATGGATAGGTTTGATCTTCTTGCAGTCCATGGGACTCTCAAGAGTCTCCTCCAGCACCAGAATTCAAAAGCATCAATTTTTTGGCCATCAGCCTTCTTTATGGTCCAGCTCTCACTTCCATACATCACTACTGGGAAAGCCATAGCTTTAACTATACGGACCTTTGTTGGCAAGGTGATGTCTCTGCTTTTTAAGATGCTGTCTAGCAGCATGTTGACATTTGGAGTATTGAATAGGAAGGCAATGAGCTTTGTCTCCAAATAAGCATAGCCTGAATTATGTTGAAGACAATGCCCCTATATGGCACTTGAGGGTGCAGACCCACAGCAAGCGAATAGGAGCTATGCACTGTGCTAGGTTGCAGTGTTGGAATAGTCACTGCGGCCTCACACTGCTATACTGCAAGACATTATTTTACACCCACCCACCCACCTGCTGTATACCCGGAGGTCTCAGGGCGGTTCACATAACCCACTTCCCTGCATTAACCCAGAGGCAGCCATTTCTCATTCCTGGCAGTTCACATCTAACCCCAGCCTTGACTCCCTTGGTGATCTTAGGCAAACCTTTCCCCCTCTTTTTTAAATCTCACCCCCCTCCCAAAGGAGTCCAAGTGAGCAAACAACAAAATCACTGAAAAATACTTTTTCTTTTTTTAAACAAACCAAATATCTTCCATGTTAATATTAATCAGTCCATATTAATATTTCAAGAGTGCCAGCAACAATGTCTCTCAGCGCTGCCCAATGCCTGAGTGAATAGGAATGTTATAGGCGAAGGGGATAGAGATACGGATATGCTCGTACCCCTTCCAATCTGCGCCCCATCCCGAGGGACGAGGGTAGGGTGAGCAAGGATTACTCACCTCCGTCACTGGTGTTGTGCAATGCCAGGTCTATAGGCAACAAAACCGCCACTCTGTGAGATTTCTTTACCTCGCAGGGGGTCGACCTGGCTTGTGTGACGGAGACCTGGGTGCGCGAAGGGGCAACAGTTACCTTACGAGAGATGGCGCCCCCGGGTTTCTCCATCCTCCACCAGTCGCGGACTGTGGGCCGGGGGGGAGGGGTGGCATTATTAATCCGGGAAGATTGTCCTTTCAGGGCTCTACCATCGCCATCAATCCCCGGCATTGAATGTGTTGGCCTAGTGTGGGGCTCTGAGGTGAGCTTGGCTGTCTGGCTGGTGTACCTGCCACCTAGCGCACCAGCAGCCACCCTGTCAGGCCTGCTGGAGGCGGTGGCCGGCTGGGCCTTGGAGTTCCCTAACCTATTGGTATTGGGGGACTTCAACATCCATGCTGATGCCACTCCCTCCTCACAGGCTCTGGACCTGGTGTCTTCCATGGCGACACTAGGGCTCTCCCAGTTTGTTTCGGGCCCCCCACACATCAAGCAGGCCACACGCTGGATTTGATCTTTGGCATAGGTATAGATGTGATCATGTCTCCTTCGATGAAGGTGCCATGGTCTGATCACTACGCTCTGAAAGCCAGGATTGACTTTCCACCCCCACCCTGCTTAGGTGGCGAGCCGATTTGGGCTCGCCCGCAGAGGCTGATGGACCCTGATAGACCTTGCTCCCCCTGGCGACTCATTGACTGAGCTTGTTGAGGGCTGGAATATCCAGCTCCTGTCAGCCATCGATGAGATCGCACCTAAGCGCCCTCTGCGACTCCGCAGAAACCGGGCTCCTTGGTTTACCAAGGAGCTTCGGAAAATGAAGCGGGACTTCAGACGGCTAGAGCGAGTATGGCGGGGTGCCCGTGACGGAGCCTCAAGAACATCTTATAGGGTTTTTATGAAAACCTATGAAATGGCAGTGAAGGCCGCTAAGAAGTCTTACTTCTCGGCCTCCATTGCATCCGCTAGCTCTCACCTGGCGCAATTATTTAGTATAATTAGGTCTTTAACGTCCCTTGAAGGACAGCCAAATTTAAATAGCAATCTGACACACAGCTGTGAGGCATTTGCGACCTTAGATCTATCCAATTACCGCCCGGTTTCGAATCTTCCATTCCTGGGTAAGGTGATTGAGAGAGCGGTTGCTGAACAGCTTGGTAGGTTTCTGGATGAAACATCGGCTCTGGATCCATTCCAGTCCGGCTTCTGCGCTGGTCATGGGACCGAGACGGCTCTGGTCGCCCTAACAGATGATCTCCGTGGGCAGCTGGATCGAGGCGGGTCGGGGCTGCTGATTCTTCTAGACCTGTCAGCAGCCTTCGACATGGTTGATCACGAACGCCTTGCCGACGTGGGGATCCAGGGCACAGTCCTTCAATGGCTGCACTCGTTTCTCTCTGGTCGGGGACAGAGGGTGGTGCTTGGGGGAGAATTGTCATCCCGCCACTCCTTGGTGTGTGGAGTGCCCCAGGGTGCGATACTCTCCCCGATGCTTTTTAACATCTTTATGCGCCCCCTCGCCCAGCTTGTCCGGAGTTTTGGGCTGGGTTGCCATCAGTATGCCGATGACACCCAACTCTATCTGTTGATGGATGGCCATCCTGACTCGGCCCCAGACACACTGACCAGATGTTTGGAAGCTGTGGCTGGATGGTTACGTGGGAGCCGGTTGAAGCTAAATCCTTCGAAGACAGAGGTCCTCTGGCTGGGACGGGACGATATGGGATTGGGGGGGCAACTCCCATCTCTTGCGGGGGTGCAATTAGTGCCAGCACCGTCCGTTAAGAGTTTGGGTGTAATCCTCGATACCTCCCTCTCTATGGAGGCGCAGATTACAGCTATAACAAAGGCGGCATTTTTCATCTCCGCCAAGCTAAGCAGTTGGCCCCTTATCTCTCTCGCCCTGACCTAGCCACTGTGATCCACGCGACGGTCACCTCCAGACTGGATTATTGTAACTCGCTCTACGTGGGGCTGCCCTTGAGACTGACCCAGAAACTCCAGCGGGTGCAGAATGCCGCGGCGAGACTCCTTATGGGGTCTTCGCTGCGAGATCACATTCATCCAGTACTATACCAGCTGCACTGGCTCCTGGTGGAGTACAGGATCAGGTTTAAGGTGCTGGTTTTAACCTTTAAAGCTCTATACGGCCTAGGACCCTCGTACCTACGGGACCGCCTCTCCTGGTATTACAGAGGAACCTACAGTCTGCAAATAAAAACATCTTGAAGGTCCTAGGCCTCAGAGAGGTTAGGCTGGCCTCAACTAGAGCCAGGGCTTTCTCGGCTGCGGCTCCAATCTGGTGGAACGCTCTGTCACAAGAGACTAGGGCCCTGCGGAACCTGACATCTTTCCACAAGGCCTGCAAGACAGAGTTGTTCCTACCAGGCCTTTGGTCAGGGCCCAGCCTGACTCCCTCCTCTGGCAACCTGCACATAATTTTGCTCAACGGTTGCCATTAATTTGATTTAAATTAATTTTTATAATGAAATGTTTTTAGAATGTTGGATTATTTGATTGTTTGACTATTTGATTGTTGTTAGCCGCCCTGAGCCCGGCTTCGGCTGGGGAGGGCGGGATATAAATAAAATTTATTATTATTATTATTATTATTAAAATTCCACTTAAATGTCAGTTATGAGGAAGAGAGTTTAACCTCAGCGGAGAGGGCATTCCATAAGTGGGGGACCACTACCAAGAAGGCTCTGTCTTGGGTTGGCATGTGACAGGCAGCCATCAGCCCCACCCACACGGCCTCCACTGCCAGGCGGGGAATGCGAAGCAAGATGACATTGGAGGTATTTGGGTTGCAGGCTATCGAGAGCTCTGTGCGCTAGTTTGTTTAACTGCAATCCACCGTGGTGCGTGCTTATATTTCTTGCATGTGTATTGTGCTTTCAGGCCTCTGTATCCAAACACACCACAAGTGTAAGAGGCCGCCTTTTGGGTGTCTGTTAATTTGAGGAATGGTAATCCTTGGGCAAATAGCTCTGTGCTGTTCTTAAGAGGCTGGTGTGCACTAAACGTGTGCCCCAAAAGCTGAATTCTTTGACGACGAATGTGTTGTGCTAATTTGCCTACTTTGTTTTTTGTTAACTATTTTTATGTTAGGCATAAAAGGGGAATACTGCTCAAGCTCAGCTCTGAATAGGAGGGGCTGTAACTCAGTGGGAGACCTCATGCTTTGCAGGCAGAAGATCTCTGGTTAAATCCTTGCTGTCTCCAGTTAAAGGATCGCAAGCAGGAGGGCAAATCAGCACCTTGGGCTGCCTGAGGCCCTGGGGAGCCACTGCCCACTGCAGTAATCCACTCTGCATCAGGTGGGCCAGTGGTAGGAGGTAGGGCTGGATATTTGACTATTCAAGACAGATTAGGTCAAGTGAAGCTCAAGTATTTTTAAGGCATTAAAGTTGTGGGAAAACATGAGGTTTGGTACTAATGTTAATTAATAGAAAAGTACTAACTTAAATAATTCATTACTTTTTTTTTTAAAGTTATTTTTAAAATTACATCCTTCCCTCAAAGAACCTCGAGCAACATTCATTGTTCTCCTAGCCCCTTTTATCTTCACAACAAGCCTGTGAGGCAGGTTAGGTTGAGAGATGGTGACTGATCCAAGGTCAAAGCAGCCCTTTTCCAGTTGGCACTTTGAACAGGGCTTCTCCAACGCTTTGCCGGCACCGTCAGTCACCTGCAGACTCCCTGGAGGGCAGCTGGCCTTGGCTTGGCTGAAGTGACCCGACAGGCCTAATGAGGTCTAGAGCAGTGTTTTTCAACCTTTTTTGGGCAAAGGCACACTTGTTTCATGAAAAAAATCACGAGGCACACCACCACTGTGTGCGGAGAGGGAGATGTCAGAGCCCTGCTGCTCTCTATGGGGAATCGGATGAGAGCGGACCGCCTGTCTGCTCTCATCCGATCCCATCCGATCTGATCCCCACCCAGGACGGATAGAAAATAGGGTGGACACAGTCCAGCGCCCGCCTAGTGGGCGATAATTTGACATATTTTTTTAAAAAAATCTTTTGAATTTTTCAATTTTTCCCACAGCACACCAGGCAACATCTCGCGGCACACTAGTGTGCCGCGGAACAGTGGTTGAAAAACACTGGTCTAGAGGCTGGAGGTTCACTGACTAAGCAGTGACTCTTCAGGGTTTCAGGTGGGTTTTCCCCAGGCCTGCCTGGAGATGCCTGCAATTGAACTACAGAGCAGATGCTCTGCCGCTATGACTCTTCCACAAAGGAAGATGCCACTCTATAAATGAAGCTAGATTGGCATGCAAGTGGATAAGGGCATTCTCAGTGGTGGCTCCACAATTGCGAAATGAAATGCCATGGCTCATCTGGCAAGCCCCCTCCGGGGTAGGTTTTAAGACCTGCCTTTAGCACCTACTTTAACCTGACTTGCAGAACTCCACCATTTTTGCCAGATTTTGCTGCATTGGCATTGGTTTCGGTATTACAGTGGTACCTCGGGTTACATACACTTCAGGTTACACACGCTTCAGGTTACAGACTTCGCTGTACCTCGGGTTAAGAATTTTTCTTCAGGGTGAGAACAGAAATCACGCGCGGCGGCAGCGGGAGACCCCATTAGCTAAAGTGGTACTTCAGGTTAAGAACGGAGCTCTGGAATGAATTAAGTACGTAACCAGAGGTACCACTGTATTTTGAAATAGTGTTTTGGTATTTTGTGGTGGTTTATGTTCTTAGATCGTGGCTTGTAAATAGCTTTGGGAAGAATTTTTCTTGAAAAGCCATATAGGTATATACCATAACTAAAGAATGCATTTCTGCCCTGGATCATAGGGCTCTCATAGCACAATTCTATACATGTTTACTTAGAAGTAAGTCCAACTGAGTTCAGTTGGGCCTGTTTCCAAGAAAGGGAATACAAGCCTTCAGCTTCATTTAACTGATCTTCATGCTCCGAAGTCTGGTCTCAAATTTGTTAGATTTATATCCTGTCTTCTCAAAGGAGTGATGAAAGTTAGAGCACATATATGAGGTGATATTGCTCACTAGAGAGTAGATCTTCCTAGTTCTGTTGATTATATGGACTTGTTTCTAGCACTGAGAGGGCACCTCCAGAACCACCTCTGCTTATGTTCTCTTGTCCTTGCCTTGAATGAGTTGGGTTTTGTGGCCTGGAATGTTTGTCTTCCTGGCACATGAGTATGGCATGAGTGATGCCACTGGGTTCCTTCCTCCCCGAGGTCCTATGATAGGCAGTAGGAGCAATCACAACTATAACGTGCATATTTGTGGCAGCCTGTTTTGACACTGATTTAAGTTGCTGGTTATGGTCATGGGCAACAATTAGTTTTCTGAAACATTCTGAATTGTAAAATAGGGTGATTTGCATTGGGTAACCTGCATCAGAAACATTTCTGCTGTCTGAGAGCAGGGGTCACCAGCCTTTTCGAGCCAGCAGGCCCGTTTGGAAGTTTGAGAAAGGGCCATGGGTGCCAGTCACAAAATGGCTGTATTGGGTGTGTGACATAACACACAGTGGCTGGCATGTTTAAAATAGAGCAGGAAAGGAGACAGGAATGCAAAATGGTGTGGGTATTGCCCATCAATGGGGAGGGAAGGCACCTTAGCTCTTTGCACCTCTCTTCTGTTCAGAACAGGTGGGATGATGGTTGTCTAGGTGCCAGGCTGGCGACTGCTCTCCTAGAGAATGATCTAATTTAGCATGCTAATTTTACTTGTATTTAGTAAACAAAACAAAAAAAATTGAAACTGAAAGCTTACCTCATATTATGCTTACAATAACGTCCACTCATTGTGTTCTCTTCTGCATTGGAGCCTTAATATAGCATGATGACTGCTAGATTATTCGAGAACAAAAAAATTAATGTGGATCTGATCCTCACTCTGCAAATCTGATTGGGCCAGATTTGGAGGCTTCAGTGGATGTTGTTGGATAAAGCTTAGACAGATTGTGAGTGACAGGGCCCAGGAGGAGCACATGATGTAGGTGTGCATCAGGTCAGTCTTTTGGATGAAAGATTATGAGGAGCCCCACAAAAGAGTAAATAAAAGTATGAAAATGTGTTTAAAAGCAGCACCCCATTAATGAAGATGGACCAGAGGTTAATGGATACCATGAATAAGGGTCCTATCCTCATCAGCTTTATAGTCCTGTCCTCTGGATTTTTGTCCCATGTTTTGCAACATTCTGTAGCAGTGAGTTCCAAGGAGCATTCATTTATTGTTGCTAGAAGTTTTGTTTTATTTTTGCCTGCTTGTGCTCCAAAATATTTTGGAATTGCAAGTAGTTGACCCATTGGCCCAAGAGAATAAATGGCAGGAAATGGGTACATATTTGGATGCAGTTGCTCTGCTTTTTCTGTTTTGAGCACCAGCCTTTTATTGATATTGAGCAGATATCATCATCATCATCATCATCATCTTATTATTTCTACCCCGCCTTTTTAAATTTGGGAGTTTATTTCTTGGGGACAGTTTGACTCTTAATTGCATTGTCGAGCTTTCAATTAGTCCTTGCAGACACTAATTCTGTGCCGTAGCATAGGTTTGAACTGATTGGTTCAAAATTGGGAAAGGAGTACGACAAGGCTGTATATTGTCTCCCTGCTTATTCAACTTATATGCAGAATTCATCATGCAAAAGGCTGGACTGGATGAATCCCAAGCCAGAATTAAGATTGCCGGAAGAAATATCAACAACCTCAGATATGCAGATGACACAACCTTGATGGCAGAAAGTGAGGAGGAATTAAAGAACCTTTTAATGAGGGTGAAAGAGGAGAGCGCAAAATATGGTCTGAAGTTCAACATCAAAAAAAGAAGATCATGGCCACTGGGCCCATCTCCTCCTGGCAAATAGAAGGGGAAGAAATGGAGGCAGTGAGAGATTTTACTTTCTCGGGCTCCATGATCACTGCAGATGGTGACAGCAGTCACAAAATTAAAAGACGCCTGCTTCTTGGGAGAAAAGCAATGACAAACCTAGACAGCATCTTAAAAAGCAGAGACATCACCTTGCCAACAAAGTTCCGTAAAGTTAAAAGCCATGGTTTTCCCAGTAGTGATGTATGGAAGTGAGAGCTGGACCATTAAGAAGGCTGATCGCCGAAGAATTGATGCTTTTGAATTATGGTGCTGGAGGAGATTCTTGATACTCCCATGGACTTCAAGAAGATCAAACCCATCCATTCTTAAGGAAATCAGCCCTGAGTGCGCACTGGAAGGACAGATCGTGAAGCTGAGGCTCCAAGACTTTGGCCGCCTCATGAGAAGAGAAGACTCCCTGGAGAAGACCCTGATGTTGGGAAAGATGGAGGGCACAAGGAGAAGGGGACGACAGAGGACAAGATGGTTGGATAGTGTTCTCGAAGCTACCAGCATGAGTTTGACCAAACTGCGGGAGGCAGTGGAAGACAGGAGTGCCTGGCGTGCTCTGGTCCAGGGGGTCACGAAGAGTCGGACAAGACTAAACGACTAAACAACAAAGCATAGGTTGCTCCACAAGAAAAGGAAGATTTGCACAAAGAGTTTTAAGTGCCCCATTCTTCCTGGCTGCACCACCTTGGTTTTATAGTAGGAGTAGCTGTCTTGTGGCAAAAATGAAGTGAAATCCAGGGACTCACTGAAAACTAACCGATGCCTTTTTGTATGAGGACTTTGGAGTTGGTGACTGTGTCAACAATGAATCATGGCCTGGTAGAGTTAGAAGGGGCCCCCAGGGTCATCCAGTCCAACCCCTTGCAATGACAGATGGCCACCCAAGCTCTGCTTAAAAACTGCCTAGGAATGAGAGTCCACTGTTCTTCCTAAACATTTCCCACACTGTTTAATGAATGACGATTCGCTGCGCTGCTCTTGACAGAAGGGGGAGAGGACAGGTCTCTGCCCTGAGCGGCTTGCAGCCCGGGGCTCACCTGCTGATGAGGGGAGGAATAGGATTGAAGCCGCCAACGCTCATGTGGGCTGAGACCTTGAGCTGCAGCCTGTGCATTGCCATGGGGCGGGGCCACCGAAACGGAAAGTCCCGCCCCGCTTCCCCGAGCCGGGAGGGCGGGGCTTCCCTTGCCTGGGGCTTTCATCATAAAAGGAGGCAGGTCTCCAGGTCAGGGGGCGGGGCCGGCGACCGACCGCCGCTCCGCGCCAGCCTATCCGGGCGCGCGGTACCTGTGAGGGGCACAGGCCTAGCCCAATGGGGTCGCTCCGAGGGCCGGGCGGGGCCCTGCGCGGCTTGGAGGGGAGCGGAGCGGCGCTGAGGAGTTTTTTGTTCCGGGCCTGGCCGCCGCCATCTTGTGTCCGAGCGGGTCGGAAGAGGAGAAGGAAGCGGCAGCAGCGCGGAGCGGTGACTCGGCAGCAGCGGCGGCCGCGGCGGGGCCTGACACAGCCTCATTGGTAACGGCGGCGGCGGCGGGGGGGGGGTCGCTCTCGGCTTCCTCGCTCCCCATTTCCATAGAAACAGAACCTGCCCAAGGATGCCTGTCGCCATAGGAACACGGACTCTTCCCCCCGCCCCCCTCCCAGCCGCCTCGGCCTTCGGACTCGCTCGCAGCCCCTCGGGCTCCTGGCCTCTCGCTGCTCCGTAGAAGGGGCGGCGACCCGCCCTTGAGGAGCCCGGCTGGGAGGGGCGGGGGCCCTTCCGCGTTTCTGTGTCACCCGCCTCGGCCTCGTGTTCGCTTCCTTCAGAAATGCCGCCCCCCGCCACTTGCCCCTTTTCTGCCAGAACTTGAAAGGAGCTCCCCCCCCCGAAGCGGGAGGGTGCGGCGCTTCCTTCTCGGTCCTCGCGTGACGCGCCTGGCCGGGACGCCCCTCGCGGAAGCCGGGAAGCGCCTGCGGCCTTAGCTGCTCCGGCGCCGCGGCCTCGCTTCTTCTCTTTTCCCCCAGGATGGAGGGGGCGGGGATTGCAGAGAAGAGCCAGGATAAAAGGTCCAGGGGGTCGGTCAGCTGGGAGCCATGGGAGCAGGCAAGTGCGGGGCTAGCGGGGGACGGGGAGCGTTTTAGCGCCTCTCCTGGCGGGGGCGAAAGGGATTCATTCCAAGGAGAAGGGAGCCCGGGATCTCTGGATACTCCATCCTTACCATTATTGCGGAGGTGCAAAACATGGGACGAGGCAAATAATAGAGTAACAGCTCTTTCAAGCTTGCCTGGAGATGGCATGCCTTTGAAGGAAGCTCGATTTGGGGTGGGATCTGCTTTAGTCTCGGCAGAGAAATTTAAGCTGGTAAATAATTGCAAATGCTCATCGTTATTGGTTACAGGGTTGTGAGGCTGTACAATTTTCACAAAACGAACCAGCAACTTCTTTTGCTCAGGTGTCCTCCTACATAGAAATCCACTTTCCTGTTAGGTCTCTTTAGGCTGGAGAGCATAGGAACTCAGGATTGTTGCCTCTTTATCACTGATCCATATCCCTGTAATATATGTATTGCAGGGCAGTTTGAATGTAGGTCTGGCAGGCTGTTGTCCAGAAGGAATAGTGCCTGACTTACCCTGAGCAAGAGGTTAAGTCAGGGGTAGGCAACCTAAGGCCCATGGGCCGGATGCGGCACAATCGCCTTCTAAATCCAGCCTGCGGATGGTCCAGAAATCATGTTTTTACATGAGTAGAATGTGTGCTTTTATTTAAAATGCATCTCTGGGTTATTTGCGGGGCATAGGAATTCGTTCATTTTTTCCCTTCAAAATATAGTCCAGCCCACCACATGGTCTGAGGGACAGTGGACCGGTCCACGGCTGAAAAAGGTTGCTGACCCCTGGGTTAAGTGGACAGTTGCCTTCCTTACTATGACCCTTTATTGGCATCCTTTGTTAGAATGGGCTCCAGTGTGTAAGATAAATGGCAGCTGGTTGGGTGTGGCTTGAAACAACTGAGTGTCAAAGTTCTGCGAGAACTTGCAACATGTTATATGAGTGACCTGATTTTCTTGATCAGTAGTACTGTTAACTTATGGCTAACCTCAGCCAGATACAGTACAGTGGTGCCCCGCAAGACGAAAAACTCGCTAGACAAAAGAGTTTTCCGTTTTTTAAGTCGTTCCGCAAGACGAATTTCCCTATGGGCTTGCTTCGCAAGACGAAATGTCTTGCGAGTTTGTTTCCTTTTTCTTTAAGCCTCTAAGCCATTAATAGCTGCTAAGCCGCTAAGCCGCTAATAGCCGTGCTTCGCAAGACGAAGAGAGAGGAACAGATTAATTTCATCTTGCGAGGCACCACTGTATAGTCTAAATCTATAGAGGGAGAGTAAGGATCTTAGCTTTATTCTCAGAAGGGTTTGTAGCAGGAAGGCTTGGAAAGGAGTAGAACTTCATCCTTGCTAAGGAATCATCTGTCAGTTCCATCTCATAATTCTTTCCTCTTACCAAACTACTTGGAATAGACTGTTTCTATCTCCCCTAATCTTGAGTGATCCGTGGTCTGCTTACAATAAGCAAATAAGGTTGGTGGAATTTTATTCCTCATCCTTGGTACAATTGAAAGGCTTGTGTGCTAAAGTTGCCAGACTGAAACCACATTGATTTATATGTCTTACTCTTCTAGTATCGCAGAATTAACATTTTGACAAGGGACAGTCATCTTAGCTAGCCTCTTTTGCTGTCCAGGTTCCAGATGGCTCAATTAGAATCTATTTTTTTTTTAAATGTACTAGTCAAATGATGTTAGTCCCTATTTATTAATATATTAATCCTGATTAAAAGATTGTCCTTGACTAGTTGGAATTTTCAGATCAGCTGTTTTCTCCAACTCCCACCACAGTTTGCGTTTTGATTACGAGGTCTGGTTATCACTTATTAGTTGACAACCGTGTTCAGTGTGAACGGTTTCTGTTTAGCAACCAGCTACATGTGCCAACTTTCAAAGATCTGATTCCCTGCATATGGTCGGACTCTGCAAATGGGCACTTATGTAAAAGGAAATAGCCACAGTAATATCAGTCAAGTATGGAAAGGACTAAATCACATCCTTTATGCGGGTGTTTGGTTCACTCTCACTCTGTTTCCTCCCTTGTCTTTTTGTAGCATTTGCCTAGATGATCAGTTATGACCTGGAATATTTTTTGGCTTATTGCTTTTCTCAGATGCCAGGTTCTATCTGATGTGCCTTATCACATCACCCCAAATGGGTCTTGTGTCAACATGATTAGTTTGGTTTTGCCATACCTAAATTCAAGGTGTAAACATGTTTTTTCACATTGGCCTAAGTGCCTGCATGCTGGTTCTACAGTCATTCAGATTAAACCGTCTGGCTGGCTTACTTGTGTTGAATACTCCATCTGGGGTTCAAATAAGAGTTAAACTTCTTCAAACATTTCTGAGGAAGAGTACCATACTATTGCAGCTCTTATGTTTCCATCAGGCTGGTTTTTATCAGATAATAATATCTCATACACTCTTGTTTCCCGTGATGAAATAGCATTCGGTGCTGGGAGTGTTCGACCAAGGAGTGCCCAGGTTGTCCTTCAGTTCTTGCAGTTAAACCAATTGGAACTTGAGTTTTCCTTTATTTTTCTTCAGTAGTTAATTGTTTCAACGTTTTGCACATGAATTCATTTGCTGGACAGCATATCTGCCACAGAATTCCTGGATTTGTGAAGCATTTTGGGGTACTGCCTTAGTTCAGGGGGTGGTACTAATCAGGTTTGTTATCCTTTGTAAATTGAGGGCATCCTAGAGTGTGCCTGACACTCCCCTGTTGCTTTCAGTTGCTGAGGTAGATCAGTAATGCTCAAAAAAGTTGTCCTTGTGAGAAACCTGCTCTCTATGGCTGACCTTTTAATCAGGGGCTGATAAGCTTCCAAAGGATTCCAAGGTTCATAGGAAAACTACTGGGCAAGACTGTTGCTTGTTCCGAACTCAAGACTAATATACCCCTTTGCAGTTTTCCCTATACGGTGGTACCTCCGGTGGTGGACGGGATCCGTTCCGGAGCTCCGGTTGGATCCCGAGGTTTCCGCAACTAGAGGGACCGCTTCTGCGCATGCGCACACAATGAAATCTGGAAAAATACTTCCGGGTTTACCGCATTTGCATCCTGAAGGATACGCAACCAGAGGTGTGTGTATCCAGAGGTGTCACTGTAATCTGTTTTATCTTTGGGGTCTATTGTTGCTGTGCTAGAAATATGCTGCAACATTGGATAAGGTGAATAAGAAGGTGGGAGCTCTTTTTGGGCTCTCCACCAAATGATTACATTGTTCAGTAGCCTTTTAATTCAGTTGGATGTGGTGGACCATGCTAGAATTGCTTTCCTCATTGGAGATGCACCTTCTTAAACAATAGTCACACTGAAAATTGCTGAGCTCACTGATTACCTGCTTTTATTAATCAAAGAGCTGACTGCTGTGGTTTTTGTCAGTCCTCCCTGCATAGAGGATGCACCAACTCTCTCAAAACCATAGTAAGACTGAAACTTATCAGGACCATGGACCCAAGTAAAGACAAGCTTTTGCATTAAACTAATCTAAGTAAAATAAGTATTTCTCAGAAGGTCGGAAGGGAATTTTAATTCTGTTTAACTTCTAGACGACAGTATAGCAAGATTCCTCATCAGTCCCTTTTTAATTGCTTGTTGTTGTATCTGGATTTGTGATGCCAGTTTCTTGGTTCCCGGTACTGCAGCAAATTACCTTCTCTGCATTAGCAGGACATGTGGTTTAGCTTATTCATATGAGATTGAACCTGTTTTCCATCTACAGATTCTCCTGAAGGCAACTGATAAAGTACAAAGAACCTTTAATCTGTCTCTCTCTCTGTGTGTGTGCATATATTCCAGTATGTCCCAAATCTGTGAAAGCCAAAATTGTTTGATTTTATTCATTTGCAGAAAATTAACTACAGCCCAAATTTAGAAAAAAATACTGTGGTGGTGAACAAAACAAAATTACATACTTGGATAAAAGTACAAAAATGCAACAAATCACTAGTTTACCTTCCAGAGAAAGCATGGGTGAACAAGTTAGTTTTCGGCAGTTGCCTCCATGCCAATACAGTGGTACCTCGGGATGCGAAGGCGATCTGTTCCGGAACCCCGTTCACATCCCGAACAGAACGTAAGACGCGTCTGCACATGTGCGGGTCACGTTTCGTCATCTCCGCGCATGTTAAAAGTCCATAACTTGAACAGTTAAATGATTTCTGTAAATTTTGTCGCACTACCTGGACACCTTTTAAATTATGTCAGTAGGCCAGGTCAGATTTTGGGCTGCTATGCAAGTTTTGAGTTTGCTGGCAGACAATTTCTTCTTTGATCAGGGATTTTTTTTTTATTCTAAAGCTTTCTCTTTCTTCCTTTTAATATATATATATATATATATATATATATATATATATATATATATATTAAAGAAGAAACTCTTTGAGGTCTCAGAATCCTTAATGTGAATGCACATGGTGTGTCCATTAAAAATAAAAGCATTGAATTTAAAATACACAACAAGGCATTAAAGTTTACATCTTTATGTACCATTTATGTCGTGGTGTGTATCCCAAATTTAACTGAACTGAATTGGGTTTCTGTTTGCATGGAATGGCTTCTATTTTGGTTATGCTTTTAAGCTTACCGTTCATAGGTAAGATTAAAAAATTAATCCCATAAGTGGAAGCCTGTGCAAGAACTTCCACGTGCAACAGGGATTTCCCCCTTCTATCACCAACACCCTGAAATTGGCTCAGGGTGTTAAGAAGAACCCCCACCCCAGAACAGCGTGCCAGGGAGTAGTGGGGGAAGTTCTTTCTAACAAGCCCAAATGATTGCACTGATGGAACAATCGCTTTAGCACAACATTGAATTCCACCCAACATGTATTTTGCCTTATTGCAGAAATAGTTTAAATTATGTTCTTGTTCGTCCTGAGATGCTTATGTACTATATATCCTAGCCTAGAATTCCCTTTGCTAGCTGTTAAGATACCTCAGTTCTCTTTTAAAAAAGAAACGAAGTTTGCTTCAGCCCCATTTCATTTTCTGTTTTAGTAAGCCCTTTCTTAAAATGTCCCAGCCTTAACCTATAGTACCCCAAGACACAACAGATAAGTCCTCATGTCCTGCCCAATCCTATTTCCTGTCTTCTCTTTCCTTGTCCTCTAACCTTTTAGATCTAGGTACTCTTTTCTTGTGTGTCACATTCTGTCAAAGATTGAGCAAATTGTAGATTGCTTTGCCTTTTGGAAGGCTGCATTTGTGCTTCTTCCTGACATGTCTTTCAGATCCTGGTTTTCTCCTGGTTGAAGAAATGTAGTCACTTGTCACCAACTTGCTGTGTCACTGTTGGCTTCCTGTATGGGGTGCAGAGAGGGTGTAGCTCTGCAGAAATGCAAGCAGTTGTTTATGCTGTGGGAGTATAAGGACAAAGCTGCAACTGGAGTGCTGGAACCCAGGCTACTGTCCCAGCTGTCTGTTTCGGGACTCAAGAATAAAAGCAGTACTTGTGGATGAATTTAAGCAGCCACCGTACAAAAGAACTGGCTCAGATTCAGGACACTGGGCACTGGGATTGGTGTTCAGGGAGGAAGTAGGGATGTAGTGGTCTTTCCCTTCATCACCACTAGTTTGTGATGCTGGATGGTATCTCTTCTTCACCTCTCTTCTGCCTGCATATGATCTCTCTATTAACCGAAGGTAGTTGATGGTCTGTTGAAAGATCATCGGCCAGTTTCTAGTGGACTACTTGGTGCCTGCCAGGAATCACTGCAAAAAATTCTGAGCTAGGTGTACCTTGGGGATGCTCTTTATGTCCTGAAGCAAGTATGAATACGCAGGATTGCTTTGTAAATTTTTGAAATGCATAAATGGGAATTTAGGTCAATAGAAACAGTAGACAAAACAAGACCAAAGTTGACCTGCCTAGGGTTATATGAAGAAACTTGTTTGAACTCGATCCACTTGGATAAATTCACACATTGTAAAAGCTAATGAATTATCTCAAATCAAATAAGTGTAACTGTATATAATTCTAAGAGGTTTTCAGTATAAGCTGAGATCCTGACCATAAACTCCTAGGGAATTAGTCCTGCTGAATTCAGTGGGGTGTACGGTAATTTCTCAGTAGGCACATATTAGGATCTACCTGCATGCCTCCAGTGGCATAGAGATTATTAGCATTATCTCTGTTATATGGTGTGACCAAGTCCCAATTTTCCACTTAGAGTTCTTTGTTGGTCAGCCACGTCTCTACAAAGTCTCCCTGTTGGGAGAGGTCTTTGGACCTATAAAGAGAGAACCTGATTGCATTCTGCTTTTCCTTGATCTTCCAAGCCCATTGCTTGGAAATTCCGAATGATCTAACCTCTGCCAGCTAAGGCTGATTGTTTCCCAGCTGACTCATATCCAGCCCCTCCCTTGCCAGCCCTGTCTGTGTGACTTATGATTCTTCCTGTACTGAGCTGGAGAACTCTGCTGGGAGGGAGCAGCCTAGAATGAGGTCATGTGGTTCAGATGTCCACATTGAGATTTAGCAGCTTTACACAGTGGGTTAGTCTAGGCCAGATTTGATGAAGTGAACATGCGTGAGGGCCGGTCAAAGCTGTTGAGCTTTTTTAAGGATTGCTCCCCTGTAAAATTATTGGGTTAGGGTTACCGGGTTGAGCTTACATTTACACTTCAGTGTTTAGGAGACAGAATAGAACAGTGTCTGTGGTCAAAGTTCAAAGAAACAAGCTGTCCATTATTAGTGGCATCTCCTTTCCTGGGCTGCTTCAACTCCTGAGACTCTACAGCAGCCTATGTCAACCTGGTACCCCAGGTGATGGAGACTACAACATCCAGCAGCAGCAGCAGCAGCAGCAGCTAGCATTATCCATCCACCTATCTTCCCATTTTTGTTCCACCTGTCTCCAGGGAGTTCAAGGCAATCTACGTGGTTCTTCTCCCCTGCCCTCACTTTAACTCTCACAGGGGAGCCATGGAAGGGAGGGGGGAGGTAGGAGAACGGGATGCTGCCCCGAGCGCCCCCCCCCCACGTGATCTTCCCGCCAGTCAGCTGCTTCCTCCACCACTCACACGGGCACACATTACCCTCTCCCAGGAGCATCCAGCGAGGGTCGATGCTGGAGAGCTACAGCTCTCCGTCAATGCTGAAGAGAAAGCGGCAAGATCCTCTGCGCTCTGCTTAAATGGGGTTAGGCCATACCCCCGGCTGACCAGATTGGTCGACCAAAGGAGTGACACAGGGGAGAGCTCCATGACAAGCCTGCAACACCATTTCCCTGGTGAAGAGAAATGGCTTTGGTGGAGTGTTGGCTGCTGGGCAGAACAAGATGAGCAGCAGGTGCTCAGGGACCGCAACAGGTTCATTTCTCATAATTGCTTGCGGGGGGCGGAAGAAATTGACCAGCGGGCCGGATTTGGCCCCCGGGCTGGACTTTGGACATGCCTGGTCTAAGATTTCCTTCTCAGTAACAGCAGGAAATAGGGGGGTCTTTTTATGTTGATAATACAGGACATTTGGAGGGACGCGGGTGGCGCTGTGGGTAAAACCTCAGTGCCTAGGACTTGCCGATCGTATGGTCGGCGGTTCGAATCCCCGCGGCGGGGTGAGCTCCCGTCGTTCGGTCCCAGCTCCTGCCCTCCTAGCAGGTCGAAAGCACCCCTAAGTGCAAGTAGATAAATAGGTACCGCTTTATAGCGGGAAGGTAAACGGCGTTTCCGTGCGCTGCGCTGTTGCTGGCTCGCCAGAGCAGCTTCGTCACGCTGGCCCCGTGACCCGGAAGTGTCTTCGGACAGCGCTGGCTCCCGGCCTCTTAAGCGAGATGAGCACGCAACCCCAGAGTCGGTCACGACTGGCCCGTACGGGCAGGGGTACCTTTACCTTTACCTTTACAGGACATTTGGTAGCACTGAACTTCCTAAGCCAAAACTTTGGGAAATCTGTGAGTGCTGCAACATCATATTAACTGTTAGGACATACTAGTGAGTACCTCCAATGGAATAGCCTCCTTTGTATAGCCTAAAAGGCCAGTGGTATCAGTCCTTCAGATGAAGGAGCTGCGTGTCCCATTTGGCAGCAGAGACCTGCTTAGGACTAACATCGAGGGGACCTTCACTTTTTATGACCCATTCATTGCAAGAGTCAAAAGGTTTTGCTTCCTCTCACCCCTGCTTCACATGAAATGACAGTCTTGTATATTTGGGCAGAGCCAGAATTCTGCTGCCAGAAGCCATCACAATCAAGGGACTTTGTGCCTTGCAGGCTATAGACCAAGCCTTGTATTCTTAACAAGTTGTATTTTCCCCTTTACTGCATTCAGATGTCCAGCTCGCCGTTGTCCAAGAAGCGTCGCTTGTCTGATTCGGAGACGAAGACGGGTTCAAACTGCTCCTCTGGCAAATCCGTACAGACTGATCTGCGCGAGGCGCCTGCCAACGTAAGACTTTGTGTTGAGCCCATTTCTTACATCCTGATTCTTGGTTTCCAAGGAGAAACTAGGTCAGACCCCACAGTCTTGATATTAGTAAAGGGTTTGTTGCCATGATGGGTGGAACAGAAAAAGGGTCTGTTTGTCACCAGGAACTTCTGCAGCATTTGTACAGTGTAGTTCTGCACCATCTTTTGGGTGGAGGGTGGGCCACCCTGTCAGGGCTGAGGGTGAGAAAGATTTGACTACTGTAGTTTCTTGGTGCAGCAGTAATTTACCTTTTCCTCTGAGGTGACAATTACACAAGAAAGAGAAAACAAAAGGGCAGCCTCAGGGATATCATTTAGATGCAAACTAGACATGCCCCAGAATTTTGCTCACAGACCTCTTGCAGCCTTGACAGTGCAGTCATCCCCACCTTCCTCCCCTTGTAGATCTCAGTGGGAGTTGTTGGGAACCTTGTTATCTGCAAGCAAATGTTCAAGGCAGCTATCGTAAAATCAGCACAAGAACTCAACACTCCTATAAAATGTAATAGCTGGTTGGGACTGTCTCTGAATATATTGGAAATCAGTATTAACTAGCCAAACATCCTGCTTCTACCAACTGTTTGGAGCCTTCAGTTATGCTCAGTAGCCCAGCATTACAGCCTTAAGCCTCAGGCTTTTGTGTAGATTAGGCTCTCCTGCCCTACCATAATGTGTGCAAGTAGCAGGCAACCAGCAAGAGAACCCTTCTCCTTATTCAGCAGGTCATTTGGAGAATAAAGGCACCAGCTGCTTGACTTACAGCTGCCTTCATTCCTAATTCTGGCTCAGGTCTTGATTTGAGCTGGAAAGGCCTCAAACTATACAGCTGGAAATTCCATTAGTGGGATAAGATTATGTGAATTGAATGTATAGGCATATATATAGCTTGGTCCCATTTGCTGAATGTCAAATATTAGACAGCCAATATTGTCAAATGCTACAAAATAGTTGAAAGGGTGGATGGGTTTGCAACTCTGCTTCCTGACCATGGGCAGCCTTAGCTGTTCCCTTTAGAAACAGACTGTGCATGTGTTAGAAGAGTGACTAGTGGGGTGCCACAGGGTTCTGTCTTGGGCCCGGTCTTATTCAACATCTTTATCAACGACTTGGATGATGGACTCAAGGGCATCCTGATCAAATTTGCCGATGACACCAAACTGGGAGGGGTGGCTAACACCCCAGAGGACAGGATCACACTTCAAAACGACCTTGACAGATTAGAGAACTGGGCCAAAACAAACAAGATGAATTTTAACAGGGAGAAATGTAAAGTATTGCACTTGGGCAAAAAAATGAGAGGCATAAATACAAGATGGGTGACACCTGGCTTGAGAGCAGTACATGTGAAAAGGATCTAGGAGTCTTGGTTGACCACAAACTTGACATGAGCCAACAGTGTGACGCGGCAGCTAAAAAACCAATGCAATTCTGGGCTGCATCAATAGGAGTATAGCATCTAGATCAAGGGAAGTAATAGTGCCACTGTATTCTGCTCTGGTCAGACCTCACCTGAGTACTGTGTCCAGTTCTGGGCACCACAATTCAAGAAGGACACTGACAAACTGGAAGGTGTCCAGAGGAGGGCAACCAAAATGGCAAAGGCCTGGAAACGATGCCTTATGAGGAACGGCTAAGGGAGCTGGGCATGTTTAGCCTGGAGAAGAGGAGGTTAAGGGGTGATATGATAGCCATGTTCAAATATATAAAAGGATGTCACATAGAGGAGGGAGAAAGGATGTTTTCTGCTGCTCCAGAGAAGCGGACACGGAGCAATGGATCCAAACTACAAGAAAGAAGATTCCACCTAAACATTAGGAAGAACATCCTGACAGTAAGAGCTGTTCGACAGTGGAATTTGCTGCCAAGGAGTGCGGTGGAGTCTCCCTCTTTGGAGGTCTTCAAGCAGAGGCTTGACAACCATATGTCAGGAGTGCTCTGATGGTGTTTCCTGCTTGGCAGGGGGTTGGACTCGATGGCCCTTGTGGTCTCTTCCAACTCTATGATTCTATGAAGTTTTTGTCCGCAACCAGGAGGCCTGGAAATGCATGTATTTTTTTTAAAAAAGAATGCTTTGATTTCCAGAAAGCTTCAATAGTCATTGCATTTTGTACTAGTCAGTATTCCACTTATTCTGTGGTACAGTCAAATAGCTTGAGAGGAAAACACTGTGTTGGTGCAAGTGTTGCTAGCGCTCCCCCTCTTTCCTTTCTTTTTTCCAGGGTATGGCCAAGAATGGAAATGAAACGGACATTGATGAGGGTCTGTACTCAAGGCAGCTGTAAGTACCAGAAAGGCGGGGGGGGTCACCATTACAAAAGGAGTTGTGGTGCTATTCTTCTGTGGCTGTTGATCTTCAGCTGTTTTTCTGCTGCTGAGAGGCAGCAGTTTCGGGGCAAGATGCCTCGGGTTTTGGTTGGGAAGGCAAGGCCCTGAAATTAACCCTTTGGGATTCTTCCCTCCACCCTTTGTTCTGAGCAGATATGTACTGGGTCATGAGGCCATGAAACGAATGCAGAATGCCAACATTCTGGTGTCTGGCGTGCGAGGACTGGGTGTGGAGATTGCCAAGAACATCATCTTGGGAGGAGTGAAATCTGTCACAATCCATGATCAGGGTGTGGCTGAGTGGTCTGATCTCTCTTCCCAGGTAGAGTCCTCCTGCATTTACCTAAATGGCCTAAAGTGTGTTCCTTCTGTAGGCAAACTGCTCCATACATTTCATACTCTTTCCCCTCACTCTCCAGTTCTACCTGCGTGAGGAGGACCTTGGAAAGAATCGAGCTGAAGTATCCCAGCCTCGACTAGCTGAGCTGAACTCCTATGTACCTGTTACTTCTTACACTGGGCCCCTCAGTGAGGACTTCCTTAGTAACTTCCAGGTACTGTAAAGCAGGATGGCAGCTTATTGATAACTGGTTTTCTCTTCATAGGGGAAATGTCGGCTTGGTTTTCAGAAGAGAGGAGGGTTAGATAGCAGGATATAATAATTACTTTTGAACAGATCAAGGGTCCATCTAGTCTAGAATTTTGTCTTCAGCAGTGGACAGCAAGGTGCTTCTGGAATTTCAGAGGACAATTCAGTATAACAATAGTGGTTGTGATACTTTGTCCCCACCATCTAACATTCCAAATGGTATTGCCCCATACATTAAGGTTCCATTTAATTATCAGGGCTAACAATGTGACATGCATCTCATTTGTACATATACCGAATGTCATCTTCCTCTCCATCTGCTCACGTAGCTTGCGGAGAGCCGTTTTGAATCTCTTTAGTCTGCTTGGAACTTGGCCATCATGAACTGTTTGTCATTTGGAGGCCAGGTTCCTTCACTATTTCCTTGACTCCGGATAGTTTAGCAATCTTAGATAACACAAGTCCTAATACAAATCCTTGTGAAGAGGCAGGGGCTGTACTGCTTACTTTAGAGCTCTAGGCATAACTGCTGCTGCTTTTATGTATACATTTCCATGTTTTCTGCTGCAGTCAGTCTAATCCTGTGGGTGCATATAGCTTTAAGAGCCAGCTAGCCACAGGAATTCACTGGTGAGAGATTCTAAGAAAAGTAATATTATTGAAAGCAGAGCTTCTTAATTCTCTGTGCCATAGAACAGAGTGGAAAAAGCAGTGTTGTGGAGAAAAGCCCTCTTGTTGTTTAGCCTTCCTGTTCTGCTAAACTTCACTCTAAGAATGAGCCGGTACAGAGCTCAAGATCTGTGGTGTTACCAACAGCGGCAGAGTGTTTGTTGCCTAGAGTAGCACTTAGAAGGATCTTTTGTCCCTTCTGCAGGTGATTGTGCTCACTAACTGTCCCTTGGAGGAGCAACTGCGCATAGGTGACTTCTGCCATGGCAAAGACATCAAGCTGGTCGTGGCCGATACAAAGGGCCTTTTCGGGTAAGATGTAATTCCAGCTCTGTTCTTTTATCTCTGCTATAGCAACCCTTGACCGTTTCCTTTGGCTGGGCTCTCCATCCTGTCTAACATGGGCAGCTGTGAGAGTTCCAGTCTTTATAGCCAATAACATGTCCAGCCCAGCCTTACTGCTTAGGGTATTGTTGCATCAGTGACAGCACTGAGAGTTGGGTTGCAGTGGAAATGGCACTATTGGCCCCTCACCCTGTTTCCTTTTCCTTACAGCCAGTTGTTCTGTGACTTTGGTGATGACATGGTTGTGACAGACACTAATGGGGAGCAGCCGCTCAGCGCCATGGTCTCCATGATTACCAAGGTAATTCCTTCCTGAGGCCGGAAGCCACAACTATTTCCTGTAATGGAGATGTGCAGTCTTCCTTATAGAGGGCACATGTATGCATTGCTTCCTGCAATGTCTTGCATTGATTTCAACAGTGGACGTCCTTGGAGGTTTTTATGCAGAAGTTGGATGGCCAGCTTTAATGGATGCTTTACCTGACATTCCTGCATAGGACTAAATGCTCCCCAGGGTCCCTTCCAACTCTACAGTTCTGTGATTCCCTTATTTCTGTACAGGGGTGCCCTGGAGAGGTAACCTGTCTGGATGAAGCTCGGCACGGTTTTGAGACTGGCGACTTCGTTTCCTTCACTGAAGTTGAAGGCATGAAGGAGCTCAACAACTGTGAACCAATGGAAATCAAAGTGCTTGGTGAGACCCTGTTGGTGCCTTAACTAAGCAGAGCAAGTCTTGGATGCCACTTGAATGGGATGCTTGCTGGGGTTTTAGGCTCTCTAAGTGTATGGCAAAACTACCTGGATAGATATTAATGCCTTTCAGTGGTGTTTTAGCATTTACTTTAATTATTTGGAATTTTAGCCTGCTCTGACCCCATATACCCCAAGAGGGTTACAATAGATTAAACATGCCAGAAACAAAAAATGTACAATTAGACAAATGTTAATTCTGACCATCCTCTTTCTTGTCCGCTTTCATGATTGTCTTCCTAAGAGCCCTTTTCTAACCTAGACACAGCCTATCAATCCCTAAATCAACAAACATTCCCATTCTCTAGCATTCCATCCCTAAAACAATCATGCAATTTAAGTCTCCTCCTACTGTCTTACACCCCTTTACACATAGGCATAGAATAAAATTCATTTCACAACCTGTTCATGTCTCCTTTTTTTCTGTTTCCTCTGGTATATGGAGACATAACACTTCTCTCCTTCCCCAAATGATAATTTAATCCTATTAAAAGGATTGAAAGATCTCTTCCATACTTTTATTATAGAGTGTCCCCAATTGCAATATTGGCAGAGCTGGCCCTCTCGGTAGTTCTTCTACACTCAGAGGCTCAAGAGGAGTGGCAGCTCAGGAGAGGGCCTTCTCTGTGGCAGCCCCTCAGCTGTGGAACTCCCTCTCCACAGAGGTGCATCTGGCACCTTCATTGTACAGCTTTTGGAGAATGCTGAAGGCGTGCCGCTTTGCTTTTGATACCAGTAGTGTATATTTTTTGGGCCCACTTTATTTTTGTGATGGTAAGCTGTTTTAAACTGTGTTTAATTTTGTGTGTTAATGTTGTAATCTGCCCTGGGACCTTAGGGTGAAGGGCAGGTAATAAATAGTTGTACTAATAATAACATTTTGACATGGTTGCTGGAGGCCCTGACCCAAATACCGTTTTATTCCTAGTTTGATTTCTCACATGAGACTGACAAAAACATGTGTTTTCTCTCTCTCTCTCTTTCTCTTTCAGGCCCCTACACATTCAGCATTGGCGACACCTCCAACTTTTCAGACTATATACGTGGTGGTATTGTCACCCAGGTCAAGATGCCAAATAAGATTAGCTTTGTAAGTGTTGTTGCTGACAGACTCTGGCTTTTTTGCAGTGCTCTTGTGCTGGAACAGCCTGGTCCCCTTTGGGCCACATGTGCCATTCCTTGGGAGGCATCATGATCTGGAGCTATCGACTCTCCCCTTGGCCATAGAAAATTGGAGCCATGAAGTGATCTTATGCACTTCCCATTTCACTGGATTGATAGTGCTGCCCCAATTGTAGTGAATGTTCCTATCTAGGGTTCTGGAATGTTTAACCTACAACTGCAGTGAATGTGGCAGTATTGAAGTTCCACTGTTTATATTGGATAAAGCGGGTGTCTCCATGTTCAAAGAGAATATTCATCTGCTTATCAGGGCACACTTTCTCACTCTTCTCTTCCAGAAATCTCTGCGCACTTCTCTGCTGGAGCCAGAGTTCATCATTACTGACTTTGGCAAGTTTGACCGACCAGGTCAGTTGCACTTGGGATTCCAGGCCTTGCACGAGTTTCGCAAGAAGCATGATCGTTTCCCCAAGCCCCGTAATCAGGTAGGTTGTTCCTTCTTGGTGGTAATGTGGTACCTTTATCTCCATGATTTGAAGTTCTCTGTAGCTGCAGCTGCTCATACTAGCCACAGAAACCCCAAGTTTTGTAATAAGCAGAACTTCCCTCCTGAGAACATTAGTGCAGATAGCATTTTATGTAAAAAATCTGACATTATATCAGGCAACTCAATTTTGCTTCATTTTGAAGCTGAGGGCCAAACTTGTTGTGTCATGTTAAATTCATCTTTTCACCATTAAAAATGAAAATAGCATCTGTTTGTGGCTGATAATTATCCTGACTGCAGCAGATGGAGAGGAGTTTGTTGCTTTCCTCCTTCATTTGGGCTCCTGATTGTACACCCAAAGCTGTTACTTGCATTGGGAGAAAAGCTCCTGTGGGCACTACTTGCACTTCAAATGCAAGACTCAGAGTGTCTAGTTTGGCCCTAACCCTTTCAATTTTTGCACAGTTGCTGTTTATTTTCCAAAATGTATTGTTCAGGCAGGGAGTGGAAATGGGAATGAGTGGTATATGGGAAAGAAGATGTGATCATTGTTGTATGTAATGTTGTTGGGGTTTAAGTGTGTGCATGTTTAGTTGTGAACCCTGTCGATGTGAATTGTGCATCCAGAAAAATACAATTCTACACGTGTGATTTTATCATTTTTAGTTGTTTGCATCATTCTGGCTTTATTACTCAAGTGGAGGGGCAAGAAGTTATTGGGGGGGTTACTTTGTGCTCTATAACTTATTCAAAACTGCCTGTGCCTCTGTGCCAGGACTGGTCGTTGTCCTCTTCAGATCACCACACAAACGCTTCTTGTTCTTTTATAACTTTTTATTGCGTATTAACAAAACAATCCTATAAACGGTTCTTAACTATTATTCCTCAGAGTCACTTCTTTCAGATACCTTCTGAGCTCTGCTTCTCGGTGACCAGCCACCCTCAAAATGGCGAAGGCACCCTTCCCTTCGCTTTCCCGCTCTTTTTCCTACCCTCCTGGCAAGAGCTGGCCTGTATCTCCCCTTCTCCGAATCTGAGCTAGAACTGAACCCTTGCCTTTCCTGGGAACAGCCGGTCCCTCCCTGTTGTTCCTGTTGCTCTTTTCTATTAGATTCACTGCTCTCCTTCCCCCCTTGGGGAATGCTTTCTCCCTCTGAGAAACTGGAAACTTCTAACTCTTCCCTGACACTCTGTGGGGTTAAATACCTACAATCCTTGTTTAATAGGTATGTGTGAGAGCTGGGCAACAGCACAGGGCAAAGGCTGTACTTCAGTTCTTGAGTCTCCTGCAGATACTATTATATCAGTTTCAAAAGTATTGCCAGAAACTTTGCAAGGGGATTAGATGTATTTATTGTAGTTCCATTCCATTATCTTTGTCAAATCTCTGCATCCCTGAGTGATCCTGCAGTCTAACTGAACATTAGGGGCTTTTCCTAGCCTATGTCTGACTTCTCTCCCTTCCTTTTCAGGCAGATGCTAGTGAGGTTCTAGCTTTGGTCAAGGATTTGAATGAGCAAGCGGCACCCTCACTAAGACAAGAGCAGCTGAATGAGGATGTCATCAAAGAACTGGCCTTCCAAGCTACTGGAAACTTGGCTCCTGTCAATGCCTTTGTTGGAGGACTGGCTGCACAGGAAGTCATGAAGGTAATGCCAGGCTCCAGGAATTCACCCCAGATATTGGGGAAGTTGGCTAGGAGCTCAGGTCCTGGGTTCTCTTCAGAAATAATTTGTAGTTTTGCGTTTCCTATCATCATCAATTTCTTCTTCAACCAGGAGCTTTGTATTTGACTATTTAGAACTGTATTTGACTATAATGTTGCACTATTTTAGTGTTGTTAGCCGCCCTGAGCCCGGCTTCGGCTGGGGAGGGCGGGATATAAATAAAATATTATTATTATTATTATTATTATTATTACAGCAAAATCTTTGCCTCAGTAATAGAGAGACCAAGGTGGGTGAGTTTGGCATGCAGTGTCAACCCAGCCCATGTCCTTAAATGGGACACCGGCCTCTTTGTAAAAAAGCCAAATGACCATGGCATAAGATATGACTGTCTTCCTCTTTCCTCACTCTCTTTCAGGCTTGTTCAGGCAAATTCATGCCTGTTACACAGTGGTTGTACTTTGATGCACTGGAGTGCCTCCCTGAGGAAAACAAGGATGCCCTGACTGAGGAGAACTGTACCCCTGTAAGCAGTGTGGGGTTTGAGATGCATGCCAGGAGTAGGAGGGAAGCTCATTTGAGGTTGTAAGGTTTAAGCCCCGGATAAGGAACATGTTTAAATTTCTGCACTGTTCTGATGAAAAGTGAGAGCTCTAAGGGTAGCAGGACCTTATGGGTGGTATTTTACATACAAACAAACTGGCATCTGATATGTACAGGAGTAAATATGCTGTAACATTGGCTGGAGTTTGTTTTTGGGGACCACAGCAAGGTTGAGGAAATAGAGAAATCAAGCATTGGCTAGAAGAAGAGATGAAAGCTGTCTTTGTTTCCTCTCTCTTTATAGAAACACTGTCGATATGATGGGCAGATTGCTGTCTTTGGCAGTGACCTGCAGGATAAGCTGAGTCAGCAGAAGTATTTTCTGGTGAGTGCTAGTACCGTTTTCCTATGCCTTGGTCAGTATCCCAAGCACTTTGTTGACATTTCTGCTCTTTCCCACTCTTAGGTTGGTGCTGGTGCCATTGGCTGTGAGCTGCTGAAGAACTTTGCTATGATAGGTCTGGGGTGTGGGCCAGGTGGAGAGGTGGCTGTGACTGACATGGACACAATTGAGAAATCCAACCTCAACCGGCAGTTCCTCTTCCGGCCTTGGGATGTTACAGTAAGTTCTGTTTATCTGCAGCTGCTTTTGCTGGGAGGGGGGTGAGTGACGCTTTAGAGGTCTGTGGTCTTCCGCAGTACCTGTTCCATAAGCCCCAATGAACCCAACCATTATAAAAGATTGTGCAGATATGACTTAGTGCTTGCTTAAGCTTTTTTCCTGAAACTCTGCTTGTTCTGGTACTGCATTCTGTGTCAAGTTTCAAGATTCCTTGTTTGACCAATAAACCCATAATGAAACCGAGTCATAGTTATGTCTGAACATTAATAAAGAGCAAAAACAGTCACTGGGATGAAGCTCGTAGCTGTAGTGCTGTATCCACATTGTGTGACTTTCTGTCTGCCCAGAAAATGAAATCGGATACAGCGGCAGCAGCCGTGAAGGAAATGAACCCGAACATCCACATCACAAGCCACCAAGATCGTGTGGGCCCAGACACAGAGCGTGTTTATGATGATGACTTCTTTGAGAGCCTCGACGGAGTGGCAAATGCACTGGACAACGTGGATGCTCGTGTGTATCTGTCAGGGGTTGACTTGCTTACCTGTGCATTGCACACAGCTTTTTGCAGCTGATACATTTTCCTTGGTGTCAGCTGCAAGGCATCCTCACAGAGGATGGCTTCTTTGGCATTGTTCTTGCATTACTAGGCGGTGGATAAGAATGCAGTGAGAGTATTGGGAGTATAACTAAATAGGGGGAAAGGACAATCACTGTCTGGCCTCTTCACAGTCTGAACCAAACCCATTCATTATCTGAGGTGGATCCCATTATACAGTGGTACCTCGCGTTACATACGCTTCAGGTTACAGACTCCACTAACCCAGAAATATTACCTCGGGTTAATATTACCTCAGGTTGAGAAATCATGCAGCGGTGGCGCAGTGGCAGCAGGAGGCCCCATTAGCTAAAGTGGTGCTTCAGGTTAAGAACAGTTTCAGGGTAAGAACGGACCTCCAGAACAAATTAAGTTCTTAACCTGAGGTAGCACTGTATATGGGACTTTCTAAATATGAGTGGTTTGTATAAATGATCTTATATGCATAGTCAGCTGATATATATTCCTGCAATAATACTTCCTTTTTCAAGGAGAGAAATTCAGAATATTATTTCTTCAAACACCTAGAAAACAATTTTCTCCCAACTAGTAGCGTTGGAAAACATTCCATTTCTTGTCTGATTCCCGTGCTGTTCTGGTCGGCAGCATTTTTCTGCTTTCTCGTGTAACCGCTTTCCCTCTCCTTTGAACTAGGGATGTACATGGACCGTCGCTGCGTCTATTACCGCAAGCCCCTGCTGGAATCAGGGACGCTGGGGACCAAAGGGAACATCCAGGTGGTGATCCCCTTCCTTACGGAGTCCTACAGTTCCAGCCAGGACCCTCCAGAAAAATCCATCCCAATCTGCACGCTCAAAAACTTTCCCAATGCCATTGAACACACCTTACAGGTCAGTTTGTATTCGGTTGCATTTGCAGTTTTCAAGGCAATAGTTGGTGTATCGTAATAGTTAGGAACCAGAATGCTGCCTGGGTTCTCAGCAGAATGAATTTGCTGCAGGACCTTGCGTTCCAGTATGTTAGCCATATGTGACAACTGCATCTTGTCTCATAAAGGGGAAGCTGGATCCTGTCCCCATCTGGTTTTGTCTGCTGAGGCAGCATTTACTGCCATGTCTAATCTTACGTCTAGTTACTATACTTTTGTGCACCAGTGTTGGGAGCAAAGTGAGCTGGCTGCTGCTGTGTACTATAAAACCTCCAATCTTCTCTTCCACCTAGAAATCATATATTTATTATCATTTATTTTGATAGTGGGCCCGTGATGAATTTGAAGGCCTTTTTAAGCAGCCCGCAGAGAATGTCAACCAGTACATCACGTGAGTAAAATGCTGTATTTGAGGATTTGAAAGTGGTCAGAGTTGGAGCCAAAGCCTTGCTCTGCACAACAGAAGATGCAGTGGATTGAGCACTGACCAGTAAAGTATAATGATGTGCACTAAATGAAACACAGGCATATGAAACATGGAGAACAGGCAGTTGGGGTGTGGCTTTGCAGTTTCTGCTCATTTCAAAACCTTTCAGAAGTCTGGACACATGGAAATTGCAGAGCCAGTTCTCATTTTCATCGGTATTTGGTTTTAACTATTTTTAATACTGAATTTTAAACAACTTCAATAATAATAGTGTTGATTTTTCTCCAGAGATTCCAAATTCATGGAGCGGACCCAGAAGCTGCCGGGCACCCAACCTCTGGAGGTGCTGGAAGCTGTCTACAAGAGTTTGGTGACTGATCGGCCCAAGTCGTGGTCTGACTGTGTGACGTGGGCTTGCAACCATTGGCACACTCAGTACAGTAACAATATTCGTCAGCTGCTGCACAACTTCCCCCCAAACCAGGTGAGCAAGTGAGGGTCCTTCTAGCAGTTGGAGGGGTAGGTTTTCTTAACTGCTTTCCCCTTTATAACATCCCCTCTGTATTCTTTCAGAAAACTAATTCAGGAACCCTCTTCTGGTCAGGTCCGAAGCGATGCCCTCATCCACTCACTTTTGATGTCAACAATGTAAGCACTGAGATGGGGGTGGAGAACTGGCACCGCTAACTAGAAGACAGGTGGGAGTGGGGAGGAGGTGGCAAGAGCTGGTTCCTGTCATATCTGCTGTGCTCAAAAAGTTTACTAACCGTATTGCAGCTGCATTTAGTCTTGGTATTCATAGTTCTTTTAAAAAGGTTGAAAACTGGGAGTATGGCCAAAAGGGAGAGACACTTAGGCTACAATTCTCCTTTAGACACTGGGTTGTTAGTTTTGGAACGGGAAAGGAGCACATGGGCATGGGGTGTAGGGGAAGGAAGTGCTGGGTGCTGAAACCTTTGCAGAGCAAGAAGCTTTGCTAAAGCTGGGCAAACTCCAGTCAGCAACGTTCACTCTTAAGTTGCTCCCTCTTCAACTACCGTGAGTTAGACATGTGGTGGAGGACAGGTCAGAGTGGGAGAGGATGAATGGCTTCTGCTTTGTGCTCATGATGGCCTTATTTGAAGGTCAGAGAGAGACATTCCTCCAGGTCAGATTTGGCTAGAGACACCCTGAACAGAATAGAACCATGCATGTAGCTTGAGTCTTTGCTGGAATTGTTCAATTTGTTTCATGAAACTGTTATTCAAATCATCCCAGTTCCTCTGGCATATAAGGCAGCTTGTTCAGGGGCCCATGGGGTTAAACCTGAACGGAGGTGGTAGTGGTGGGTGTAGTCAAGTTGGGTTAGATTGTCTTTAAGACCATTCTACACGATCCCTTCTCTGTCTGTATTTATTACTTATTTACATATTATTGATTCAGATGAAAGAAGCATGGCTTCTGGTCAGAGTGTGAGCATCACTTAGAGAATCTGGACTCTCAAGTAAACTAGGCTCCTGGCTTAACTTTCTGTCTTTGCCTCCTCAGCCCTTGCACATGGATTATGTGGTGGCAGCAGCAAACTTGTTTGCACAAACATACGGCATCACAGGCACCCGGGACAGGGCAGCCATAGTGGAGCTTCTGCGCCAAGTGCAAGTTCCAGAATTCACTCCAAAGTCTGGTGTTCGCATCCACATCTCTGATCAGGAGCTGCAGAATGCCAACGCCTCTGTTGGTAAGGCTTCCTAGAGTTGAGAGTGAAGTGGGCTGCAGTGGGGAGGCCTCTACCTTGATAGAGAAGTAGGGAATGACAGAAAGATAATTTGAACATTCTTCCTCCTAACAACTTCATATTTGTAGACCGGAGGGGTATCACATAAAGTATTTTCTGCCTGCTTCAATATTGTGCCAGATTGGATTTTTGCTTCCTGCCGAGGGAGACGCCTGCACAACCTGCTGAAACAACCTGTTTCAGTTCTCTTGGGTTGTGAAGCTTCTCTGAATCCTTCAAGCATCAGTGGTGAAATTTGGCTGCATAACTTATGTTAGGGAACTTTGCTGGGTGGGTGGATCAGTCGGTGGATACCAGAGTTTACTGAAAGAGGAGGGTGACTTGAGGTTGTTGTTAACCTTTTCCAAGGCTCCTGTTTTCTTTTTCCCAGATGACAGACGGCTGGAGGAGCTGAAATCCTCACTCCCAAGTTCCCAGCAACTGCAAGAATTCAAGATGTTTCCTGTTGATTTTGAAAAGGTAAGGACCAGTTGAATTTCTTGGTGGCTAATCCCTAGTTTTACCTCCTGATTCCTTGGCAGGGTGGGATTGGCTGGAAATGGTCCCTAGGTTGCCATGTGGAAGTGCTTTTGGTGCCTAGTCTGGAAGCCTCCAGTCAAGTGCCTAGTCAAGCCTCCAGTGTGCAGCTCCCTGGGACATATGTGCCCAGAAGAGGTTCTAGGGAGGGAAGTGGTACGGTGGGACTATCACAGGGCTCAGTTGTCATTTTATTTGCATTTCAGGATGATGACACAAATTTCCATATGGATTTCATTGTGGCTGCATCCAACCTACGAGCAGAGAACTACGATATTCCTCCTGCTGATCGGCACAAGGTAGGCTTCCCTATTGGGTGTGAAGAGTGCAACCCTGGTCAGTGGAAGGAGGTGGCAGTAGTGTGGACTTGGCACTTAAGTGGGCTCTTCTACATCCTTTATCTCTTCAGAGCAAGCTGATTGCAGGGAAAATCATACCAGCTATTGCCACGACGACGGCTGCTGTAGTAGGCTTGGTGTGTCTGGAGTTATTCAAAGTGGTACAGGGCCACAAACAACTGGAGTCCTACAAGAATGGCTTCCTCAACCTGGCATTGCCTTTCTTTGGGTTCTCTGAGCCCATTGCTTGCCCCAAGAACAAGGTAAGTGGGGTGGCTTTTCCCTGCACCTCTTCTTTTGTTCACACATCCCAACTTGCATTCTTTACCCCTTCTTTACAGAAGACACCAGCCGTTTAGCAATACAAGCATTGCTAAATTCTCCTGCAAGCAGGGGGAATATGTCTCCTTAGGGCAGTGGTTCTCAAAGGGTTTGGCAGGAGAGGGTGGCGGGATGATTCAAGGACAAGCAAAAGAATTTTCAAGCATTTCACTGTACAGTGGACGCTCAGGTTGCGAACGTGATCCGTGCGGGAAGCATGTTTGCAACCCACAACGTTCGCAACCTGCAATGCCGCGTCTGCACATGTTGCGTTTTGGCACTTCTGTGCATGCGCAAAGCACGATTTAGCACTTCTGCGCATGCGCAAGCACTGAAACCAGGAAGAAACCGTTCCGGTACTTCCGGGTTCGGTGCGGTGCACAACCTGAAATCGTGCAACCCAAAGCGCCTATCACCCGAGGTATGACTATAGTTTAGCAAAATATTACACACACAACCAGAAACTGCATCCATGCCTCTCTTCAAGAGTATTGGCTATTACAGTTCTTCATGACATACTGTTGTGAACAGGGATCGTCACCACTGACAAATATGAAAGATCAGAAAAGAGAAAAGTTTCTTTGTGTTGATGAGATGAAAGTTAGTTTGTCTCAAATTAGTAAAGGGACCCCTGACCATTAGTTCCAGTCATGGCCGACTCTGGGATTGTGGCGCTCATCTCGCTTTATTGACTGAGGGAGCTGGCGTACAGCTTCCGGGTCATGTGGCCAGCATGACTAAGCCGCTTCTGGCGAACCAGAACAGCGCACGGAAATGCCGTTTACCTTCCCGCCGGAGTGGTACCTATTTATCTATTTGCACTTGGACGTGCTTTCGAACTGCTAGGTTGGCAGAAACAGGAACCGAGCAACAGGAGCTCACCCCGTTGCGGGGATTCGAACCGCCAACCTTCTGATCCACAAGCCGTAGGCTCTGTGGTTTAACCCACAGTGCCATCTCAAATTAGACCTAATATAAATGAGATTACCCAACAAAAACAAGCTCACGCCTCTAATTGAGTTTGTATACATTCTTACGGTACATGTGTAAGAGGCTCGTTTATGTTTATATTTTGGGAAGAATTTGTGCTCTTCTGTAGCTGCATTGCTTTATACTTTCTGGGTGCCGCCTGATGGTTTTACAAAGTAGTCGTGTTCTGTGTTATAAATCAGGCACTGCTAGGAGGAGTTTCTTCCCCCCCCAACATATTCTTTATCAATCAAATATTCAGTGTGTCGTGAGCATATTTTCATTCTGAAAATGTGGCCCAGTGAAAAAAGTTTGAGAACTACTGCTGTAGGAACTTGGGAGGTGGGGAAGGAAAACCAACATCAGCTGAAGCCCTTCAGCACTCAGGTGAAATTCCAAAGAGCTTCTGTGTGGCTGCACTTCCAAGTACAATAATATTTTAAAAACTTCTTGCAGCTCAACATTTCAGATTTTTTCTTTTTTATATACTAGTTTCTCTGCTTTTACAAGGCAAATCCATTGGAGGAGGGCATTCCTATTACTGTCACTTCACCATGTTTAGGGGGTGTTACATAGGCGGGGAGGCCCTGGGAATTTTTTTATTACTGTATCCAAGAATATGCATTAAACAATTTAAAATATTAGAACAAAGAGATATACAGTCATACCTTGGAAGTTGAACGGAATCTGTTCTGGAAGTCCGTTCGACTTCCAAAGCATTCGAAAACCAAAGCACAGCTTCTGATTGGCTGCAGGAAGCTCCTGCAGCCAATCAGAAGCCCTGCTGAATGTTCGGCTTCCAAAAGAACGTTAGAAAACTGGAACAGACTGGAACAGGTGAGTGTCCATGCCCACCCTTCAGAAATAATACCTGACTGCAGGTGCAGAATCCCTTTTTTTGTATGGGGTAAGAGAAGTGTGCACATACGTATGTCCCATCATGCAGACAAGTGATCTTCCTGTGGAGGGCCTGATTGCGGAGGCTCAGCTGTAGAGACAGGATCCTAGGAACATGAAGGAAACTTTTCAGGTTTAATGTCTGTAATTCCCAAAATCTATGTTTTTTGCCCACTCTCTTCAGTACTACAACACTGAGTGGACTTTGTGGGACCGTTTTGAGGTGCAGGGCATCCAGGCTGATGGACAGGAGATGACCCTGCGTGAGTTCCTGGCCTATTTCCAGGTAAGAGCTGGGGAGTCCAGAGCCGTTCCCTGTCAAAGTAGCTTAGCAGTTGCAGAAGTTTTTTAGTAATGGAAGTGAAATACTTCTTGTCTTACGCAGAAGGAACACAAACTGGAGATCACAATGCTGTCCCAGGGAGTCTCTATGCTGTACTCCTTCTTTATGCAACCAGCCAAGCTGAAAGAGCGGCATGACCAGGCGTATGTATCATTCGGCTGTGCTTAGGCTAAACAAAGGTGGACAACTTCAGCCCACGCTTTCTCTGACCATTGTCCTCTCCCGTAGGATGACTGAGATTGTCACCAGAGTCTCAAAGAAGAAGATTGGTCGCCATGTGAAGGCCCTCGTCTTTGAGCTGTGCTGTAATGACGACAATGGGGATGACACAGAGGTGCCCTACGTGCGTTACACCATCCGCTAGGGGCTCCTTTGCTAGCACCAACCACCTGCCTGCCACGGACTGTTAGTGCAGGGAAGGGTCCGCCTCCCTTCCTCACCCTTCACTGTTAAAGTGACTCAAAACATGAAATAATGTTTATACCCTTTTAGAATTCCCTCCCCGCCCCCCGGTTGTTTTTGTCTCCACCAGGGCTTGGGAAATGCTCCACTCCTGTGGCCCCACCCTCCCATTCCTTGCAGTTATGTCATGTTTTTGAGGCGCCTTAACCCCCCCCCCCCGGTCCTTCAATGTTAGTCGTGTTGTGTTTTGGCTCCTGCACCACCACCACCTCCCCCCTCCACCACTCTCTGGTAATGGAGGCTGCTCCCTCCCTCATCCTATTCTGGAGAGGGGGCTTGTAACAGGAAATGCCCCCTCCTCGTCTTCTGAGCACTGGGAGGCCTTGCCCTGGCTGGCTTTGGGGGGAGAGGATGCGATGGGCCGAGAGCGTAGGTCAGAACTGGTAAGAGAAGTAAATGAGTCAATAAACGTTTGCAAAAGCCAGTGGTCCTTTATTGCTCAACCAAGGTACTCAAGAGGGATTGTTGGTTGCATGTAACTTGGAACTGTGACCATTGTTCAAATGCCTGGAGTTCTCAGGCTGCTGCTAAAAAGTGCATTGATAAAGCTGTAGACTAGGGTGGATAGGATAGGCCTGGACTGATAACTCCTGATTTTCAGTTCCATGCAAGCAGTTTGTGTTTCCTTATAGACAGCTTTTTAAATGTACTGCTGCTTTCTGAAGACACCCCCTCCCCAATCCACACGTGGAAGTGTGTGTGTGTGTGTGTGTGTGTGTGTGTGCTTCTGTTTGCTTCTGAAGTAGCAGAGTGAAGACTACACTGATGTTTTCTTGAAGCTCTACAGTGTTGGGAGAACGTGACGATCTTTTCCAACAAAAGAGATTGAGTAGCAACCATGCATAGTTGTGGCAGAACATTACCTGTATTGCGTTTCCACCATATGTCACACCCAAGAGGCAGGTGGCCTAGTTTCAGAATCATAGTGAAACCATTAATAATGCTTCACTCAGATGCAATGAAGTTTAACAGGGAGAACAATTCTCTTCGCAGAGGATTTCTTCCCTCTTTGGCTTGATGTTTGTAGTGGGCCTTCCACATTGAGGTTTAGGGAGGAACCTTCAAAACTGCTCCTTTTCGGGGGGGGGGTGATAGAGCATGTTGAGGGTGGTAGAGGACCACTGGTGTGCATGGGGCAGTTTTGCCAGAGCTATTGGCACCAACTGATAGCTTTCTCCCCTTCAAATAGAACTACAGGAACCTTATATGAGCTTAAGGAGCCCATTAGTTTTGCATTCCCTCAAATCTTTTTGAGGTATCTATTTTATCCAGAATCAACTGATTTGTCTTCAGCAATGCTTTATCTCTCCTATCGGTCATACATGCTTATTACTAAATCTGGGAATGCTCAGCAGAGCTTAGCCTCTAGCAGATTCCCAGTTAGGTTTGTAGTGGAGAATTAAAATTATTATGAAGCTGCTGCACCAACACCCCACCCTGCATGCTTCAGGACAAGGGTGGAATGTGGCAAGTCAGGTGAATTTTGTCTCCTCCATAGGTAAATAAGACAAGCAGGTTTCTGGGTTGGTCCATGGATATGGATTGGTCCAGAAGCACCTTGCATCTTTCATCTCCAAATTGGATAAGGGACAGTCTAGTCAGTCAGCCATCTATGAATGGTTCCTCGACTTTACAGATTATGTTCTGTGTGAAGAATCAGTTTTCATTTATATATGCTTCTGGGTTCACTTGGATCCAAAAGTCTACCATAAGGTAGTACTCCAGAGTGCTGTGGGAGGTGGAGAGTTTTTGACCACGGAAAAGAGAAGGGGCAGTTCTTATTCATGCCATTTTGACCTGGGAGCATTCTAGTGGGTCCCTTGTTCAAGGAAAACTATGGACAAGACACTGGCCTTTATAGCTTAAAGTTGCAGAATTTCAAGTTCGTACATTTGGGGTAAGGGTTAAAAGAAATGTATTAGCATCTTTTGAATTTAGGTAGTGTTTTTATTTCACTTTGACTCATCCTTATGATTATGAAAATACAATCCTGAGAAACAACGCAACTTGATTGGCTGCCATGTTCTGTCTCTTAAAACTGCTAATCATCTGACCTGCTTGGAAATGGTTCACTAGAACTCAATGGCCATCCAGTGAAGCTCAGTACTGGGGACAGATAAAAGAAAGTGAAACTATGGAATTCATTGCCAGAGCCGGCCCTGAAGACCACTAACTTGGGTGGCGTTGCAAGTGGAAGAATCAGATTCATGGAGGTAGAGATCATGGCTACTAACCATAATGGCTGCTCTCTGCTTACATAGGCATCTGGTTGGCCACTGTGAGAACAGGGTTCTGGAGTAGATGGCCCCTGCCTTAATCCAGCAGGTTCTTAGGACAATGCACTACCTTCAGGCTCCATTTATAGACATAAGAGATAAGCCTGCAACAAGCCAGCATGTTACTGTTTTTTCCTTGTCTGCTAGAACACAAAAGCTGAACTACTTCAGTACTAGATGTGTGTGTAAGGTTAACTGCAATGATTGGCCTGGATCTTAGAGGATGCAAGTGCCTCTTAGGTTGAAGTAGTTCATATTTTCATTGATAGTATTTTACGTTACTTTTCATAATGGAACGATAAATTGCACTGCTGTTGCAGACATACTGATTTTCAAAGTGTAGATTTGGTGTTCTAAGCAGGACTTCGTTTCTGACAGGAGACATTCATTTCTCAAGCTTTCCTGGCTCCTACCTTTATGCCACAATCAAAAAGTAATGTAGAAAATAGGACCCCTACATAACTTAATGAAAATGTATGAGTTTACAAGTGACACTTAAAGCTCTGGCTTCTGCTGTGCCTCTTCAGCTGAAACCTAAGGCACCCATGTAATACAATCTGAAGCATATTTTACTCAGAAGTGACTGCAGGGACTAGGCAAATTGGACCAGTGGTCTAACGTGACATAAGGTAGCTTCCTATGTTCCTATTTTACAGCCAAGCAGAGGTAACCAAAGCCACTAGGAGGGCACATATAAAAACTAGTCCTGTGGACAGCCTTTCTATGGAGTCTAGGCTTGTCTTTAATCAGGTAATTCCACCAGCTGTCTTGTCAAAAATCAATTAAAGATTTTTGTGTGTCCAGACTGCCTGTCAGCAAGGAGGCAACCTTTCCCTCTAACTGTTCTGTATTGCCTCTGTAGGGGGTGAGACTCTTCCATCACTCTTGGGCCAGAGACTACAGAATTGACTCTGTGTCTACTGCTGTGGATCTAATGCCTTATTGCTGGAGGCACAGGCAGAATTAAGAGTCGGGTGAACTGGTAATGTAGTATAGTTTTCTTCAGGAGCAATTATCTTCTAAAACTAAACAGGTTTCCTCTAATTGCCAGTACAAAGGGTTTTCAGCAAAGAGGAGGAAGGTTAAGCTGTGTGTTGTTCTAGACCAAGCACGTCCAACAGGTACCTGAACCCAAAAAAAGGGGGTAGATCACTCTGAGGAGTTGGCCACCCCTAGACTATCACTGTGGTCAATATATAGACTGTGGCTGTAGTTCAGTGGTAGAACATATACTTTCCACAGAAGTACAGGCTTGATGGGTCTCAAACTGGTGTTGAATTAGGGACTTCCCCTGCATGCAAAAGGCAGGCTCCAGCAGATTGAGAAGAAGAAACCAATAATGGGTCCAACAATCAAGAAGTGGGTTTCTGCGTGTGCTGTAGAGCAAAGTGAGGGCAGATGGGGCTTGTCAACCTGGGTAAGCTCTGGTCCTAAATCTCTGCTATACTCATTTGTGAGAAAGGCTTCAGGGGTAAACCCCAAGGGAAAATCAGTACCCACACTGCCTTGTTGAAGAAGAAAAGGATTAAGAGTAAACCCTACACAAATCCTGAGTCCCTAAGGCAGTTGGATGGTGCTTTGTATGCTTCCTTCCAGCAACTCCTGGAGCCAAGCGGCCAGACTTATTGCTCTGCTTTCCTTTGAACTACATCAGTGAGGCCAAGAGGCTTGTCATCTGGGCAGCCCAGGACCTCATACACACTGCCCAGCCTTGCACCCTTTGGTGCTTCTAACACAGCAGTTTGACTTCACCCCTGGAGGCACAATCCATTCTCTCTCAAAAAAGATGGATGCCAACTGCAGGCTTGATCACTGGCATATCTAGGTATGATTGCGAACAACCCTGTCTGAACCTCTAGAGAGGCATGTCAAGAAATGGAAGATATTGGTGTGTGTAGCAGGAGGGAAGGGCCTGTTGCACAAGCAGAAATCCTTGTACTGGTAGGAGCGATTAGTTGAATACCCCCAAAATCTTATCTTGCACCAGCTGCAGAAGAAATACAACATAACGAAAGAAATTTATTACTGCAGCCTTCCCTGATGTTGTAAGAGACCTGTGTGAATTGAAAGGTTGATACTATCTGGCAGCTGTGGACTATGTCACTGATCTTCATTTGGTGGGTCAGGATCCACTAGTGAGTTGTGGCCTGATCCTAGTTTGGTTACAACAGGAGCACTGCCACCATGCAAATATAGCATGAAATATATCGTAAAAGATCCAGAAATGGGTCCCCAAATGCATGTTTAGGTTAAAAATGGGTCCTGGCTCTGAAGAGGTTGAAAATATCTGGGTTATGATTCCCCAATAACGCCGCACCTTTTCCTCATGCTTATACTTCTGCCACCCCCAAAACTCTCAGGAGAGGCTGTAGTGGAGAGGAGTGTGGAATTCCCCTTGAACAAGCGTGAATTCAGCATTAGGTACCATCTGTTATTGTTTTTATTTTGTTGTTCTATGCATTACTATTTTGAGCATTGCAGTAGAAATGTTAAGCTACCTTGGGAGAACTTGCCCTAAAAAGCATGGTGGAAATAATGTAAACATAATATTATTCAAAGTATATTGCACTCTCCTTGGCTAATGTTACTTGTCGCAGCGTTCTTTCACAATTTATCCTTGTTAACTGGCATACCAGAGGAAAATGTGACCTACAGTCTGACGCAATGGACAGTAGCTAAGCCCCAGTTTTTCTGGACATCTTACAAGTTTCACTGTATCACCACTAGCCCTCACTACTCTCAAGCAACAGGAAGGTGGAGAAACCAGTACAAGCCGCTAACAACAAAATGTCCCACATACTGCGCTCTCAAGCTGTACCTCAACACTGCTGCTGGATTGTTTCAAAGTGTCCCCCTGCACAAGTGGAGGTCATTTAGCTTGCACATTTATTTGGGTGAAAACTGCCCAGTGCCTAGACCACATTCTGCTGAGGCTGCCTGGCACATGAACAGAAACCAACATGGCATTTTCCTATTGTTGAGAAGCTACAATTGGCAAATGCCACAAGTTCATCTTCTCAGTCTTCCAGTGCTGCCTGATAGAGACGTTACTGCTCAGATACTTGGAAACCTGGAAGATTTAGAGGTGAAGGAGTGGTTACTTCATCAATGTGTCTTAACAACACTTCAATATTATTTAATAATATTTAATAATTTATTATTTATTCCCCAGCCACTCTGGGTGGCTTCCAACAAAATATTAAAAATACAATAAAGCATCAAACATTAAAAACTTCCCTAAACAGGGCTGCCTTCAGATGTCTTCTAAAAGTCAGCTGGCTGTTTCTTTCTTTGACATCTGACGGGCGGGCGCCACCACCGAGCTCGGAGCTACCCCTCCGCGTCCGGGCTGAGCGATGGGGGTGGATGTTTGGTATAGATCAGGCATCTTAGTGCTGCCTCAATCCTGCTTTTTTCGGGCTGGGTGTGTTCCTTAAACAGAAGGGGGGAGATGAGATCACAGATTCGTCCAGGAGGAGCCCGAGACATTTGGGCGCCTGAGGCAAAGCACAGCCGGCAAGCCGGTGAGGGAAGATCTGCGTCGCGAACAAGGGCCAAGTCCAGCCCGGCATCGGCTGCAGATCCTGCCGAGGGCGCCTCTTGCGGGGGGGAGCCGGCGGAAGGGGCGCCCTTCGGCTCCTCCTCGCGGGCGGGCGGGCGGGCGGGCGAGGCCGGGGACACCGAGCCAGCCTGGGCCTCCGAAGGCGCAGCAGCTGCTCTCGGGACAGACCGACTTCCCCCTCAGGGCGAAAAGCGCCGCCAAGACTTCTCCGCCTCTGCGCGGCGCCCGAGAGACGCGCCCAAGATGGCCGCCAGGCCGACTCAGCCGAGCAACAATTGGCCGGAAGCGCCTCTCCTGCGGGCTCCTCGGGCTGGGCGGGGCTTCGTCGGGAAAGCCGCCATTGGTGGCCGCTGACCCTGATGTCACCGGGTGGGCGTTTGCCCCGCCTTGGCCGGGAAATCACAAGGGCGCCTTGGTTCACGGCGGGCTCCCATTAGCGGCGCAGGCTGCCACTCGTCAACGAGGCTGAGGTGGAAATCCCGGCCTCCGTCGGCAATAGGAGCAATGTTCACTTGTGTCGAGCGCGATTGGTCAGTTCAACCTGCCTATCAGGCAATTCTGTGGGTGGGCGGCGATTGGCCGCCGTGTTCTCCCGTTCCGGAATCGAACAGCGCCCGATGACGCGACCAACCTCTCGTTTGGCACGAATGATGCTCTTCCATTGGCCGCATCATTCTGCCAATCCGACGGAAGGGAAGTCTCAGCCGCCTTTTATAAGACAGCGACGGCCTCGATGTCAGTACGGAGTTACGCGATTGGGCGGTGGCTTCTATCAATCACGAAGTGGGTGGGGCCTGCGAGGGGCTGCTGAGGAGAGTCCGGGCGGCTGCGAGTGAGCCGGGCGGAGCCGGCAGTGGAGGCCGCCGAGAGAAGCGGGTAAGAGGGAAGTTCCTACGACGGCGGGACGGGAAGCAGCTGCCCTCATGGCGACTGGGCCTCGCTTCCTTCAAAACGGGGGGGGGCTTTAGCCTCACGAAAAAGCTCTGGGTGAAAAGTTTGGGGGGGGGGGTCGAGAGGCGAATGTGCGGCGCATGCGCGAAGCCAGAAGACGGTTGGCTGCTGGGCGGCGGCGAAGGGGGAGGAAGCGCGCCTGATTGGGCGGCTCCGCGGGGAAGGGGGCGGAGGCGGAGGCCGAGGGGCTTTCGGAGCCCCTTGCGCATGTGCGGCCTCCATCCGTGGCTGGGGGGGCACAAACACGGAGCTGCCCGAGCCCCCCCCCCCGGTTGGCTGTAATCGCTTGTACTTTTAAATCACGGAGTTGGGGCGAGTTACAGCAACTTGAAGTGGGTCGGCGTGCAAGGCCTCGGTGCGCCTGTGCTCCTCTGGGTGGCAGGTGGGCACCATGTAGGACCGGAGGTCAAACCTATGCTAAAAGTCACAGGTGGTTCGTAGTCTTGATGGAAAAGTGGCGTGCATGTCTACTCAGAAGTAAGTCCTGTTAAATTCAAAAGCTTATACTCAAGTATTCCTTGCTGGATCGCTGCCCAAGTATAACCTCTTCAATGTACAGTACATTAATTGTCCTTCCACTTTGATGGAATGGTGCTTGTAATTGTCTTGCTTTAGTCTAAATACAAGAAGACTAACAGTCATCTACTTTATAGGATGTCATTATCAGCTGCTGCTTCCTCCAAAACTGATATTGGGTGTATTATTAACATATAGCTTTTTTAACCCATAAAAACACATTCCCCTTTATTTTTCGATGAGTAAATAATTTAAGGCAGAAGTTAGATACTGATACACAAGTTTTGGACATGAAGCTGTAAGACCCTAAGAGGTATCTTAGTTTTTGCTAGTTGGGAAATAATAAAAAATATTGAAATTTAGACCCACGTGGTAATGAAAAGATATTGCTATTTGATCTTAGAAGGTAGGCATAATTACACAGAATCAGAAGACATTCATATATTTAGAGAGATGATTCATAAGCACCCCTATAAGACAAACAAGAAGTGGTTCTACATGGAGTACATCATCATACTAATGCTGCAGACCTGGAAACACTCTGTTGGGAATGAACTCCATTGAACTTGGTGGGGCTTGGTTCTGTATAATCATGAAAACAGGTTGCAAAACTAGTTGTAGAGAAAGTCAGCTATCCTGAATGCAGTTCACATCTCACTTCATCTTCATAGATGATATCCTTGAAAATATTAGCACAAATCAGTATATTTGTCTTTAGCATAATCGGGGTCTGTAAGATCCATAGTTTCTGCTTCTTTATTCTTCATGTATGTCAGAGTTACTGCTCTCATGTGTGTTTGTTTCCTGATTGTGTGTGTGTTGTATTAACTTTATTTCACTTGAAATAAAAGATGGAGTCTTGAGACGTGCAAAGGCCTTGCCACCAGGTTACAGCAACAATATGTTTGGTAGGCTTGGGAGTTTGTTAAATAATCTAGACAAATACAGTAGCACTGCTGTCATTACCTTTAAACCTGGGTTCTGTGGCAATGTAATTAACTCTGTAACAATAATGCTAACCAGTTGCATAATATTGAAATATAAAATATTGCACAGGAATTCAGTTTTCTCTTTTTTGAGTGGGCAAATGAGGGGAAAAAATATTGGCAGAGGGGGATGCAGAATGGGAAAAAAAACTAATTTCCTCTTGTGTTTTTTCCTGGGCCCTCAGTCCAGTTATCCCCTCTTGCATTCAAGGGATGACACTGGAGTAAATTGAGCATCACCTCTCTCAACTTTAGCTCTTGACCATCATATGGGAATAATATTGAACAGTTTAATTTTTCGCCTTCTAGCATAGGAAGCACTAGCAAATTTGTCAAACATATTTATCATGCAAATTTTTCAGATTTGCAAACTTGTGTCCTTTATTAGAGGGCAGGTAGAGAGAAAGTTTCCCAGCACTGTAATAATGAAAACTTGGATTTCTCTATTGATTTCTATGGTCAGTTATCACTTGTACTTCTCTTGAGTCATGAGCTTTCATGTCAGAAATTTCAAGGGAATTTGGAGAAAGTGTTTTATTCCATGTCTGAGATGATTGTTCCTACTTTACTTTTCTTTTGTTGAATGCTTTATTGAAATTAAAAGACAAACAGAAATTCATCCAGAAATAACAATAGAAAATGCTACATCATATCACATTAAATTCTTATTACATCTATGACTTCCCGTCACTCCGTCATGCATCTACCACCTATTTCTTTGAGCTCACTTTCCGTTTTCCTTTATTGATTGTCATTAATGACTTATTCTTCTATAAGTTCCTATTATACCACAGAAGTCATTCAAGGCCTGCCATTGACGTCATATTATTACGATGTTCCTTAAAGTATATTTTGTACATGTCCCATTCTTTGATAAATGTTGTTTAGTATGTCCTCTCAATTTCCCTGTCATTTTTGCCAGCTCAGTGTATTCTAGCAGTTTGCTTTGCCACTCCAGTTTGGTTGGAATTGTGTCCACTTTCCAGTTTGAATTGATTGATATTCTTGCAGCTACCGTAGCGTACAATAATATTGTCCTTGGTTTTTTAGGTATGTCTGAACCTAGTATCCCCAAGAGGAAAGCTTCCGGCTTTTTTATAAAAGAGATCTTAAACATCTTTTTGAGCTTGTTATAGATTACCTCCTAAATTCCTTTATTTTCTTACAGTTCCACCACATATGTAGTCCCACATCTCCAACATTTACTTGAGGTATTTTTATACATTTTCGATAGTTTTGATGGCATTAAGTGCCAGCAGAATTGCATTTTCAGAAAATTTTCTTTCAATACATAATCTGCGGTGAACCTCATCTCTACCTCCATTTTACTGATTTTACTGATTTTTTTTACTGATTTTACCTCCTCCTCCTTGACTTCCTGGTCAAGGAGGAGTCTATACGTTTTAGAGAGGGTTTTTCCTTTGGAGTTAATCTGTTCTTTTTCCAGTCTGGAGGGCTCTGTCGCGAAGCCATTTCATTTTTCAAGTTTAAATATCTCATGGAGTTGGTGATATTGTAACCAATCTGACAGGTATACCCTAATTTCTTCAAAATCTTTTGGCTTAATCTGATTTTCTTCCTCTTTTAACAATACTTTGTATGTTGACCAATTCCCTTTCATCCTTTTCTTCTTTACTGCCAATGCTTCTATAGGAGATATCCATCATGGGGTTTTGGGTTCAAGCAGACCTTTGTATTTTGCCCAAACCATACATAGAGGCTTCCTTATAACATGATTTAAAAAGCTTTTGTGTACCTTGACCTTGTTGTAACCTAAGTAGGCATGCCAGCCATAGCGGTTGTCATACCCATCCAGATCTAAAAGGTGATTATTTTGTAGTATACACCATTTCCTGATCCAGAAGAGACAGGACACCTCGTAGTTGAGTTTCAAATCTGGCAGGGAAAATCCCCCTCCTTCTTTAAGATCAATTAATAGTTTATGTTTGATCCTGGGCTCCTACTTTTCTGTGGGGAGGGTATGTTCTATATTCTTGTGGCATTTAAAGAAACAAGTAGTTTATCGAATGAGAAGGCTGCATTGCAGTGGGAGCAGCAAGTTTGATTGTTGTCCAAATGTCATTGCTGTGGGGCAGCCTCGTTCTCTGAACTACAATTCCAGAAGTACTTTGGATGACTCAAAGATGCAAGTTTTTCTTTTCTGTCTCCCCCACTCCTTGCTTAAAGGTAAAGGGACCCCTGACCATAAGGTCCAGTCACGGACGACTCTGGGGTTGCGGCGCTCATCTCGCTTTATTGGCTGAGGGAGCCGGCGTACAGCTTCCGGGTCATGTGGCCAGCATGACTAAGCTGCTTCTGGCGAACCAGAGCAGCGCACGGAAATGCCGTTTACCTTCCCGCCGGAGTGGTACCTATTTATCTATTTGCACTTGGACGTGCTTTCGAACTGCTAGGTTGGCAGAAGCAGGAACCGAGCAACAGGAGCTCACCCCGTTGCGGGGATTCGAACCGCCGACCTTCTGATCGGCAGGTCTTAGGCTCTATGGTTTAACCCACAGCGCCACCCGCGTCCCTCTTAAATCACTCCTTGCTTAAATCAGAGTAAATTTGTTTCCCAACTTGCTGAGTCACTTGAGGATACTGGCCTTAATCATGTGTTAGATGAGAATAACTTGTTCCTTACAGTTTAGTTTCAGGACATCTTTTGAGCTAGATTTTCTATTCTGCTGATTGGAAGTTTGCATTAAGGAAAGGTTATTCAGAAGCTCTCTCTTCTTTATTTTCTACCAGAGAATCTTTGTTGTGAGATGTCTTCCCATTAAAGGGGATTCTAAACTACGGGAGATAGAAAGTCTGACATTCATAGCTGTAATGGAGAATACCCTTACAAGAAATCTCTCAAGACGATTAATCTAGAGTTTAATTTGGTTGGTTAATTCTTGCCTTAAAACCCGTTTAAGAAAGCAGACATTAAATCTTGGCCAAGCAGACTGAGCCCTTTTTCTTTTCTTTTTGAAGCGGAAAGTCTGCTTAGAACTACAGATATGGGTGTAACTTGTCTAGCTTTATATATCCTCTCAGTGTACATCCAAACTAATTAGTCACCAGGGTATTCTGTTCCTCCCATCAGAACCCCAAGTTCTGGCATAAAAGCATTCTGGCTTTTGAAAACAGCATGCAGGCTTCCAGCTAAGCTAGACTTGGCTATGAATCCCCAGTACCATGTTTCAGAACTGGGCAGTGGTTTTTTTTTCCTAGAGAAAAAGGCTTCTATTCTGGATCTTATGAGTCAAACTAGAAGAAGAGCCAACTAGCTCATTTGGTCCCATTTCATAAACAGCATCAGTAGGGCAGTTTTCAATACAGTGGTGCCTCGCAAGACGAAATTAATTCGTTCCGCGAATTTTTTTGTCTAGCGAATTTTTCATCTTGCGAAGCACGGTTTCCCATAGGAATGCATTGAAAATCAATTAATGCGTTCCTATGGTCAAAAAAAGTCCAAACAAAGCCAAATTTGGTACAACAAGAGTTTATTAAGTGATCTTTAAAGTCACACATACTGTAAAGAGCATTTCAAAATTCAAAACCAGATTTTTTTTAAAAAAAACAGCAGAGTTGCCCAATGGTCACAGAAAAACTTTAAAAATGCAGGAAAAAAACACACAAGCTTCCAGATTCTTGCAAACCCCTCCCCAACTGTTCCCCCAGCCACCTAGCACACAGAAATTCAAATCCAGAATTTTTTTAAAAACAGCAGCGTGCCCCACTGTTATCAAAAAAATCATACAAATGCAGGAAATAACACACAAGCTTCCAGATTCTTGCAAACCCCTCCCCAACACCGTCCTTGAATTCCAAACACCCCAACCCAAAATCCAAAACCCCCCAAAAAAGTTTTAAAAGCTTAACTTACCAAATGGCTGCAAAAGAAGTTTTGGAAAAGCTTCAAAAATCACCGAAGTCTTTAAAAACCTCAAAAAAGGCTACTATGTACACTGCGTTCTATGAGTTGCTCCTCGAAGTCAAGTCGCAACGGTATTAACGGTGTTAAGAAAAAGGAAACAAACTTGCAAGACGTTTTCGTCTTGCGAAGCAAGCCCATAGGGAAATTCGTCTTGCGAAGCAGCTCAAAAAATGGAAAACCCTTTCGTCTTGCGAGGCATTCGTCTTGCGGGGCACCACTGTATTGTATGTTAATAGTTGTAGCTTATAGTGAATCATTGTACTCTTAATGCAGTGAAAAAGGGAGCAGACATCTTTATCCTTTTAGAATATGTGTGGCCAACAAAATTTTACTCAAACTAAACCTGTTAAAATTAATGAACATGACTAAGTTAGGCCCATTAATTTCAGTGGGCCTACTCCGAGTAAAACTTGAATACCATCCTAGATCTTTTGACTAAAGGTTGACTGTGATTAGTATTTCAGCATCTATGCTTGGTGTCTAGATGTAAGTAGTAAAACTAAGCTCCCAAAAACAAATTTAGCCAGTTGCCATTGACTACTTCACGTTCCAAAACAAAGCAGTTCCTGTTTATTTTAGAAGGGCATCAAGTAAACTTCAAAATGATAAAGATCCTTCTACAGAGTGTGCATACGCACAGTCATGCGAGTCTCCTAAATTCAGCCTTGATCTCACTTTTGGAAAGGTTGTGCATCCATACTTTGTCTCTACACCAATGCACAGAGTATGGGAAATTGGAGCTTTTAGTACAGGGTGGCAAATATGACCTGGTAGGCATTACTGAAACCTGGTGGTATGAGACTCATGACTGAAATGTAGGAATTGAGGGGTATAACCTATTCAAAAGGAATAGACCAAACAGGAAGGGAGAAGGTGTAGCATTATATATAAAGGATGTGTTCACTTGTGAAGAAATCCATGACCTGGAGCATGAAAAGCAGATTGAGAGTAAAGGGCAGGCTTCCTTAACTTTGGCCCTCCAGATGTTTTTGGCCTACAGCTCCCATGATCTCTAGCTAGCAGGACCAGATTGAGAGTATAAGGCAGAGATAAAAGAATACCTGGACCAAAATACTTTCCCAAAAATTTCTAAAGAACAAAACAAAATTCTGAATGACCCTATCACAGTTTTGAAGTCCAACAGGCAATTAAGCATTCCAAATCAGGAAAAACACCGGGGCCTGATGGCCTCCCTGCAATTTATTATTAAAAAATTAGAAGAGGTATTGTTCGAACCCTTGAAAACAACAATGAACAACATCCTAGAATATGGTATAATGCCTGAATCATGGAAGGAAAGTTACATCACACTGATCCCAAAACAGGGAACAGACCAGCTATCAATAGCCAATTATAGGCCTATTTCGTTGTTGAACAACAACTATAAACTCTACACCTATATTTTAGCCGAAAGAATGTAAAAAATTCTCTAAACCGTAATACAGACCAGGCCGTAATAACAGACTGTAATAAAGACCAGGCTGACTTTTCCCCCAGTCGCCTAATTCAGAGTAACATCAGAAATATCATAAATGTGTAGGAATATCTGGAATCACAATTGATAAATCACCAGTCTTAATAGTGGTCTGTTGGCCCACGCCCCCACCTTCCTCACCTGTCCTCCAGTCCAGCAGGACCTGCTATGTGATCTGATGGTGAATTTGGGATGACCCAATGCAAAGATCCTGAGGATCTGTGTGGATCCGTGCTTTGTAACCACGTTTTAAGTGGGGAGGGAAGGAAAAACATAGAAGGGACAAGGAGCACCGAGAGGGGTGTGCGGAGAAGCAGCTGGCTAAGAATGCAGGAGAGGGGTTTTACCGGAGGGAGGAAAGGAAGGCAAAAGTTCCCCCCACGCACCCACCCAAGCCAGCCAGCTCTCTCTCTCCCCCACCTGCATGTTGCAGCACCGGAGCACGAGAGAAATTAGAAGGAAGGACGCTCTGCTTTCCCCTCTGCTTGCCTGGAGGGGAGGGGTTTTCTCTGCTCTTTGTTCCGTTTGAGCAAACACAGTAACAAACAGAAGCGGGTGGGCAGTAAGACCCTGAGGCAGAATGCAGGAAAGCAGCAGCTTCCTCTTTTCAAGGCTTCCCTTCTCCGGACGATTGATATTTGCCTGATTTTTGCCTTCACTCACGCCTGTCGGCTCCAGGGACCACACATTCGCTCAATAACATGCACAGACATTTCCCCTTACTTTTTAGGAGAAAAAATCTGCGTGTTATAGAGGGAAAAATACGGTACATTTCCCATAAATCCTTTGGCCTTTGGTTTTCCCACAGTGCAACAGTGCTTCAGCTTGACCAGAGTTTGTCTACTGAGATTTCCTAACTTCACTACATGGTCAATGCGGAGAAAGCATTTGATAATTTTTCTTGGAGATTCATGACAACTATGCTGCGGCATATGGAGATCGGAGACTCATTCTGTAATGGAATTCAGGCTATTTACACAAAACAGAAGGCAAAAAATTATAATAAATGGGAACATTAATGTGAAATTAATAAAAGGACAAGACAGGGCTGTCCGCTCTCTTCACATATTTATTTTAGTAATGGAGTCTTAAGTAAGAAAAATTAGAGATGAAAAGAATATTAAGGGTATAACACTGGGAAATAATATATATAAACTATGGGCATTTGCGGATGATATTAGCATCACAACCGAAAACCCAGAGTCTAGTGAAAACCTTGGAAATAATCAATAATTATGGGAAGGTAGTGGGATTCCAACTGAATATAAGTAAAACCAAACTTATGGCGAAAAACCTTTCCCAAGTAGAGAAAGAAGAATTTGAAAAGATAACAAATCGTAAAATTTGTCAAAAAAATAAAATACTTGGGAATATTTTTAACTACTAAAAGCATACGGTATATCTTTACGAAGACAATTAATTATGTCAAGGCATGGTCTGAAGTTAAAAGGAATGTGGAGATTTGGAGCAAATTATATCTATCTTTTGGGGGGCGTATCTCGGCTGTTAAACTAAATATTTTGCCAAAGATGCTTTTTCTGTTCCAATCCATTCCTGTTATAGGGAAAACAAGCTGCATTGAAAATTGGCAGAGGGAAATATCTAAATTTATCTGGTCAGGGCAATTTCAAAAAGCTGAAGGAGCTACTGGGTGAGATCCCATGGTCAGAAATACTCAAGGAGAAGGGAGTCCAAGAAGGATAGGAGTTTCTAAAGGGAGAAATATTGAACACCCAAATGCAGACAATACCAACAAGAAAGAAAAGTGGGAGGTATCTAAGGCATCTAAGCTGCATAAGGAATTTACAGATGAGCTGAGAGTTAAGAAGGGCATGTATAAGAAATGGAAGGAAGAGGAAATCAGAAAGGAGGAGTATACATGAGTAGCCAACAGTTGCAGGGGAAAAGTTAGGCTGGCTCAAGCTCAGAACGAGCTCGGGCTTGCAAGAGAAGTTAAAAATAATGTTAAAAAAAGGTTTCTTTGGCTATGTCTGAAATTGGAGGAAGAACAAGTAAGTGGAAGCTTCTCTGTGTGGAGAAGACTGAGAAATGCTATTAGGTGACAGAGAAGAAGGCAGAACTAACTACTCAACACCTACTTTGCCTCTGTCTTCACCCAGAAGGAAAGTGATGCCCAGCCTGATGATAACAGAATAAACGATGTAAGGAGGGAGCTGCAGCCCAAGATAGGAAGAGAGGTAGTAAGCGAACACCCAACTGCTTTAAATGAGTTCAAATCTCCAGGGCCTGATTAGCTGCATCCAAGGGTACTAAAGGAGCTTGCGGGTGTAATTTCAGAGCCTTGGTCTGTTGTCTTTGAGTATTCTTGGAGAACAGGTGATGTCACTACAGACTGGAGGCGGGCAAATGGTGTCCCCATCTTCAAAAAGGGGGAAAGAAGACATAGGTAACTACCAACCACTGGGTTTGACATCAATACCAGGGAAGGTCCTAGAACAAATAATTCAACAGTCGGTCTGTAAGCATTTAGAAAAGGATGCTGTGATTACTAAGACCCAGCATGGGTTTCTCAAAAATAAGTCATGCCAGACCAATATGATTTATTTTTATGGATGGAATTACAAACTTGGTGGATCAGGGAAATGCTGTGGACATAGTGCATATTGATTTCAGTAAGACTTTTGACAAAGGTCCCCCATAATATTCTCACGAGAAAGCTTGTAAAATGAGGTTTGAACGAGGTAACTGTTAGGTGAATTTGTAGCTGGTTGACTGAACCCAAAGAGTACTCATTAACAGTTCCTCATCATCCTGGAAAAAAGTGAAAAATGGGGTGCTGCAGGGTTCCGTCCTGGTCCTGTTGTTCTTTAGCATCTCTGTAAATGGCATGAATGAAGGAATTGGGGGGGATGCTCATCCAATTTGCAGATGAATGAAGGAATTGGGGGGGATGCTCATCCAATTTGCAGATGACACCAGACTGGGAGGGGTAGCTAATGTCGCAGAAGACAGAATCAAAATTCAAAATGACCTTGACTTCTGGTGCTTCCTGCCATAATGGAGGCAGCTCCCGCATTAGCAGAGATTGGTAGCAGATCGTAAACAAGGATGAATAAGGGTAATTGTCCTTGCAGGCCCCCCCCCCCCGATCAGGGGGGTGAGCACCACTCGCAGATCATCTGATACCTGGCTCTCGTCCCAACACGGAGACGGGAGGCGGGAGGACCTGAGTGCAAAGCAATTCGCTTATCGGTAACCCTCTGACACAGCCACTAAGGGCAGAGGCTTTTCTGTTTATTAGTAAGAAAGAAATTGGATTTAATTTGCAGGCGTGTACTGGATTAAAGGGACAAGATAATCTGCTGAATCAGCCACTGAGTCGCAATGTTTTGATCTGGAGAGATTTTCTTCATAGCTAAGTGTGGTGTGTTGGAGGAGGGGAGCCTTTACCCTTTCTTTATATACCATGTTTGCTGCTTTATTGATTCGGCAAACCTCCCCCTGAGAGTTAATGGAGTGAGAAAAAGCAAGAGGAAATCACTGATAACAAGATAATATTTATGGATTATTACAAAATATATGGAACTGTCTGAGAATATTGATAGGATTTAAAGCATCGAGTTTCCACTGAATCGCTTTTGAAGATCTACCATAGCTTTGGTGGGACACCAGATCGTTAGCCACTGAGTATTGGATGAGAAAGATAAGTGGAGAACTGCCCGGGGCTATGGTGGGACGTCAGACCTTTTGTTAGAAAGTCATGAAACCTGTGGGTGTTAAATAAAGGATCAAGATCAGAACTGTTGTAATTGGAATAATCAAGATTATGGAAGCAGAAAGAAATAAAAGCTTTGTACCCTGAAATCTAGCACACGGGAAGTCACCCAAAATAGTTTAATTTGGTATTTGAATAGTTGGCTATTTAATTGTATTGTAATTTTGTATTGTGATAATGTGGCTCTTTTGGATCATTGTAATTAAAAAAAATTATACAAAAAAAAAATCAAAATGACCTTAACAGATTGGAGAACTGGGCGCAAGCTAACAGAATGAATTTCAGTAGGGATAAATGTCAGTTTCTGCACCTAGGCAGGAAAAACCAGCTGCACAAATAATAGGATGGGTTGGGGGTTTCACCTGACTTACTAGCAGTACATGTGAAAAGGATCTAGGGGTCTTTGTGGGCCACTAGCTTATCATGATACAGCAGCAAAAAAAACTAACGCTGTTCTAAGTTGCATCAACAAAAGTATAGTGTCCAGATCAAGGGAAGTAATAGTCCCTCTATTCTGCCTTGGTCAGACAAACACCTGGAATACTGTGTCCAATTCTGGGCACCATAATTTAAGAAGAATGTTGACAAGCTGGAACGTGTGCAGAGGAGGGCAACCAAGATGATCAAGGGTCTGTAGACTAAAACTGATGAGGAACGGTTGAAGGAGCTGGGTGTGTTTTGCCTGGAAAAGGAGACTGAGAGGAGATATGATAGCCATCTTCAAATATTGTAAGGGCTATCACATGGAAGAGGGAGCATGCTTGTTGTCTCCTGTTTTTGTGGGTAGGACTTGAGGCAATGGCTTCAAGTTACAAGAAAGCAGATTCTGACTAAACATTTGGGAAAACTTTCTGACAGTAAGAGCTGTTTGTCAGTGGAACAGACTCCCAAGAGAGGTGGGGGACTCTCCTTCCTTGGAGGGCTTTAAACAGAGATTGGATGGCCATGTGTCATGGATGCTCTAGCTGAGATTTGTGCATTACAGGAGGTTGGACTAGATGACCCTTGAAGTCCCTTCCAACTCCTAAGATTCTATGATCCTAATATTGATGCATCAAATGGTACTCTCCAGTCTGTTTTGGAAGTGCATTTGTTGTTCTCCCAGGCTGCAGATTCCATTTGTATTCTGTTACTTAGTGGTTTTGTTCTCATCCTACATAAAAACCAGGAAGATCCAATACCCAAGAAGTCTTTTCGAAGCAAGCAGGGAGGACAGGGCTCAGGTGGCACTGAGGTCGAAAAAGAAAGAAGTTCTCACAGACTGGCTCAGGCACAAAGGAAATGACCAGAATGTGACTTGTGAATGGAGAGTTTCGAACACTGGTGATCTCTGATCCCCCTGATATTGTTCCTCAAAATTCACTTGGAAGTTTTGTAGGCCTGATCCATCTGCATTGTAGGGATCAACAAATGAAGGCTTCATGAGCCCAAATATGGTTCCTGTGCGGAGTACCAGTTGGCCCTTCCAGCTGCCAACCCAGAGGCAAGAAAGATTTGTTGGTGGCATGGAGTCTCTGCTTGAGGGGCTTTCTAATGTATTGGGTCATGAGTGAAGGTAATGCCCATCATATATGTATATATATATATATATATATATATATATATATATAATCATTTTTATTAGTTTTCCAATAAGAACATCCAATTAAATCCATCAAATCATAATCCAATTAAAAATAATAAAATAAAAACAGCCAAATTACAATCCAACTTATTAATTATTAATTTTTTGGGCTTCCCATACTCTGGACCTCTAAAGTATATCTCCAGTATTTTCATTTCTGCCTTCTTCCTGTTCTCATATTTTCCACATTCCGATCTTAACACTTTAAAGTTCCCTGTCCCTGGCTGTGCGATAGTCATGTCAGAGATCATATATTCTTTCATCCGTCGGGTACAGTTTTATTTGTGTATATATATTTTTTCAACTGTCAATTTGCCAGCGCAGCTTTTCCTGACTTCATTCCAATCTTCCAATCCAGGCTGTTGTCCAAGCCTGTCGTTTGTAGTTTAATGACGCAGTAACTCCCAAGTTGTTAAATTGTTACTGTTCACAATAAATTCCCAATGTTAAGTTGTTAAGCATACTGTTTGCAATATTGAAATGTAAATGAACTGTATTCCACAGATGTAGGTCATTTGGCGATCGATCAGCTTTCCTGGAGACCACCCCCCCCCCCGGGCCCTAGAAGGGGGGTTGCTAGACATCAACTTAGCCTTCTCTCTCGCTCATAATGAAGAAATTCTGCAAACAGATGCACTGTACGTTGTCCCAAATTGTTATCTCAAGTCATTATAAAGTAAGCTAGCAAGTATTTCCCACTTCCCTCGAAAAAAGGGAGGAATTCTCATTTTTCCGTGCTGCGTCATACTAACAAGCGCCATCTTGTTTCTTTTTTTATCTTTATCAAGTTTAAGTAAAGCTGTGCAGCTGAATACTTAAATTATAAATAGAAGTCCATCTGTACTCCATTTTTTTTAAAAAAATAGGTTTCTTAATGAGGCTTGGCATAGAAAAACAATTGTAGGTATAGAGAAGAAAAAAGAACATACCAAGCACCTCCGTAAATCCAAACACCATGATGAGAATCTATTGGAAGTCTGAGCTTAAACACCAGGGACTGTGCAATTCTGCAGATTTTTTCTCAATCTTCTTCGGTCCAGACTATGTCTGTTTATTGTCCAAACCCAATTATTTTATGAAACAGATATTTCCGGCTTATGAGAGTGACTTTGGAGAGTGCCAGCCGTGCCGTGCTCTGGGACCCAGTGTCCTTGCCGCTTGCACCTTGGTGCCAGCTGACAAAACTTGGACGATCTGCGGGTCTACGAGACAGTCCTCCCCCACCCTAGGGAGTCTGCCAGGGCTAATTACCCCCATATCAACCCGAATTACCGGCATGGCTGAGGTCTGATTGTGTGGGAGTCAGGAAGCCCTCGCCCATCCCCAGTTGCTAAGAGGGTGCTGCTTTTCTTCCTTCAGGAGAGATGGCTGCCATACGCAAGAAACTTGTCATTGTAGGAGATGGAGCATGTGGAAAGACCTGCCTCCTTATTGTCTTCAGCAAGGACCAATTCCCAGAGGTCTACGTCCCCACCGTCTTTGAGAACTATGTGGCTGACATTGAGGTGGATGGAAAGCAGGTAATACTGATGTTGGGAGCCGGCCGGGCTGGGCAGATGCCTGGGCGCAATGACAGGGCCTGATATCTCCACCATCTGGCTGGCTGGTGTGTTTTTTTGCTACCATGCTATGGTGCAAGTCAGTTGGCTCACGCGGTAGCACTTCAGCAAAAGAGCAGCAGCTTCTGCAAGCCACCTGACTCACACAGCAGTGCAGCAGCAGAAGAGTCTGCGTATTTTGTAGAGCATTATGAACCATTCTACTTTTTCCATTTCTCTGAGGCCCAGCTGGGGTCCTGCTGCAAGCTCCTGTGCTGAGCCCAAATTGGAGGCCAGCTGCTTGCCCACTATATATATTTATATATTGTCTGGGGCATTTGGCCTCCTCCTCTGAGTTGGTCAGTGTAATGTGTGAAATAGCCCTCTTCCTCTCCCCACTCCCAAGAGCAGAGAGGAATTAATTTGAGAGAAATGAAGAATAGCTGCAGAAAGAACAGGTGGTTCTTTTGGAACTGCATTTCTTGGTGGTAACAGGGAGTAGAGTTTGGAGTATGCTTTTCTGATTGAATTACAACAATACCAGCATCTTTCCACTTTGGTTGTGATTCATTACAGAATCACATTCATTACAGACGCGGGTGGCGCTGTGGTGTAAGCCACTGAGCCTAGGGCTTGCCGATGGGAAGGTCGGTGGTTCAAATCCCCGCGGCGGGGTGAGTTCCTGTTGCTCGGTCTAAGCTCCTGACAACCTAGCAGTCCGAAAGCACGTCAAAGTGCAAGTAGATAAATAGGTACCACTCCGATGGGAAGGTAAACGGCGTTTCCGTGCGCTGCTCCAGTTTTGCCAGAAGCAGCTTAGTCATGCTGGCCACATGACCCAGAAAAACTGTCTGCGGACAAACGTCAGCTCCCTCGGCCAGTAAAGTGAGATGAGCGCCACAACCCCAGAGTCGTTCGTGACTGGACTTAACTGTCAGGGGTCCTTTACCTTTACCTTTAAGGATCTAATAGGGAAGACACTAGCACATCACAGAATATGCTTTCGTTTAATGGAGTGATGACAGCACTTTGAGGACTTGCCCCCATTAAGTTATCATATTTGCATTTCTACAGGTAGAACTTGCCCTTTGGGATACAGCTGGCCAAGAGGACTATGACCGCCTGAGACCCCTCTCCTACCCAGATACAGACGTCATCCTCATGTGTTTCTCCATTGACAGCCCTGATAGTTTAGGTGAGTCTCCCCTGAGTATGTGGGAGGGCTGACTGAATAAGAAGCAGCAGAGACTTCTGTAGATCTCTGGCTCTGGTCTCTTCCCAGATGTCAGATTGCTGATGGGAGCAGTTAAACTGTCATAGTAGTTGATTAGCTGGTCATATGCTGTGTATTACATCACACCACGGCTGGCGTTCAGTGTTCTGCCGCTTGTCCCTCCCCATTTCCGTCTTTCCCCCCATTGCCTTCCCCCCCCCCATGTACACATGTCCCAGCTTTAACATTGGCTGCACCACATCCATTTTCTGAGCTTGCTACTCCTGTACCCACAGTGGTGGAAGTCCTTTAAATTTCATCCTGGTGGTGTCTGAAGGAACTCAAGACAGTTTCCCAAATCTTTGCTTTGGGGCACAAGTGGCTGACCACGGTCTTCCTAGGTTTATGCTTATGGTTTTACTTTGTGCCCCTACAGAGAACATCCCTGAGAAGTGGACTCCGGAGGTGAAGCACTTCTGCCCCAATGTGCCTATCATCCTGGTGGGGAACAAGAAGGACCTACGTAATGATGAGCATACACGCCGGGAGCTAGCCAAGATGAAGCAGGTGCAGAGGCAACTGACATTCTTTGCTGGGATTTAGTATTGCCATCAGAATAGGAGGAGGGTACAAACAGCTATGCATATGGCCATTTGGGGCTTGAAAGGAATCTATGTCCTTTCCATTTACATCTGAGTAGAAACACAAGCCCATCCAGAGAGGTATATTGTGGCCTTCTTCTCATTTTTGAAGGGGGCTTGGCGAAGCTCAAAGCTACTGGTTTCCATGGGGTTCTCAGTACCTTTTCACAACACACTCTATTTGGACTGAAGACAGCACTTGGCTTGCATGATACCATAAAATAACCTCCAACTTCACAACCCTAGCAAGGGCTGGGTACCAGTTTTCAGCAAAGGATATAGTCCCAGGGAGTTAGTATTGTGTGGTTATAGGAGCCAGGAGTTCTGATAGCTAGGCTCTAGCTTTGATTGCTAGATTCTACCTCATTTCCCTTACCAGGATAGATCCGAGGCAACCTCACTGTCTGTTTCGCCCTTCCCTTTCAGGAACCAGTGAAGCCAGAGGAGGGACGTGACATGGCAAACAGGATTAGTGCTTTTGGCTACCTGGAATGTTCTGCAAAGACAAAGGATGGAGTACGGGAAGTGTTTGAGATGGCCACCCGGGCTGCCCTGCAGGCCAAACGTGGGCGCAAGAAGACCTCATGCCAGCTGCTGTAATTCCTTCCCAGCCTGCCTTCCCTGCCAGCCAGCCAAGCCTTTGAGCTCTTAGCTTCCAGGCTTGCCTCTCTTGTGATACCATGGACTGGCAGGTCTCCTCAGAGAGGGGGCTTGCTAGAGCTGGGCAGGGGCTCTTCTGGAGCATGACAACTAACTTTGGAGGTGGGGTGGTATTTCCCCCTTCTGTCACAGGCTTCTGACTCCCTCATAACAGGTCAGAAAATTCTGGCCCTCGGTGGGTCAGTGGGAGAGCTCCTTATCTTTCCGCGTGCTTGCTCACAGCAGTCTTGATTCTCGTTGGCAGCCTAAGGCACTACACTGCTCCAGGCCGTTTCTTTGTAGAAGACTTTTTGCCAAAGTGTGAAAGCCCTTTGCTTCAATAAAGGTCAGAGCCTTGAATTGGAACATCTGGCCCTGCCTAGTAAGGGACTCTTGACATGTCAACAAGTCATTCATTGTGAGTGGAGCCAGTGCTCCTGCACAGTGGGCAAGCAGTTACCCTTATCTTGGCAGACTCATTGATCCCTTAGCTGGCTTTTCTGCTCTTTAGGCTAGAGCAGAACCACTTTGGTACTTGTCCCCTTCCTCAAGGCGAACATAGCCCAGTTCAAAAGCCACCCACTTTGTTTCTTGAGGGCTCTCTCAGTAAAGTGACATCAGGTCCTCCACCTTCTCTCTCTCCCACCCCAGAACAGAATTGTCTCCACTTAAATATTTAGCTCCCGACAGCAGAGCAGACAGCTGCCTTTCCTTCAAACTGGCCCAAGAGACTGGGCCTTGCAGCCTGGCCCCTTTCTAGCAAAAATCTATATTTGTAAGCAGAGGTGCTATGAGCCAGTTTGTTGCTGTTTGGAAGCTCTCTGGATAGCTGGTAGCTGGAGTAGCCACTGCCACAGCTTCAAGTGCAAAGGACCTCCTCTGTTGCTTCTGTCTCGCTGCTCCCCCGACGCTCCTGCTTCTCTTCCCTTCCACCTTCTTTGTACTCACTGCATTGCCACCGGGGTGTATGATTTTGTGTTTAATTTGTATTCACATGTTTAAAAAGTGGTTGTTACTTTTCAAAATGTACTTGAAAGAAAAATCTGTAATAAATTTGTAGCAATGTTTAGTACATGGTGGGGCTTTGCTTTTTGTCTCTTAAAATCTGCTGTGGAAAGGGAACCAGTAAAAAGGTGAGCATTGATTTTTCTTACAGCAGCTGTACAGCACTGTCCCACCAAACTGCTGATCCCATGAAGTGCTTTGGTTGGAGTAAATTGTGATGGCTGGTAAAAGTAATCATACACCTTCATGAGGAAATAAGTCTTACCTAGAAACAAAAAATGTTTTAAGCAAGAACCAGGATGGTGGTAGAAGCAGTCCAATAGACTGGGGGCTAATCAAAGCATAGAGAGCTTGGCTTCAGGTAGGCCTGCTGCCCCTTTGGATTCCTGAAGCTCTAGAAAGTGTAGGGTGCTCTATGGAGAAAATGTGGTGGAAAGAACACTTTCCAAACAGTTCTGTTAGAAACCACTTTGCAAAACTACTGGAGACATTCTCATAGTTGATTATTTGCTGATTTGTACACACAATAGCAACACGGGCCTTCTCACTTTCAGCCTTTCTCAACCTGTGGATCCCCAGATGTTGTTGAACTACAACTTCCATTATCCCTAGCTAGGAAGGCCAGAGCTCAGGGATGATGGGAGTTTTAGTCCAACATCATCTGGGGACCCACAGGTTGAGAACCACTGGTAGGTGAACATTATACAGTACTCTGCCTGCCTTGTCCTTGTGCCTACTCTTTGGAGTCCAAGATTGTGACTCTGCTGTCTTTTTCTCCTGGTTCTCCCCTTTTGTTAATGTGAAATCCGATTTCTCTTAGGCGCCTTAAATGGTGAACAGGCACTTAATTGACATTCTGATGAATTTTTTTAGCTACAGAAAACTACCAGCAGTGTTTCTTCTCCTTGTGGTGTCAATTCATGGTATCAGTATTGGATATATGTATCCATGATCTGCACTATTTAATACTACAATGCACCTGCAGCGTAAGTCTAGTGACCTTCAGTTACCTAAAGCCAGGCCTATTTAGGATAACTTCTGCTTAATGGCACAGCTGAGCAACCTCAACCCCCCCCCCTTCTTCTATGCCACTGGAGTTCATGCTTGTTTCATTATCTATTGTTTGTAGCTTCTAAAACATTTGGCCTACTTTCTTTGTAATTTTAGGACAAGTGGAAGGGACAGTATTTTATCAACATCTATTTTTACTTTTTTTCCCTTGTATGGTTTTAGGACAACCAGATTTTTCCTCTCAGCTGTTTGACAGCAAATGGTAGTCTTCTGACTTAAAAGTAATTCCTTTCTGAGTTGCCACACATTCTAATTCCCAGAACAGTAGCTGTATTGCTCTGTTCTAAATATATCCTCTATTCTTTTTTTAAAGTAACCTCCTCAAACTCAGTGTAGTGCTGAGGTTGATAGAGCCAGTCATGGTGAAAACTGAAGCAGGAGAGTCTCTAATTCCAGAGGCCCTTCTTGTAAGAGAGGTCACTCCTTGCCCTCTAGCTAAGCAGGTTTCCAGCCACTATGGAAGTTAACACCTGGAAAAACCAGGCTAATGTCTAAAAGGAGTTCAATAGCTTCTGAGCAATGCGGTGGAAAGAAACTTATGGTGCTTGCAATTTTCATTTTAATGCAAAATTTAAAGCTTCCCGTGTTTTGCTTCAGAGCCTAGGGTGGGTAGCAGGTCAGATCTTGCTTTATCTCCTTGAATGCAGTTAAGCTGCTTTGAATGCTCTAGCCCTTCTTTCAGAGGTAGGAAACAGAAGTTCCAATACAGAGGTCAGTGCAATAGTTTAGATAAGGTGCTTACTAATCAAATATTTGGCCTTTTAGTTTTTCCCACCCCCAAAAAGCAAATGTTCTGAAAATCTCTATTGTATATCTTTATTGCACAAGATGTACACCGCTGAAACAGCCAGCAACACAACATTTGCCATTTCAGTTGCTAAATGATGATCCTAGTCCAGTCTCTTCCTATTCCTTGGCTGGTCACGTATGGTCCCTCCTTATCACAACTGGTCCAGATGAGACATGCACTTGCCGACTGCGGGTAGAATCAATGCTTCGGCCTGGAAAGGGAGGGTGGAAAAGGCAGCATTACCACATTCATTTACATCCTCCTAAAGCAGAGGGACTCTGCAATCAGTATAATGTAGCTAATAAGCTATGCAGACTTGAAATCCACTTTCCATCTTTACTATTGCATAGGCCCCAAAATGCCATTATGTTATAGAAACCCAATGAACAAAAGCCATTTCCTGAAATGCTACAGGAAGTTGTAATAGTCCAGCTTGCACTGTGGTTCTCCTGGAGAACTGCGTGGTCCGCAGCATAGCCTCAGCCAGGCTGCTCTCCTAAGATAGATTTCCAGAGTCATAAACAGATGCTTTCATAAGTAGTGCCATTATGTCTTCATGAGTTTTAGACTTAATATCACAATATTAATATCATGCAAGCTAAACACATCATTTAGACTGCTCCTTAAAACACAACTATAATAGAAATTTCTATTATAGTTGTGTTTTAAGGAACAGTCTAAATGATGTGTTTAGCTTGCATGAACCTGTAGCCTTAAAAAGGCCTCTGAGGTATGGCAACAATAGACATCTCAGTACTGAGACTATCTGCTCATCAGTTTAAAACAAAAAACTGTGCATTATACCCATGTGCGCACATGACAAGACATCAATTGCTGAGTGCATTTCTTTTTGAGCTGACCTAAAACCCATCTGTTTCCCCAGAAAACCACACCCACCTTTCAAGATAACAGTGATGTCTGCTGATGGGGGTGGGGTTCAATTTTGCATTGGCTGTGCAGGCTAGTCCTCCTTTCAGGTGACTGACAGATGGGTTGGCCTGCAAAGCAGATCCTGCCAAGGACATGGCGTGCAGAGTAAGAAAGTTTCCCACCTGTGTTCTAGGGAAAGCCATGCTGGCCTCTGGCAGGGGATTAGAAGAGAGGTGAGGAATTTGCGATCCACTGTTAAGAATACAGTTCCCATTGGCCACGTTGCTTTGAGAGCCACAGATCTCCTGCTGCTGTATTTGAAGGTAGAGAGCTCTACAGAAGCCATTTACCTCACAAGACACCTACCAACTCTCTGCCTTCTGGGAATGCAGCGCCGGGCACAGGTGGTGTCCATGGCCAGCCAGCTGGAATCACAGATGACTGCACTGCAGTGGAAGTAGATCTGAGGACAGTAAAAGCAACATAACATACCAGGAGAACCAGGAAGCAAAACTCCCAACTGTCAGGATACCGACAACTACGTCCTCCCCTCCCTGCCCCCAGCACGTGTCTCCTTGTGCCAAAATACATACCAGCTCAGCTTTAATTTTATTGTTTTAAATCAATATGGTGCCCTTAACTTTAATTCCTATGGCAGCTTACAATAATAAAAAGTAATAGTTAAGACCGTTTGCATCCACAGAAACTATCAGAGCACAGCAACTGAGGCAGGCAAGTCTGTACTCTTATGGGACCACGTGGGGGGGGGGGAAAGAGTTCACTAGCAAGCATTATCCCATGGTCAAGAGCTTCCCTTACCTGCCCTTGAAGTGCCTGGTTGTCCACCATAAATGTAAACATTTTCACTTCAAACCGCTTCAGGTGTGTAGGGAATGGGACAGAGTCCTCAGTCACTCCATGGAATGTGGTTTGATGAGAGTCCTGTGTGTTCTCACAACTTGGAGTGGGGGAAACATGACAGAGAAGCTAAGAGATACAAACCTTGCTGCCACATCATTGTGGGCTAGCAGCCCCATGGCAATGAACACACCGGGGCAGCCTGAGTGCCACAAGAAAAGCTGGAGCCTGTGACCTGCTATTATGCACACTTGTGATGCTCAGCACAAGCCTAGTACCCCTGTCTCTGGCTTCTGAAATTTACTAAAACTCCCTTCCCCCTTTAAGAAATGTTTGTTTCAATATGGTCAGGTACTTAAGAGAATACAGCAGCAGGTAGTACTGATTCTCATGCTCCATTCTGCCTTGTGTTGTGTTTTCGTATTATTTCATTCAGTTCTTGGCATCACTCCTCCACCCAGAAGTGCTTTTCTATTTTTGCCCCAGATACCTAAGGGAATGATATAATTTTAAAATGCAGCCAAACCAGCCAACCACCTCACCCCTCAATTAACAGGCTGTGAAAACATCATCCTTGCTCTTAGAACTAGTAATGTATTATTCAGACTCTTACCTGTCCATCACTATGTTCCACTGCGGAAGACTCTTCCTGTCAGAAGATGCTGTAGCCCAGCAGTCCTCCAGATAAAGTTCTAGCTGTGGGTCCTCGCTGTGGAGAAGCTCAACCTGGAAGTGAAGCGGTTCTCTAAGGTAGCGAGTTACCGGGTGCTCCATGTCTTGGTAGAAGCTGCTGTAGGACTTATCTTGCCAGGGTGCCGCAGGGGGGGAGAAAAGCACATATCAGAACCTTAACAAACCCAGAGGAATTAGTTGCTTTTAACAAGCCAAGGCTGGCACGGAGCAGTCCAGGTCAGCCTTTGTCTCTCTCTTTTTTAAAAAATAATTTTTATTAAATTTTCCATTTTAACAATCCAATCAAATCACATCAAGTATTCCAAATTATACAAATACATATCATATAGTCCAAATATTCTGCCAAATTATAAATTTTTGTCGGGGCTTCCCATGCTTCAAGTTCAGCGGTGTTCCAATCATCTTATGTTTCTACTGCCTTGAGTTTCCAACCAGGTCAGCCTTTCTCAACCTTAAGCCCCCATATATTGTTGGGCTACAACTCCCATCATTCCTAGGCAGCATGGCCAGCAGTCAGGGGTGATGGAGTTGGGTCTCAAGGTTGAGAGCAGCTGGCCCAGGCTATTTCTCCCTAGTAGGTTCTGTTCTCCAGCACGAGAGCCAGGCTGGTGCAATGCAAGTGGCGCCTCTGCTTTCAGCTCTGGTACCAGGGCTGAGAGATCACAGAGAACTATGGCAAGACCTCATACCAGTGACAGAGAACAAGCTTTTTAATTGCCTCAATCTAGAGCAAATCAAATGGAAATCTGCCCAAACAGATCCTCCACCATCACACAAAAAGCTGCTCCCAAGGATCAAGGTGGGAGAATTCTGCCAAAAGCACTTTCCCATTCATCCTATTAACCATTAAAGATTTTTAGGTCTCATTTACAAAAGTTCCTTATACCATTTTTTCCAGGTCCTTCAATTTATACATACAGCAATGTACAATACAGCAAAAGACTGCGAAAAATTATTGGTAAAGCCAGCACAATAGATACTAGAAATCGAAACCGAGGCATTTGTTTTAACATCTTATCCTTTCAAGTTAAATAATAAATGAACACTTAACACAGTATAGATCATCTCTGATGGATAATATGGGATAACAAATGCCGCAGGTTAATATACCAAGATTATTCCACACCAAATGCTCCATTATTTATTTTACACATCCAGGGATTTGTGTGTGTGTGTGTGTGTGTGTGTGTGTGTGTGTGTGTATAGTACAATTATTAATGCCCCATATTGACTTTGTTTTATGTGCAAACCAACAGTAAGCTTTTCAAAAGTTCATATTAGTCCTTGAACCCTTTTTAAAACAAGCAAACAATACCGGAAACTACATGGCATATTTAAAATGTTCATCTCTTAAAATATCAAAATCAAAGAGTTATTTGACTAGATATGGCTTTTCATCTAGAGGAACAGGAACATTTTTTTTTTCTCTCCTAAATGTTGGGTTATTGGGGGGAGATGCATCTTGACGACTTTGCTCGTCTAGTTCACATAAGCTGCTTTCCATCCTCCAAACCCTGGCTATGGTTTTCAGACTATTTAGAGACCATAGAACAATTCTGTATAGCATGTTTTAAATGTTGGAACTCCTGATGAGCTTGGAAAAGTGATTTTGAGCAAAAAGAATCCTTTTCTGCAATACATCTCTGTGTATTGCATCTCTGCTAGGTGGTCTGGGAAAGTCTGGTGCTCACTACCAAACCACTTGCTGTGAGGAATCCCAACTAGGCCACTGATAACCCCACCCCCACCCACCCAAAACAGCCAAGAGATGTTCCTGGCTGCTCCTAAAACACCCCTCCACATGCTTTTGGGGTGATGGAAGAAAATGCAGCAGAACTCTTCAGCCCACAATGCATAAACTAGGTATTCAACACTCAAAGACTGTAGGCTGGATTAAATCTCCCTACCTTGGGGGGGGGGGGGAGACTTAATGTGAATACTTACTGCAATTGCATTTGACTAGCAACATCTTAAGAAGTATTCTCCCTCAACACACAGGAGTACCATCAATACAATATTTGTATTATCATGTAGATCTGTCCCTACAAATCTTTGACTGCATCTCCTATCACCCACAGCCACTGGCCATAATGCCTGAGGCTGATGCGAGCTGCGGTCCAACAATGTCTAAAAGGGCCACAGGTTCCCCATCCCTGATGTCAGATGAAAAAATGTTCCTCATAGATGTTTTATCTATTCCTGTCTGCTGTTTTGAGATAAAATTCACAAATTTTTAGATAAAGTTTGGTTGCAGCCTTAACCTGCAAGGCTCCCACAGAAGGCTGTACTGTGACATTACCTCTGGCCAGCTTAAGGGCAAGCACCAGCACCCCCAGCCCAGGCATGATACTTGGCGATGGGGCTTCTATTGGGCTGTACTGGAGCAACAGGGTATCACCAATAAAGTACCGGCAAGCACATTTCAACCTTGAAAAATACAAGTGAGAGAATAGTCCATTCGTTACCCTTCCAGTCCAGAACAGTTCTGAGGGCATAGCCCTGCTTTGAGGGGTGGAGGGGGAGAAAGGAAGCTGCAGCAGAAACTGGCACAAGAGTTCTAGCTGGTTATGTTTAAAGGCAGGATGCATCTCCTTCTAGGACAAGCTTGCACATGGGGGCCATGTCACCAAGTGACCCTTGTATTACAGTGCGGTAAACAGCTTCCTTCCCCAGTCCTTCGCCCAAGCCACGAGTACTCACTGATAGATAGGTGCTGCTTGGCCTGTGAGAAAATAGAGGACTTCGTTTTCATAGGACATGGTGGCATCTTCAAACTGCAGATGAGATTAGACGATAAAACAGGAGGCGGTTTCAACCATCTTCTAGAGCAGAGGCTGGGCAACCTGGGGTCCTCTAGATGCAGTTGGGCTACAACTCCCAATATCCCCTTCCCACCATGGGCCATGCTGGCTCCTGGGTATTTGGAATCTGGCAACATCCGGAGAACCACAGCTTACCCCACCCCAGTCTTAATGTTCCTTCCCCAAGGAGCTCAGCGTAGCACTTGTTGTGCATGTACATTGTCCCTCCATCTTCCCAACAACCCTGAGAGGTAGGGAGCCTCAAGTACCAGACTAAAAGACTTTGTGCCAAGCTTCACAGTCATCTCCAGTAGCTAAGGAAGAGGCAGGCTGCTTCAACCCAAGACAATCCAAATCAAAAGCGAGCATGGTTTTTTGACCTTGACATGAACTGATGGAGCAAACATTCAGGAACCATCTTCTTCTAACATGAGTGGCCTCATGGACTCTGCTCCTGACAAAGCAGCCATTTCTTACCTTGCGAGTTGTCCCACAAGAGGTCACGTTGAAGATGAACGTTGCTCCTTCCTCTGTCACCGAAAATGGCCTGCAGCGTCTGTCTCTCAGCACTAGGCCAGAAGGCACCAGATCTGGGGTGCCAACTAGCTTCAAGGCAGAGATCCTCACTGTGCCATTAGCCAGGCAATCTGCAAGGGAAATATATTATATATGCCAGAGCATAACAGACAAGCAGTGGCAGACTTTGGGGTCTCAAATTTCAACAGCACCCTGAGAGACACCCAAATTCCACACACCCTGGCCACAACAGCAGCAAGAATACTCATTGCAAAGTATTGGAAGACACAAGATCTACCCACTCTGGAAGAATGGCAGATGAAGCTGATGGACTATATGGAACTGGCAGAAATGACTGGCAGAATCTGAGACCAGGGAGAAGAGTCGGTGGAAGAAGATTGGAAGAAATTCAAAGACTATCTACAGAATTATTGTAAAATTAATGAATGTTAGAATGATGTTGGATAGAAATTAAGTGGTTTCCAGCTGTAATGCTTTAAGGGATTATGAAAAATGGGTTGTTAATAGGTAAAAATTTAACGTTACTATTTTAAGACTAAAGATTAGGATAAATAAAGAGGGTAAGGATTTGCTGAACCAACAAATTGAACTGGAATACAAAAAAGGGAGGTATGAGGAGGTCCGGGAAACAAGCTAAAGGAAAACAAGTAATGGAAAATCTGTGTGTTTTTAATTATTTTTATTTTGTATTTTTGTTATTTTTTTCATTTTTATTGTAATATTTAAAAAAAGCTTAATAAATATCTTATTAAAAAAAACAAAACAAATTCCACACACCCTGCCTCTCACCTTCCATTCTACATCATAGTTGTGGCACCCCCAAGGCTCCACATGCAGTGCAACCCAACTGGTTGTGCTCCCTTATATCTGCCTCCGCAGACTAGTCAAGAAGCGGAAGCGACAAGAAGATGAGAGAAGGTGGATGAGAGAATTGCTGAATATAAGCAGAGTACCAAGCAGGAGACTTCAATACAGTGGTACCGCATGTTACGTCCCATCCCCCTTATGAATGCTGCGGGTTACGCGCTCCGCTAACCCAGAAGCAGATGCCCCTTGTTGCGACCTTTGCCCTGGGATGCAAGCGGAAATCGCACTCCGGCGGCACAGCAGCAGTGGAAGGCACCCTTAGGGAAAACATGCCTCATGGTACAAGTGGTTTCCTGTTACAAACGGACTTCCGGAACGGATTAAGTAACCAACCCAAGGTACCACTGTACCATCAAATGAAACCATTTTCTCTGCTAATGAAAATGAAGAACAAATAGCTGGTTCCCAAGATGGACATGATAGAAATTATGAACTGACATTAGGAAAAGCAAATAAAAATACAGAGTACAACACAACAGAAATGCACATTGCTATGCAGAGCATCAGATGCTCTCTCCTCTTTTGTTTCTTGCTCCACCCACCCCTGGCATGTGGTTCCCAGAAGGGAAGGTGGCCCCCACATGGGAAAGGGTCTCCTGCCCCTGGGCTCGAGAGAGAGATTACCAATGAGGTCTTTTGGAGAGAAGCTGCAGGAAACGGCAAAGTCTATCATTTCAGCGAGACGATAGTCCTTCAGCTGCAACCGGAAGGTGACCAAAATCCCAAAAGAATCTATTTCCTACAAAGCAAAGGGGACCAGACTAGTTGCACAAGTTAAGAGCCGGCTGCATTAGGAGGCTTAGACAACCTCACCACCACCCAAGGTGGACATTCTGCAGTCCTCAATTACCTGCTTGCACCCTTGGTTTCAGTCATCCTCCCTCTGGACAAAGCGGGAGGTAGCAGCATGAACGGCCCTTTTAGACCCATCTCTTGGATTAATGGAAGAGTATATCCAGCAGCCAATGGACAAGGTGGGCACCTGCCAAGGCCCAGGCCAGACTGTGGACATCTTTCACTGCCAAGGATGCTCCCCACAACACACAAATCCCATTTCAGACAAAGCACCAACAAAGATTCAAACTATCTCCTACACAGCTTCTAGTCATCAGCACTCACACATTAGTGTGCAGAAGACTGGAACATCAGCCTGTCTTCTGCCCCAGATTCTCAAGGTCACCTTAAGCCTTAGATGGATCTCTAGCAGAGGCAAAGAGGTTCCTCCTACAAAGCTCAAGGGCCTGGGTTCAGGGCTACTGAAAGCAAAGCAGGGCCCTTAAAAGGATTTTTTGTTGGAGGTGGAGAATAGGGGGTAAGTAATTCATTTTGCTGAAGCAAAGAGATTTGCCATTCTGGTCATGGTACCCAGTGCCAAACATGCTCAAGAGCAGAGAAGGGAAGAAGGCCTCTTGCGGTGCCGCTGCCGCCAAGGCCAGCTGCCTGTGGTCCTCTCTCATCATACCACTAGAATCATTTACACGCCAGCTGTTCATTCATGCACCAGGACTAAGAACTGGCACCTGAGGTTCCTCTAGCTCCATTCTTTCTTCCATGTACATCATGTCTTTTTAACAATAACCTGGAAAGAACCGTCTTACTACTGACTTTTGTAAGCTGCTCTGGGAGCATTTTCAGCTAGGGAGCAGGGTGGAAATGTGTTACATTTAAAAATACTTGTACAGTACAAGTGAGCTTGCCAGAGAACCATATTATTGGCAGGAGTGCCAGCTTGGCCCCATGACTGTGGGTGCCCAGGGCCTGGCACCAAAATTTGTGGGTGCCCGGGCACCCAGGGCGTTGGCACCTATGACTCTTGGGAAACAATTACCCCAAGGAAACCAATCACCGTACCCCTCACAGCTGCTTCTTGTTTCCCCGCTTCATAGCTGGGCAACCCAAGCTTCCACACCCACACCCACACCCCGTGTTCCCCTTACCTCATAGCGCACGTGGGCTGCCTGCCTGGGCACCCTTAAGGCCAAGTGGGTCCCATTGTCCAGCAAAGTATAACCGAGTGCCTGCGCCTTCTCCCGAGTCAAAAGATCGTCCCCCGCAAAGGGAAGCCAGTCCTGGTCCACGTTGCCTCGTTTCACCACTAGATAGAGGGCTTCGTCATCACAGAATCCCTCAGCCTGGGGCAGCACTGGGAGGGAGGCAGTAGGAAGAAGCAAGGCTTTCAGGAGCAGGAACCCTCGTCCATTCACATTCTACCTGCCCTTCCAATGCCACCGGCATGATTTAACAGTAGTACAACTTTCTAGGCAGCCGAGCAGCAGACAAGGACAATTCCTCCAAAAGGAATATTTGCATGAGGCTGGAAGCAAATGCTCTTCAGGGTAAGCCACCTGCCAAGGCTCAGGTATTGCACAGGTGCACGGAGGCACACCACTTCAGGTCGCATTGGGTCTAGGTAGGTGGGACACAGTGCCTGGCCACTCACCTGGAAAGGCCCTGCGCATGTTTGTTAACCCTTCACTAGCCACACCTCCACCCCATTCACACAGTTAAGGCTCTTTGTTGTGGAGCACCTACAAAGACAAGGTGCTCCCTGTGGATTCTCAAACAGAATGTGATCCACACACAATGACAAATCATATCTCTGTTCATTTAACATGCTTTTACCACCTAGCCCACTGAAGAGTACTTGAAGTAGAGCTACTGATTATGAAGTGAAAAGGGCCATCAATTCTCACCTTACCTAGAGCAAAAGAATCCCACAACCATTTGTCCCGCCCAACCTTCTCCTGGAAGTCCTCTCTAAGGGGCAATTTGTTTTATGCTTCTAGGCACAATTTCTAGAATAATTATTGCAGGCTAGAAACTAATCTCTATTTACTGAAAATTGCCACTCTAGTACTTAGCTATATTTCCAGGAGTCAACAGAATAGTGGCTGGCACCCATTGGGACTGGTAAGGCAGAAGAAACCAGAGCCAATGACCAGCAGAGCCAACTGATTCCAGCTTTACCCCCATCCTACTCCCTGCCGAGACTAAGGAGGACAAGCAGGCAGGCAGGCAGGCAGGCAGACAGGCAGGCAGGGCCTTCCCCTGCACCAATTGTTGGCAGGTGAGGGCTGGCTGAGGGAAAACTAAAGTGAGTGGGACAGTGTCCCCTCTGCCCTAGTGGACCAGCATCCCCTGCAACAGGAGGATGCCTCTTACGTTCAGCAGCTCACAGAATTCTGTAACACTGCAACTTTCTTCCAGGAGCTGCCCAGGATGGAGAACTGGAGTGCCCCACTTTCGTTTTGTCCTCCCCATAACACTTCAAGGTAGGCTAAATCACCCTCTACACCAAGCATCAACATTACAAAATAATACAAATAGTTATCTAAACCTTGGCATAACTTCTCCATTTAGCCACCACTGTTTTAATGATGCCAAGCTATTCAATATTCATAGTTAAATATTGGTGTTCTTTACAGACAAACCAGAAGTACCCTCCCTGACCCTGGTGAAATCCTAGACGCCACTTCAAATTGAATAATAGGTAATAGGTACATCTCCCCAATATTTAACCTTCAGCAACTAAAGTTAAGCTCACCATTTCCACTAACCGATTCTTGAATCCAAAATGGAAAGTGATAAGAATGTTGGTTCCAACCGACTCACCTGCATCCTGGACCAGGGCTGTCAGAGGAACAGGGACATCAAAGGTGTCTCCCTGAGGAATCACACTGAATCCCAATATGGGGTTTGTAGTGTAGCTTCTGATGTTATCTGGTACATACTGGGAAGATAATTTGAGCGGAGGTGAGCTCTGGTTATTCAGCATCATGACAAACCTTTGTTATTATATCACCATCATTTAGAGTGTAACAGCTCTCAAGGGAAGGAGGCTCTGTTGTGCTCATGAAAGCTAGGCATGATAGGCACCTACAAACCATGCATTGTGGCCTACTAGATTTCATACCCTTGCAGTGTTTTTAGTTTTAATATGCTCCAGAGAGAAGGTATCCATATATTCCATCCCATCAGCTATTACTGCAGGGACACATTTGGAGTGAGAGGCAACTTGGCAGTTCCAGAGGCATAAACAAGCACCATCCCTTACCAAGTCTCAATTCAGTTATAGGATACAGGGGGGAAGAGATGCAACCTCCTGGAAAGAATTAGACGAAAGAAGCTCCATGTTTCAAGTATATTCTTTTGAGTTAGACCTTTCCATGGATGTCATGCCAAAATTTGTTTTCCTAGCTCAGATGATTTAAGGATGGATAGTTGATGTATCTACAAGTGCTTAAGTGTTATTTAAATGTCAACTCTGAAGTTCCCCAGTCAACAGGACTACCAGCACTTCCACTCTCTATGCTTTGCCCCTTACAACTGCAATACACTCCCCTCCAAGAGCCCACAGACTAGGCTTGGTTGGTGGCAGCACTCACCTCCCTTCCAACTCCAGGGGCATCAAAGGGGACTTGTACCACATAGCCCCGACTTCCATTGGAATACTTAGCTTCATAGATCTTATAGCCCTTCTTCTCAGCCTCAGGTAGTGGCCAGGGCCCTGAAGCATCCACAGTAATACTGACCAGCACTACATCTGGCAGGAAGGTGCCAACTGTTGCATTGAAGAGCTGGAGACTGGCATTAGTATCTGTATGGAGAAGAGAAATAGTTTTTGTAAAACAAAACCTTTTTCTAGGCCAGTTCCCCATATCAATTTTGCTCATCAGGCTTACGAGTTAAATTTGCTCTCTAATGGATTTCCTCAGTTGTTCTGTCAACAAGCCCCCACAAGTATATGATGCTTCTCCTTTCTATAAATCCTTCAAGGTTGTAATTTTGCAGACATTTTCAGGACGTTAGTAAGCTAGACAATTTTCCTATTTAACAAAGCTCATCCTTCCCACAGAACATGTTTGCTTATTTTTTTATTCCTTCACCAATCCAATGTTCTTCCTTCAAAGACAAAGACCAAGGGTGGTCAACCTGTGGCTGTCCAGATGTGGTGGGTTGGCTACTCCTGGCATCCCTGACCACTGGCGGGCTGAGGGGAGTCCAGCAGCATCTGAAGGCACCAAATCAGCTAGCCTCCAACAAAGAAAATGGAATCCAATAATTGGACCATCTAGCCCTGTACTGACTGGCAGAGGCTCTCCAGGGTTTCATATACAAGTCATGTCCAGTCCTACCTGGAGATGCTAACATTTCAACCTGGGACCTTTGGCAATGTATGTGCTCTGCCCCTGAGCTACAGCTCTTCAGTGCAGGTGGGCAGGACCCATTTAGAAGGGGGGACTGAGGAAGCTGTCTTATACCAAGTAAGATCATTGGTCCATCAAGCTTAGTAATGTGTACACTGACTGGCATCAGCTCCTCAGGTTTTCAGACAGGATTCTCATCCAGCCCTACCCAGAAGCACCAGGGATTAAACCTGGAAACGTCTGCATTCAATGTAAAGGCTCTACCATGGAGCGACAAGCTCTTCCCTGAATTCAAGGATCAAGAATAGACACATAGACACAGACACACACACACACACACACAGACAGCAATAGTGAAGTGGTTCCTGTGCTCAAGACGAACATTGTAAGCCAGTGTACTCTTTGACCAAGAGTATGATGCCATCTCTAACTCTCCCACTGAAGAGTTAAGAACATCTAGGGGAATTCTGCAATTTGATCTTGCTAGAATAGAAGGCATCTACTAGCACACACAGTTGTCTGTGAAGCAGCCATCACCAATGTTTCAACAACTTTATAGAACTATTATTTACAATGAACACTCACAATCTGTAACTATGACCGGCACAAGTTGCAGAGGGGTGCTAATATCCTTCAGGATGGTATGTTTCGTAATCCCCCTCTTGTCATCTTCCCACAGATGCTCTACATAAGGGGCAATTTTGTAGGTAATCATTGGTTTCCCATCAATCACATAGGTCTGGAGCAAGAGATAAACAAGTAGACATCGTTAAAGGGACCTAATGTTAATACAAGCCATGTTGTGACAGGATGTGTGACAGACCTTGTCTCCCAGGTTCCCACCTTGTTGCTATTTCAATCCCAAAACATGGGCTCTGGACTTTAAGATTCGTTAAGGATTTCTAATACAGGTGTACACTTGACACATTTCATCTCCCTCATTTTGTAAGAAAGTGCCATTAAGACCATTTTGTACAGCAGGAATGAGCATATCTACATTGTTTTTTTCTATAACTCTTTTCTAGAGCTCTGCCAACCAAAGCCAAGTGCGAAACAGTGGGCTTGTTCACATGGCTGCTTATCCCATGCCAAGAAATCACAGCTCCAAGCAGTCCTCAGTTTGTCCCGCTGCTTTCCTGGGGGAAACCCGCTCTCTAGTGCTGAATTGCAGCAAACATCAATCTGTAGAAAACCTAACTGATATTTGCTCCGGCGGGTTTTCCTGGGTGAAAGCAGCGGAACAAGTGGAAGTGTAGATGAGCTCAGTGTCTGAGGATAGAGAAGGGCAACATTCTCTTTCTAGAATTCAGGAGTGGGGTGGCTCCAAGCACATGCTCCGTGCCAAGGAATATAAATGTGCATGTTACCCAATGGTGGACAAACACATGTGCACTGTTTGGGCATGTTAGGGGTTTTTTTATATGTGTGGTGCCATTTCACTGGGGGTCATCTGTGCACTATACTCCTTACTCCCATTTGGTTTCTGTCCCAAAGGAAAATATGTATTCTGTGTGGGTTTTTTTTTTGTTGTTTTTTTTTTTGAAATTTAAAAAATCAGCTTCTTTCTTCTTTTTTGCAGAGCTGCTCTAGCACAAACAGATGTATTAAAAATAATATTTTTATGGGACTTCCAGGGTGGCGCCATCGGTAATGGCTGCTTCTCTCTAATTCGGAGAGAACTGGCTCTACGGAATCTGGGTCCTGCCGCTACGGCGCAGTGGGGACCCCAAAAAAAATCACAGGCGGGTGAAGCCTGTGACCGTGGGACTCAGCGGGCACCGTTTGCGCCCCCCCAATTGCTAAAGGAGCTTGGCAACGGGCTCCGGAGCGGAGCGGGGGTGGCGTGATGCTGTGAGCAAATTGCTTCTTCCGTGGAGCGAAGCCGCGAAGCTGTTACCGGAGAGCGCTGCCTTTTTCCTGGGATAATCGGACTTTGAAAACAACTACCCGTGAGTAGGATCAAATTGGATCTAAAAGAAAAAAGTTAATTTGGCATGGAGCGGGGAAGGTACAACCAGGAAGTCTGCCTTCCTTGTATTGTAAATAGATCAAAGCAAAGAGACTCTAAAGCGGAAACACAGAAAGTTACTTGAAAAAGAGCTAAATCCTAACATCTTGAAAGTGGTTCCCCCTCCAGATTGCAGGAGAGGAGGGGGGGAAAAGACTGAGCTGAATTTCCCTGCAATAAAGAAGGGGAAAGGAAGGAAAAAATTACTGTTTAAGATTTGGAACGGACTGCCTTGAGATAAGGGTTGCATAGTGGAAAGTCTATTTCTGACAGCCAATTCTGCAAAAGGGATACAGTGTTTCTGGACTTCTTTTGGCTTGAAAGTAACTGTTTAAGTGCATTGAGACTGTGGTTTTTTAAAGTAAATTGGGGGACTTATAAAGACTATCTTTGTTTTTAAAAGTTGCAAGTTCTGGCTGTTACTGTGTCCCCCTAGAGGAAGTTGGACATTGTTACAACAACAGTTACAACAACAGTTGGTTTAGAGGAAAATTCCATTCTATTCCAAAACAACTGTCTGACTGTGGGAGCGACCTTGAATTTCTATGAGACTGTTATGGCAGATGATAAAGGGAAGTTAGAGAAGGCAGAACCGCAGGAAAAAACTACTAGGTCTGGCAGACATTATCGGATAGACACTGCGCTGCCGCGAAGGGGCTCAACATCTGGAGCATCTGGAGCATCAGGGGCCGCACTCCCACAGGCTAAACCAAAAGTTATGTCGTCGGAAGAAGTTTTGGCACAGGCACTGGCAAAAATTAATGAATCTCTGGAAAGTTTAAGTAAACAGGTAACTGAGACAAATAGACAAGTAGCTGAGACAAATAGACAAGTAGCTGAGACAAATAGACAAGTTGCGGAAGCATCAAGCAAAATTGATTTAAACACTGCAAGTATTAACACTTTGGGGCAGAAGGTGAATGCCAACACAGAGACCATCGAAAAACTACTACAGGAATCTGCCTCGATTCGAAAGACAGCAGAGGAAGCAAAAGATATTGCAACTGTTACTCAAGAGAAAATTCCACCAGTATATAAGAAATTGGAGGACCATGATGTGACATTTTCTATGATTGAATTGAAAGATAGACAAAGAAATTTAAGAATCAGGGCTGTTCCAGAACGGGAGAAAGATAACCTGGCTGACTTTCTTACACAGGAATTTACAGATTTTTGGCAACTGGACTCAGGGAAGGAAGAATTTAAGATAGTGAATTTAGGCTCGGAAGAAGACAAGGTAAGGACAAGGTGAGAGACTGTTTGATTACCTTTCGAACAAAAGAAGAGAGAGATAAAATTCTGAATCTGCACTATCAAAAAACCTTGGAAATTGACGATTCAAGTTTGGTGATCTTTAAGGACATCCCAAAGCATCTGTTGGACTTAAGGTCTAATTACGGAGACCTAGTGCCTTTGTTGAAAAGAAATAGAATTCTTTTCAGGTGGGAATTCCCTCAAGGCCTGTCCTTCAAATATAAAGGAAGAAAGATAAAGATAAAATCAGTTGAGGAAAAGGACAGGTTCTTGAAAGACCATGAGGAAGACCTACTGAAAGAAGGGGAATCTGAAGAAGAACCAAAAGGTATATTAGATATATCAAATCTATCCTTTGGACTGCACGGTCCAGAAAAAGTGATACTACCCACAGAACAAGAACTGACACTCGGAGCAGTTGGAGGTAAAGTGAAGTAGCCCCCATCATGGCTCTGCAACTATTAAGCTGGAATTGTAACGGTTTGAACTCTCCTCGGAGGAGAAAAAGTGTGTTTCATTTATTAAAAGAAGAACAATTGGACTTGATTTGTCTACAAGAAACACATATAACAAGGGCACATAGGAAGTTATTGATTAATAAAAGATTGGGACAGGAGTTTGTTTCATCTGACAAAGTTAAAAAAAGAGGAGTTGTGATTTATGTAAAGGAGAGATTTTCACCGAAACTTATCTTTAAAGATGACCAAGGAAGATTTGTGGCAGTTGAAATCCAGGTACAAGGAGAGAAATTTTTGATTGTGGGAATTTATGCACCGAATGAGGGGAAATCTGAATTCTATAAAAAGTTGCATGAGACTTTACTGGATTATTTGGATTACAATTTGATTTTGATGGGGGACATGAATGGAGTAGTATCTACAAACATGGACAAGGCACAAAGACAGGTAGTTACCAAGGATGGTAGATTACCGAAAACATTCTTTGAGATGACAGACAATATGGACTTAGTGGACATTTGGAGGGTAAAGAACCCCCTGGGAAGAGAGGGAACCTTCTTTTCTGAAGCCAAGATGACATGGACTAGAATTGACCAAATATGGATAACTAGAGGAATGGCACCAAAGATAAAGTAGAAATCTGCCCAAAAACCTGCTCCGACCACAACGCTGTAAGGATGGAGATGAAACAAATAACAACCGGATCCTTTAGATGGAGGATGAATGACACCTTATTTAGAGATGAAGAAGTCTATAAAAAGGCCCAAAAAACTTTGAGAGACTACTTTGAAATAAACATGAACACCAATGTAGAAAAAAGAGTAATCTGGGACGCAAGCAAAGCTGTCATGAGAGGGTTTTTGATACAACAGAATGCAATAAAGAAGAGAAGTCAAAATGAAAAGAAAGACAACATTTTGGAGAAAATAAAAGAAGGCGAGAAGAAATTGAGAGCAAAACCAAAGTCCCAGGAGATTTTGAGAGAAATAAAATTATATCAAGTACAATATATGGAAATGATGAATTAGGAAATAGAATGGAAAATCAAACAAATGAGACAAAAAACATTTGAATCAGCTAACAAATGTGGGAAATTGTTGGCCTGGCAAATGAAAAAAAGACAAAAATTAAATACCATTACAAATTTAGAAGTGGAAGGAAAGAGTATACATAACCCAATTGAGATCAGAAATTGCTTCCAGAGGTACTTTAAACAATTATACACACAAGGGCCACAGAAGGAAATGGACATAGACCAATTTTTGAAGACAAATGGCCTACAAAAAATCTCTCAAGAAAGTAAATTAATGCTGAACTATAAAATATCTGAACAGGAAGTGGAAGGTGCCATACAAAACATGCAACTGGGCAAATCTCCAGGACCGGATGGGCTGACTTCCAGATACTATAGATCTCTGAAAGAGTGGTTATTGCAACCTTTGAAGGAAGTCTGCAATGAAATATTGGAAGGGAAAAGGGTGCCAGAGTCGTGGAAAGAGGCGTATATTACACTTATACCGAAAACAGAGACTGAAAAGACCCAGCTTAAGAACTACTGCCCTATATCGTTACTTAATGTGGATTACAAAATTTTTGCAGACATTTTGGCCAAGAGAATTAAAAAATTATTGATGGAAGAGATTCATAAAGACCAATCGGGCTATCTCCGGGAAGACACTTGTCCGATAATTTGAGTAATATAATTGATATTTTGGAAAAACTAGAAGTGAACATAAATACTAAAGCAGTTTTGATATTTGTGGACGCGGAGAAAGCTTTTGACAATATCTCTTGGAGCTTTATGAAGAAGAACCTACAGGGGATGGGGGTAGGCCAAGGTTTTGAAAATGGTATAGGTGCAATATATTCTGAACAAAAGGCCAAATTAATTGTAAATAATGTGGTCACGGAAGAATTTAAGATAGAAAAAGGGACACGACAGGGGTGCCCAATTTCCCCATTGCTTTTTATATTGGTCCTGGAGGTTCTGCTAAACATGATTAGAAAGGACCGGTTGGTTAAAGGTATACAGGTCGGAGCTAAACAGTACAAATTGAGAGCATTTGCAGATGACTTAGTATTAACGTTACAGGAGCCAGAATCTAGCACTAAAAGAGTTTTAGAATTAATTCAAGAATTTGGTCAGGTGGCAGGCTTTAAATTGAACAAGCTAAAAACTAAGGTTTTAGAGAAAAATTTAACACCGATTGAAAGAGAGAGGTTTCAGAATGAGACAGGATTGACTGTGGTAAAGAAAGTGAAATACCTGGGGATTAATATGACAGCCAAAAATGGGAACTTATTTAAAGATAATTATGAAAAATGTTGGACTGAAGTGAAAAAAGATTTAGAAATCTGGTCAAATTTGAAACTTTCACTGCTGGGCCGTATTGGAAGACACAAGATTTACCCACTCTGGAAGAATGGCAGATGAAGGTGAAGGTGATGGACTACATGGAATTAGCAGAAATGACTGGCAGAATCCGAGACCAGGGAGAAGAGTCGGTGAAAGAAGACTGGAAGAAATTTAAAGACTATTTACAGAAATATTGTAAAATTAAGGAATTTTAGAAGGATGTTGGATAGAAATTAAGAGGTTTTTAGCTGTAATACTTTAAGAGATATGAAAAAAGGTTTGCAACTGGATAATTTTAATGGTAAGGATTTGCTGAACTAACAAATTGAACTGGAATACAAAAAAGGGAGGTATGAGGAGGTCCGGGGAAATAAGTATAGGGAAGATAGGTTATGGAAAATTAATGTTTTTTTAACTGTTTATTTGGTATGTTTCTTTTTATTATTTTTTTACTTTTTTTGGTTATATTTTTTTAAAAAAACTTTATTCTTTTTTCTTTTTGTATTCTGTATTTTTTGTATTTTTTGAAACTTTAATAAATATTATTTTAAAAAAAATAATAAAATAATATTTTTATGGAAAATTAAGTTAAAATTTAATGATTGTATATTACTAAAAGAATTATATGAAAATGATGTACAGATGGTATATAACACTGGTAAAAATGGCAAAAATATTTAGAACAAGCTCTAACAAGTGCTGAAAAAGCAAAGAAAAGGAAGGTACCTTTTTCATATGTGGTGGAATTGTAAAACAATTAAAAATTATTGGGATTTGATTTATAATGAAATGAAAAGAATGTCTGAGATAACATTAGTTAAAAAAACAGAAGCTTTTCTATTAGGTATTTTAGGTCAAGATTTACCAAAAGACAAGAAAAAATTATTAATGTATGTGACTACAGCGGCCAGAATTTTATTAGCTCAAAGATGGAAAAGTGATGAAATACTAACAAAAGAACAATGGCAAGAAAAATTGATGGAATATGCTGAAATGGTAAAGCTGACGGAGAGACTTAAAGATAAGGACAATAATTATTTCAAGAAAGATTAAGAATCTTTTATGATGTATATACAGAAACAATGCACTGAAATGGACTCACTTGCAGGATTTGATTAAGACACTTACAATTAATCAATATAAACAGAAAATATAAATATGAGGGTAAAATGTTAAGAAAATGTTAATAAGGTATAATTTCAATTTCAATATATAAGGTATATAAAATTATAGGCAGAAGAAATGAATATGTGATAAACCAGAAAGGGAAGTTGGGCGAAGTTGAGGGGGGAATAATAGAAAATATAAGATGTAATTTGTGTTTGTTTTTAGTATTGATTACTGTATTTTCTGGCATATAAGACTACTTTTTAACCCAGGAAAATCTTCTCAAAAGTCGGGGGTCGTCTTATACTCTGGCTACAGCAGCAGTTCCTGCAGCAACTCCCCACCAAAGGATAAAACGACAGCAAATTAAATCAGAGGACACCAAGCTCTCTAGATGAAGCAGAAATATGCTTGAAAATTGGCCCCAGAAGCTCCCGGCCACTGGGAAGTGGAGCGGATTTCCAAGCTGGACTGGAGACTGGTTTTTTTAATTTTTATTTGGTGTGCGTTGGAAGAGAGGTAGTCTTATACGGCGAGTATATCCCAAACTCTATATTTTAACTGGAAAAGTTGGGGGGGCCATCTTATATGCCCAGTCGTCTTATACGCCGGAAAATACGGTATGTGAAAATTTTGTTGGAAAATCTTAATAATAATAATAATAATAACAATATCAATAATATTTGCCCTTGCATGTACAGAAAAAAAGAAAGGAAGATCTTTCCCAACAAGACAAAGTAGGACCTTCTCTCTCTCAGAAATGAGAGCAAAATCCTTTTATTCAAGCACAGCGCTTGCATGGCCCCATTGATTCCACCCCAAAACTTTTAAGTCAATGATCAGAGGCACCCATGCTCCTCCCTGCCTGGTCATTCTTTGCCCTTGTGTGGCACAACACACACATCTCTCTTTTGACTTGCTCTTTTGTGCAAATCTGATAGACCAAAAAACTTGTATTTCAATTTTTTAAAATAAATAAAGTCATGCTTCAAATTTGGCTTTGATGGAAAATTGTTGCACAATTCCACTACGAAGGTGCATGCATACTGGTAAACAAATACCTGCTGTCATGGCCACAATGGACCCCAGGTTTCCTGACCTGCAGGGAGAGGGGTTGGAAGAACTAATTGTGGGAAAGGGGCAGCACAGAGTGTGAACTGAGCCCATCTAGGCATGAACAAGAAATATTGAGATTTTGGAGGCATAAAATGGAAAGCACTCATATGTTGACAATGGCACACACACACACAAAATGGCCCATATAGGCATCGACACCTTGTATGAATATGCCTTGTGAGACAACCCCCTGCTGAGCCATTACAAACAATCCAGAAACTACCAGTAGATCCCAATCCACCTTCTGCCCACCCCTCTTGTAGAGTACATAGTTTAGGAGTGAAGCAACGTATGGCCATCCATTTGCCTCCCTGCCACTTAACAAATTACTCCCCATTCAAAAACACTTTGTGCTAGACCATTGAATTATCTAAAGCATCCAGGAACAACATCCGTACCCACCTTGTAGTTACCACCCGGTGCACCAATGGGCATCTTTAGTACAATAGCATCCTTGTCACTAGCCAGTGAGTATCCCCAACTTCTGATGTCTTGTGTAGACAGTTTGTCCAGGTTGACCCCCATGTCCACTTTCAGCTCCTTGACAATGCCAGCTCCAACCAGGAGAGGAGGGATGCTCTTGGGAATAGTCCAGGTAATTGTTTCCTTCGAGTAGTACACACCATCTGGCAGAGGGGAGTGAGGCGGGAGAGAGGGAAGCTTAGGGAGTCTCCAGACGGTCACTCTTTTGTGGGAGAGACTGAAGCCCATTCCAGAAGTTTAGACTTCCCAGTTAGTGGCTTAAAGGGTTCTGTTGCCCCAGCACAACAAAACCACATTGAAAAAGAAACAGGCTCTTTGAGGGTCGGAAAGTGACAGAGAAAGGCACTGAAGTGTGGGATGAATGAATGAGCAACAGGAAGACATACTGCAAGCAAATTGGAATGAATGCAGGTTGGATGCTCATTGGCAAATAACTACCCAGCAAACAAATCAGAATGACAGAGACGGCATGTAATCTAACCTCCACATAAGCTTTTTGTGCAAGCAAACCAGGATGAATGTTAAGCAAACAGCTTGTCTGTGGATGGAGGAACATGCCAGTTTTGGCTCCTCTTGGGGCTGAATCCACTTACTTGCCTTTTGCCCTTTTGCTCTTTCTAAAGTCTGGCAGAGGTCCTTGCTTCAATGCTTCATGTCCAAGATCTCTCCCCCCCCCCCGCAAAAACCCACTATTTAAAGCTGAATTCAAGCAAATGTCAGTTCTGATTTTCTGCAGACTGACCATTTGCTCTGACTGAGCTTTATGATTGGGTTTTCACAGGGAAAGCTCCAGAACAAAAAAAGAAGGGGGGGGCACTCAGACACAGAACTTTGAATTACAGACTGTGCCTGGAAAGAGTGGAGGGAAGGTGTGAATAAGTCCTTTGTTTCTCATTTTTCTAACCTCATATTTAGTTCTCAACATTAGTTTGCAAAAGATAAAAAAGGGAAAGGCTAAGTCCACATGAAAATCGTTCAGCATTCACCTTGTTCTTGTACAATTGCAATGGCACCAACCTGAGTAGAGCTTCAACTGAGTTCCAGTGAGTTCTGGCAGTGAGTCCCCCCCCCCCAATTTTCACTAATATGAATGTTTATACACACTTTATCCCCAGTATAAGCAATGCTGTACACCTTACTTGTCTGAAGAACTGTACTGCAAAATTCAGAGAAGCAATTTTTTTAGTATAGCTGTGTTTGTTTTCATATTGTTTCAGAAGATGTGAAGAAGGTAGGTTCACCTTTCAATGCAACTGTTTTGAATTCCCATCAAGGAGGGAATCCAAAGCATGGAAACTCTTGTGGGCTTAAGGGGTCTACAGCTCAAAAGACAGACCCCCTTGTTTACATACCTATAGGGCAGGTCACTGCTGTGTCCACCATTAGGAGCATCCAGCGCTGCTTGTAGTAGGTGCTGGACCTCACAGAGGAGAAGGGAATCCCATTGACCTGAAAACAGAAGCAGCAGCTCTTTCTCTGTCATTTGCCATGTTTCAGTGCCTCACAGCTCAGTCCCTTTTCCCGTGAACTAGCAAGAGCAGAGTTATTTTCAATGGCATTGCAGAATTAGGCACATGCCATTCAAATTGCGCTTAGTTCTACTCCCACTTTTCTACTTCAGTTGCAGAAATATATCATCTAACACTCAGAGAGACTTCCTAGCCAAGGCATTCTGCTGACTACATGCCACCCACATTTCTCATTACTAAGGTGCACATTTTCCAAGCTCAAAAAGACACAGGTGTCCCTGGCCATGCCAGGGATGCTCCATGCTGAAGGGATCAAGGTAAATATATGTGCAAAATTTATCTTATGCAAGTTTTGTTTTTACTTTACAATTTTATAAGTTGCTTTACAGCTTGAGGCCATCAAAGCAGTGTAAAGACACACACACAAAAATACAACTCTTAATTCTACAAACCATTCAAGCTCTTGCTGTTTCCTTCTGACATGCACCTCCTTATTTGGGGGGGGGGGTTATGCACTTACCTCCACCTTCTGAGCCTCAGTGGCGTTGTAGGGAGCCCTGAGCACGATCCTCGTGTCTGTGGTGTTGACTCCATAGCCAGCAGCATGAGCTTCTTCCACCCGCATAGCCTTCCTCCTGGCATCCATGTGAAAGACGATTTGCCAGATGGAGGAGGCCCCTGCGACAGCCTATGGGGGAGGGAGGAGAGGGAAGAAATAATTTCAGAGTTTTAAAATAACCTCCCATAGGGAAGTCTGCTGCCCCCCAGTTCTTTCTCAGTTGTGGCAAAGGAGAGAGATACCTCCGGAAAGGCAGCAGCCCAGTCCTCAGGGGGACCTGCAGGTTGATCTTGAAGAAAGCCGTCTGGGATTGGTGGTACGTTCCTTCTTACAGAGACCTTGAGTGGGGAAAGGGGACATTGTAATTGGAAGAGACTTCGCAGCTACTCTCTGTACAGGATCTCCCACGTGCCTTATCCGTCTCTCTCTCTCTCTCTCTCTCTCTCTCTCTCTCACACACACACACACACACACACACTTACTTTGCAATTAGGATTTGCCAACTAAACATTTTTGCTTCTTCTGGCAACCGACATGAAATCAAGGAGCAAGGCTCCTGGCCTTTGAAGTGTATACCTCAAATTATTTTTGGCATCTCATATTTGTTTCTAACCTTTAAGCCTGCCACCCACCTCTCCCCATGTGCATCTGGAACACACAATTTTTCCTCCACATTCTACCCCCAGATCAACTTTCACACATGACATAAGCAGAGTCAGAGAGGTTCAAGAGCATTTTAGTGTACACCTGTAAATACAGGCTGTGTACACCCCATACATTCAAAGCACATGGTTTTCCCCAAAGAATCCTGGGAACTGTAGTTTACCCCTCACAGAGCTACAATTCCCATCACCTTAAAAAAAAAAAAGAACTACAGTGCCAAGGTTCATTGGGGGAATCTGTACACTGTGTCTGCAACCTCCTGCTCTGGGAAGTGAAAGTCTTCATGCTCAGAGACTTGGCTTCTTGAAAGGCGGCAGCAGATCTCAAGGTACGCCTCTCATGCATTTCAAAATGCTGCTTGGCTCCCTAATATAAAAATTTACCTCCATATAGTTTGCCTCACAGACTATTTCTCGAGGCTGCCACGGGCCATAGGAGCAGCTCACTGGAACGTTAAGCACCACCGTATGCTGCATCCCAGGGTCTGTCGCTGCCGTTATCTGGATGTTCAAAGTGAAGTGCTGGTCATCCTGAATGTGGGAAGAAGAGGACCAACAGTTAACCTGCATTAAAGGTTATGCTTGCAGTGGTGGAAGTGTTCCTCCCGCAGTATAGGATGAGCTGGATTAAATATGTAACAAACATTCCAGCTGCTCAGAGAACAAAGCTGCTAGAATGTCTGCAATCCAGTAATTATGCAAGAGGGAAAGTTGTCAGTTTGGCTGGAGAGAGAGGCCCTAGCCACAAGACAGTGTTTGGGGCAGGTCAAGGACTGGCATATGTTTCCAAGGGTGTTTAAAAGGAAAGCGGCTGAAGGAATTTATAGACACTGCATTAAGAAATGCCTACTAAAATGAACTTGACACAACATTTATTTGTGGATATTTTCAAATTTTAAGAGATTAAAAAGCACCTGCTTTCAGTTAGCTGTGCTTAGCTTCGTACACCTAGTGGAATAACTAGATGTCGAGGTGTTCCTGAGGACTAACCACAGGTGGTCTGAAACATAATACAACGACCCCCCTCCCTAGATGGCACCCTTGTTTGTATTCTTTGTATTCTCCTGGTTGTTTTAAATTGCTAGTCCTCAGGGAAGCTACAGGGCATTGCATGCAGATCCAACTTTAAGATGCTCCCAAGACCAGGAACAGTGACTGCCTTATGTCCCAACTCCGTCACCTTCTTCTAGCAGTCTCCATGCTTAAGCACATACTTCTGCCCATAACTTTCACTCTCATCAGGAAGACTTATGGGTTCCAGGCACTGCAGAATTCAAAGGCCATCACACAGGTTCAGCCGCTTTGGTCAGAGCAAGCAGATAGCACAGCTCTGGCGGGAGGTAGTCCTGCATGCTCTGGGCCATCTGAATGGTAAATTAAGGCCTCAGTGCTTCATAGTGCCTTGCCCTTTTGATCTGAAACGTCCCCAAGTCTCTCACAGACTGTCAGCATTGCCTAGGCTTCAATCCACTCTGCCTCAAGAGCCAATGGAGAATGCCCTAGTGCGGCCCATCCCAGTGGGCCTTCCTGTCAGCGTCAGTCAGCAGTATCAAGGAACTCCATTTGCAAAGGAACAATGGGGGAAATGGCTTTAAGGACCCAGCTGTTCCTTTTGGACTATGTCCACACATGACATCATAGATGACATCAGGCATGGGGGCAAGTGGGTGTGTTTTGTGGTGGAATCACCTCACAGGCCAAAATGGGACCCACGCCAGGCCTCATTATGTTGGCGGCTCCTCACCGCTGTGCAAAACAGTTTGTTTTGAGCATTAAGACAGCTTCCCACAAACAGTCCAGAAGCCTCTTCACAATCCCTGCAGCATACAGCTTAGCCCTATATCCCACCATCAGAGTATAACAGCCAAGCAGCGAGGCACGGAGCTCTATATTCCCCCAGACGTCTTGGGAAATTGTGTATCCACATTTTGCTGACTGGACCTCGTCTATAGGCCAGGGCCTGCCAAACTGGTCTGGAAGGACAAGAATGTAGATCATTAGATGAGGGAAAGGGAAATCGCTTCAGAATAGTTACCCACAACAGCATTGTGTGCATTAATATTTCATTCTTTAACATACCTCATTGAGACCCTGCTGCAAACGTCTGACTGTGGGACAAGAGGCACCTACAGCCTGTGGCACCAGATACTCGATTGTTGGCCAGATGGGCTTTGCATGCTAACAAGAGTCATCACGCAGCAGGAAACATAGTCTTGCAACCCTCAGTGATGACATCAGCCAATGCATCTCTGGAGAGGTTGTCTCAAGCCAGTGAAGCAAAGCAAACATCTGGCCACTGGCCAGAACCGGGTTAAGGCGCACATGCGGGACCCATGCACCCCCCTTCCAAAGGTGAAAGAAAGAATGTTACATGTAGAACAACGCCCAAGTCTTCTCTTCATCAAAAGAAGGAAAAGAAACTGAACTCACCAATGGCAGCAAAGCTGATGTACTTGTTTTGGAAATAGGCTGAACTCAATCGGAGTCGGGCAAGGCTGCCTAGACACTGCACGTTAACCTGATCTGAAGGGCAAGGAGATAACAAAAAATCAAAGTTGTTAGCAAACTGGGCACCGACCTTCTATCAGGCTCAAGTCAACATGGGAGCAAAACTCCTAAATGGTTCACAAGCCATGGTCCCAGTATCAGGTTGAGCCTCTTGGGGATGCTCAACACATCTATACAGGCTTGCTCCTCATTTCCCTTCCCTTGCCCTCCATCCTATGACTGCACCCTCTAAACAAGAATGAAGAGGAACAGCCAGAGGGGAGTTCAAAAGGTGGCAGCCCTAATTCCCTCCAGCGGCATCTAACAGTAGCCCACTTAATGAGAGCCAAATCTTGTTTTCATGTTGCTGTTCTTCAATAAGTCTTTCTTTACCTCCATCTGTTCACAGCTGTGTTTTATGCCCCAGGTTGACAATGACATTCCAAAGGGTTTCCAGAATGTCTACTCCAGAAGGACCAGCACAGACTCTTTCTCCAGGACAAAGAGCCAAGATAGGAAACTGATTTGCTCCTAGGGTTGACTTCTGTGTTGCCCGCCTTGTGAACTTCAGTTCTCCTTCTCCCTGGCCACATGAACTGGGTGGAAGATTGCCTAGTCTTTTTACACAGCAGCGCCAGGGCTCTCCCACCATATATAATGCACCCACTCAGTTTCCTCCTCTTGTGGGAAGACAGAAAGCAGGATCAGCACTAGATCCATTTTTGTGAAGTACAGTAATCCCTGACTACTGGTCTTGCTAGCTAAGATGGGAGCTGTAATCCAAAAACAGCTGGAGACCCAAGTTTGAGAAATGCTGGTCTCGCTATTTGAGGAGGGGGGCAAAAGGAGCCAGGCTGCAGGGGCTATTTATAGAATCATAGAATCATAGAGTTGGAAGAGACCACAAGGGCCATCGAGTCCAACCCCCTGCCAAGCAGGAAACACCATCAGAGCACTCCTGACATATGGTTGTCAAGCCATTTAGCGAATGGGCAGGGGAAGAAAAAGAAATGCAGCCAGTTAAGTAGGATGGGGGGGGGGAGGAGTGGAAACATTGTGGAAGTTCAGTTAAGAGTGCCACATAAAGAGGGAACAGATCAATTCTTAAGGACTTGCATCCTTTGCTTCTACAGCAATCGGTAGACTTATCTTCAACGCAAGTCTTCATTCTGGAGGTCCGTTCTTAACCTGAAACTGTTCTTAACCTGAAGCACCACTTTAGCTAATGGGGCCTCCTGCTGCCGCTGCGCCGCCGCCTCGCGATTTCTGTTCTCATCCTGAAGCAAAGTTCTTAATCCGAGGTACTATTTCTGGGTTTGCGGAGTCTGTAACCTGAAGCGTATGTAACCTGAAGCGTATGTAACCCGAGGTACCACTGTATATGCTAACTTAGTGTATGCTAGTGTCCCAAGTGCAAAGAGTAGCATTGCCTCCAGCTGGGTGGCTCTCAATGGGTCTGGGCTCACCCAGCCAAATCTTGGCCAACCCATGGCAGGAACTGCAAGTATTATGATCATCCACTCCATGGCAGACAGACACCTGGAAAAGGGCCGAGCTGCCAACTCCTGTCCTGTTTATTTTGCATGAATAAGCAGTTCAAGAGTGGGACACAGCTTCTTTAAAGAGGAAAATGATGTACCCTTCTTCCTTCCCTATTAAAAGACTGTTCGCAACAAGAAGGAAATCAAGGGCATGCAAAAGCTTTGAAAAACACATTAGGCATTATATTCATCTAGCCAAGTGGTTTTTACCTGTTACAGGAACAAATTGAAAGCACACTCCAGGAGCCAGAAAGCCAAGAAGCAGCAACCTGAAAAGAGAATCACGGAACAATGGTTGACGCTGCATGCAAACAGTGGGAGGCAGAGGGAGGCCAGCCTTTCCTAGGTTGCTCCCAGACTGTCACTATTTTCTTTTCTTTTCTTGTAATTTAATCTTAAACTGCCTCAGCTATTAGAAACCTGGCAAAACATGGAACAAGAGTGGGGGAGCCAAAGGGAGATAACACCAGATATGGATCTGCATCTTTACTGTTGCTCCAGAAGGGTAGAAGCAAAACTATAGGCGCAGAAGTAGCAAGGGAACAGATTTCAGCTACATGTTTGGAGATGTTGCTTAACAGCAAGAGCCATTCAACAGTCTTTCATAAGATGGCAACATCTCCTTCACTGGAAGTACTTAAGCACAGCAGGGGCAGACTTTGGTAATATGGCGCCCTGAGGGAGGGCAAATTCTGGCACCCCCCTAAATATTATTTTCATGCCAGCCTTGCTCTCACATGCTCTGTGCATGCTCTCAAGTGTCATAATTGTGGCAACTCAATTGCCTGTCTGGCTGGGGCCTAATTTTGAGTTGGTCCCCATATAAACAAAGGGTATTTGGGTTGTTTTTGTTGTTGTTCTTGTGTGTCTCCTTGGCTTGGTGACCTGTGCAAAGGAACCACCCGCACTGCCCTAAATCTGGCACTGAGTAGAGGCTTGGCAACCACCTGCCAGGGATACTAGCTGCAAGTTTCCTGAACTGAGCAGAGGGCATTGACTAGATGAATCCCAAGATGGCTTCCAAATCTGGAAGAGTTTTGCTCGGGCATCTTTGCTAACAAAGTTTTCTATTAATCTGGAGCATGCCCAATGGGCTGTCTCCTCTTTCTCTCGGGGTTGGGGAGTCTGGGGTGGGAGTCTGGGGTGGGAGTGCCACTGTATTCTGCTCTGGTCAGACCTCACCTGGAGTACTGTGTCCAGTTCTGGGCACCACAGTTCAAGAAGGACACTGACAAACTGGAACGTGTCCAGAGGAGGGCAACCAAAATGGTCAAAGGCCTGGAAACGATGCCTTATGAGGAACGGCTAAGGGAGCTGGGCATGTTTAGCCTGGAGAAGAGGAGGTTAAGGGGTGATATGATAGCCATGTTCAAATATATAAAAGGATGTCACATAGAGGAGGGAGAAAGGTTGTTTTCTGCTGCTCCAGAGAAGCGGACACGGAGCAATGGATCCAAACTACAAGAAAGAAGATTCCACCTAAACATTAGGAAGAACTTCCTGACAGTAAGAGCTGTTCGACAGTGGAATTTGCTGCCAAGGAGTGTGGTGGAGTCTCCTTCTTTGGAGGTCTTTAAGCAGAGGCTTGACAACCATATGTCAGGAGTGCTCTGATGGTGTTTCCTGCTTGGCAGGGGGTTGGACTCGATGGCCCTTGTGGTCTCTTCCAACTCTATAATTCTATGATTCTAGGGTGTGAAAAGAGCAGCCGGCTGGGAGGAAAACATAGTCTGTGGAGTAGAGAAGCCTAAGGTGTTCCAGGCTAGGACACTCTCCACACCCCAGTTGCTACACATACCCAAGAGAAGACTGAGCCTTAGCCAGTGGCCCAGCCATTAGGCAAGGTGAGACAGCCACCAGAGGCTGCCAGTAGTGCAGAGGGAGAGAAGGCAGAGCGCCCTGCGATGGTTGGCGATCACAGGTGTATGGAGGATGTAGCGCCTGACCTGCAAGAGTTATTTGCAGCTTAATCACAAATATATCAGAACAGTTTCCATAAGTGGAAAACCTAGTGAAAACATAGAAATCAAGACGACTTTAAGAAACAGCAGGCTAGAAAACCAATGAAGTCAGATGTACATAATAGCATAGCATGCCTGGCCAGGGAGTCTCGCTTTAACAAAAACGCTTCTGTCTGTCTGAACCGACTAGCCGTGGCTTCCCCGAGCAGAAGCAGCGGGGGTGCGGAAGGCAACGGGACTCCCGGGGGCAGCCCTGCAGCCAGCAGGTTCAACATGAAACCTCCTTTATCCGTGGAGGGGAGTTTGCACCGGGCGGCCCCCGCGCAGGAAACCTTGCTGGCCGCTCATTCCAGTACAAGACTCACCTGGCCGCGGGGCTGCAGCTCCCCATCTTGCCGGACCAGCAGCGCGTCCCCGACCCGCCGCCGCGCCCCGCGCGCCTTTCAAGGGCTCCGCGCCCGCCCAGCTGCGCCCAATTAGCAGCTGCCCCGCCCTCCCGCGCAGGAGGCTCCCCCCGAGGAGGGGCGCTGGCCGGACAGGAGGGGGCGGGCAGCTGCCTTTTCCCCGCGGGCAGCATCTCCGTCCCACACGGTCTGGTTTTCACCCAGGCAGCCCCGCACGGGAGAGAGCGGCTCCCCGGTCCTCCTCCTGCCCCAGGGGAATCACGAGCGACGGGGCGCCGCCGTTTCGCCTCCATGTGGCCCAGGGGGGAGGCGGGGGGGGGGCTTATTTCCAAACACAAGCTTCCTCCAGCAGCTGCCTGTTGTCTTTCCTGCCGTGTCCATATTCACCCTCAGCTAACAAATCAGAAAAGAATTCCAAGCGTTTCACCAACCAGTTCTTCAACTGCATTCGAATCATACATCTTCTTCATTTGACCTTTTTAGGCCACCCTTCACTGAAATCATTTCTGGGGCTGTACACATCATTTAAAAACTGCAGCACCTAAGAACAATCTCTGAGTATCTCACAGTCTTCACTTAATGCAACTGTTGAAGAGCAGAACCCTATTAATCCGTTACTGCTAAAGGATTCCTCAGGATTCCCATGTCACCCTGAAGACTTTATTTCTTATCGCAGCCAAAATTTAAGGGACGTTTGCTGTTAAAATGTCTACCAATCAAATCCCATACATGTCTGCTCAGAAGTAAGACCCGCTGAATTCAATTGGGCATGCTCCTCTGTAAGGGGGGTTAGAATTGCAGGCACATTCCATTGTCTCTTGAGGCAGTGCCAACAGCATTACATCAACAACATGTTGCAGAAATAGTCCTGCAAATAACGAAAGAAAGAAAGAGAAAGAACACCCATTTGGAGAAGCACTTGGTGAGAGAACCGCCACCTACACTTCTGACTGAAGCTTCCAGAAGCTCACCAGATGGGCCACAGCCTTTGCATTCCAGGGGACGCACTCAAGAGCCCCTTGATCTCCCTTGGCGGCCTGCCACAGAGGTGGAAATGTAAAGGGATGGGAGGAAATAAAGCCAGGACAGGCATTTAAAATGAACATGTGAACATAGCATTTTGGTCAACTCTTGGTCATGTGATGTCATTCTGTGGCTCAGCATGCCATTAGATGAGTGAGAGTGGAGGGAAGTATTTGAACTTGCCTAGAGTGGCCAAAAACAACACCCATCGCAGCCTAGACCATCCCTTGAGTTATCCATTTCATCTGATGCATGAAGTGGTCTGGAAACTTTATAGAGTATGGAGAGGAAGAAAGAAGATGCCATAGTTTAAGAACCAAGGTGAATGGGTGCTGGAGCTTATGTATGGTTGCAAGCCATACTCCCTGAACTGGAGGACCCACCTCACTGATTTATTATAGGTGATGGAATGCACTCTGCACATGACCTGGGGTACTTTTGTTCTTTTTCTAGACATACTAAGCCCTGGTAAACCCTCGCCAGACTTGATTGAAGTAGAAGAAGTGAGGGAAAGCTGTACCTCCTGGAAAGGGGGGGGGGTTACAAAACACTGGGAGACTATTGGGATGGTCAGTTAGAGAAAAGGGGGTGATGTGAGTCTTGCAGCTCTTGACCTTGTGCGTATTTAGGTTTGCAATTTTTGGGATTAGGAATGTGGGCAACCGCCATATTATAAATTCCTCTCACTTTCAATTTCTTTTATCGCCTATTGACAGAACTGTTGCTTTTCAAAGCTTTCACTTTTGGCTGCAAACAGACAGATAATTTTGCCTAGAAGGCATTTTAGTTTAAACATTTTAGTTTTTAAACATTTTAGTTTAAAGACTGGCATGATGCGCTATGCAAGTCTCATCAGCTGCTTTTTATTTCCTACGCCCATGCTTTTAGTGAGCAGAATTTCAACAGATGCATTTTTACTTTTATTTAACCAACAAATTTATATACTGCTTGATTGTACTAATATTTCTACAAGAAATATTAAAATTACCAATGAAGAAACATGGCATAAAGAGGTTCACCTGTAGTGGGTCAAGGCCAAGGGTCTCTGTCGGTACAGAGAGTGGTAATCTCCTCCTCCTTGTTTCTTATGAACATTGCCAGAAGGAAGGATAATTTCTAGTGCTTGGAGGTGGGGGTCTGCTCAAACCCACACTGAAGGTCTGTTGTGATTTGCTCAGGGCCAGTCAAGTCTGCAAAAGTCTCTTCCTGTTACCTGCCTTCTTAAGACTGAAAATACACAGCAGCCAAGCTCAGAAACATTTTTTGTGCAAGTTTATATGCCGTTTGTAGACACTGATTTGTCCCAGTGAAGGTATCATTGTACTGACCTTGTGGGTTACATTTGAGAGTTCAGGACTCACAGTATAGCCATCTCATAACTTGCTGAAGATGTTCAGTCATTACTTCTGAGAAAGAGCGGGAGGGACTGAATGCTGCCTCCACCCAGACTATTTGGTTCAAGAGGCTGACTTTATTTTCCTGCCTCCTGGTGGCTGATTGAGGCTCTACTCACAGCTGCCTTTGGAGAGAGAGAGGTCCGTGTGCCAACAAAGACAGGAAGAAATTCACTGGTGACTACCACAAGTTGTGATCAAAGGCTTGGATGGCATGTTGGCCTTGTTGTTTTCACCTCCTGTTAAATATTCTGTGGGCTAAATAAGTCAAAGCCAGCCAAGCTGGGCAGGAAGCACACAGCTGAAGCATTCTGCCAGCAGTTAATTGGGGTTAAAAAACTAGCTTTTGCTACACATTCAAAGGGACAAAAGGCAAAGGAAGCATTTCTGCTGCACCATTCAGACCACTGTCTTCACAGCATCTTTATGTTGAGATGCAGATAACACTGGGTGTCTGTGGAGTCACCGCAGTGCCCATGGCATGTTGGGTTAGGCTTCTCATTTAGAGATCAACCACTAAGTCCAGCTTGCAAAATGAGACCCATCTTCAGCCTACTTTCTATTTCAGAGGTTGCCAACTAACCAAGAAAAACATTTTTCTTGCTCCTGTGCTAAAGGCAGCTTGGGCTACAGAAAATGGCAGAATTCATGGCACTTTCCATGCATGCGGATAAACATGGTCACTTGCTAATGTCTGTGGGTCAAACTTGACACAGGAGCAGTGTCAAATAAAGATGTGGCAACCCTGCTATCTCTGTTTGCATGTTTTCTAGCTATATTTTTTCCTGCCTCATGTCAGCAAATGCCTGTCTCAAGGGACAAGGGAAGAGTGCACCTTCACAGGTGTGGTCAAACCTCTGAAGGGTTACTGCTGTGACTGTAGAAACAGTTTAAGGGAAACGACTGTCTTGAGGCAAGGCACAACCCCATTAAGGGTCCTCATTACCCCCCATTTGGAAGCATTAGTACAGGTGGAGATGGAGAGCCATGGTGCCAAGGCTGCAATCTTTGTACACACTTGCTTACTTCTTATTGTATTTGCTGGTCACTTTTCTCACAGACGAACCAAAAAGTGACAACCAGCTAAGAACATTCATCCAATAAAAATCTAAAAACATAGCAGAACAGATAAAACCCATGAGGACTTACTGATCCCACAGAAAGAGGCCTCAATGCTACCCTTCAAATTAAAGTATAAACTGGGTAAAGATACAAGTCTTTGCCTGGTGCCTAAAAACAGGTAAAGGCTTGCCTCCCTCCCTCTCTGGGAAAGCATTCCGCAAGTGGGGAGCCACCACTCAAAAGGTCAGATCTTGGGAGTATAGATGCCTAGGTTTGGATTGCAAGAGGTCTATGTTTGCTTGGGAACATCCCATTTAATGGGACTTATTTTTGAGTAAACTCAGACTTCATATTTCTGCTCTACTGTTGCCAGCTTTTATTATTTTTGATGTCCTTTGCCTTTAACAACAACTAGCAACAAATGTTAGCAGGTGTAATCTAAGGCTTATCTCCATACTATGAAAAGCACCACCTGTGGATGTCTACACCACATGCTGCTGTTAAAGACACAAGCCAGTTATTTTTCTGGTGAGTTGGCAACTCCACTTTGCTCCCATCGGTCTGTGAGCCACTCCTTGCCCGCCCCTGACAGCACACACCTCTCCTCCCAGGTCCAGGGAAGCTGGTGGTTTCTTTGTGCACAAGTTTCATTCCAGCTCTAATGCTTGTTTGGCTGTGTGCAGAACCCGAACAAGCCCACACTTGAATTAAACTAACAAAATCTGACAAGGAAATGTCTGGCCTGACAGCAGGAGAGGAAGACACTTTCCTGTGCTTCAGGCAGGAAATCCACCAAGACAGTCAGATGGATGTTTAGTTGGAATGAAGAGGGGAGGATGCATGTGCATGCAAGGTCTTTTTCCTCTTAACAGTCTTTCTAGCCAGGAACAGTCTGGTGTGGGAGTATAGACTGAAATGGGATTTACAGCCTTTTTGGCTTCAGAAATCAGCAAGTAAGATAGAAGTGCTTAAGTAACCTGTAGGAGGTGGTGTCTAAGAACACTGAGATACATAATCCTCCAATTCATCTGCCCAGCTGCCTGTCCTCCTTCACCTGCTTAACCATCTCAGGAAACTCAGGTAAATGGCCGTCAAGGGCTTCTTCTGTTTTGTTCTGCATGGCCAACGCTCCCCCAAATCTCTGCTTCACAGACTTCAGGATATTCATTCTTCTTTTCTTTAAAATGTGCCATGCATTCAATTTGTTGGAGATAAAACACACAACAAACCTCATCTGAGCACCTAACTACAGATGTGTGTAAGAGAGTCCTAAAGCCATTTTTTTTTTTTTTTGGAAAGAGAAGCTCCTCTGGAGAGGGAAATTTAGACTAGACGGTTTGCAAGGGGGAGGGAATACTTAGCCATTTACTTACCTTTCCCAGCAGACTTCTAAGCACAGTGGAAACATATAACTGGAATCCTGTGAAGAGGGAGATTTTGCAGTACAGACAGGGCAACATCCTCCCCCCCCCCCCTTCTTGTGAAGCAGTTTGCATTTTTGGGAGGGT